TTTTAAACGTCCTGAGTTTCAACACTTGTTTAAAATAGAAAGGGCAATTACTTATCTCACTGCCACCTCGCCCTAGTTGAAATGATGTCCTTTCTCTAAGGTTTGGATGTTTTCTTTTGTCCACAAGTCCAAGCTAAATTCCTCAAGTCTAATAAATAACCATTTTTTTAAAAAAAAAATCAGTACTCTTTTGTTGAAGAAAGAGATCAAAGGTCTGAAACTATACGAAAGGAAAAGGGATGAAAGTCTTAAGTGTAATTTCAGGAAGTTTTGATGGATCTGGGCTTCATTTAATATTAAGCAGCTCCAGCTGTTTGGCCTTGAATTCAGAAGATTGTGACTTCAGGTGAGGTGTTAGGACTCAAAAGAGCAACCTCTTTCATGAAAGATTGTTAATAAGCTATGGGTTGAAAGACTGGAAAGAACAGGATCACGAGGTGAAAAAATACTTTAAAATAAACTCACATTTGAAGAGTTGTTTAAAAAGAATACTAGGACAGAAATGGGAAACCCTCAGAAGTAGGTTCTTGTGGGTTTTTTCGGGCTATAGAGCCATGTTCTAGAGGCATTTCTCCTGACGTTTCGCCTGCATCTATGGCAAGCATCCTCAGAGGTAGTGAGGTCTGTTGGAATTAGGACAATGGGTTTATATATCTGTGGAATGGCTGGGGTGGGGCAAGGAGCTCTCTGCTGCAGTTAGGTGTGAATGTTTCAGCTGATCACCTTCATTAGCATTTGAAGGCCTGCCTGAGCCTGGGAAAATCTCTTGCTGGGAGGTGTTAATCTGTGCCTGGTTGTTTCCTCTCTGTTGTTTTGCTGTTGTAATTTTAGAGTTTTTTAATACTGGTAGCCAGATTTTGTTCATTTTCATGGTCTCTTCCTTTCTGTTGAAATTGTCCACATGCTTGTGGATTTCAATGGCTTCTCTGTGTAGTCTGACATGGTGGTTGTTGGTGCGGTCCAGCATTTCTGTGTTCTCAAATAATATGCTGTGTCCAGGCTGGTTCATCAGGTGCTCTGCTATGGCTGACTTCTCTGGTTGAAGTAGTCTGCAGTGCCTTTCATGTTCCTTGATTCGTGTTTGGGTGCTGCGTTTGGTGGTCCCTATGTAGACTTGTCCACAGCTGCATGGTATACGGTAGACTTCTGCAGAGGTGAGAGGATCCCTCTTGTCCTTTGCTGAATGTAGCATTTGTTGGATTTTCTTGGTGGGTTTGTAGATTGTTTGTATGTTGTGTTTCCTCATCAGCTTCCCTATGCGATCAGTGGTTCCCTTGATGTATGGCAGGAACACTTTTCCTCTGTCCTCAAAACTGCTGGTTTTAAATAGGATAATTGGTGACATTTAAGAACATATGCCCACATGCACACACCTTGTTGCCTCTAGGTCATTTTGCTATCTTCTGTTCGTATGCATAATGCAACGACAAACACCTAGAGGCAACAAAGAGCTGCAATTTTATGTTAGTATTGTTTTTGTGTGCTTTCAAGTTGTTTCCAACTTATGGCAACCCTTCATTCAGTGGTTTCCAACCTTTGGTCCTCTAGGTGTTTTGGACTCATAGAGTTAGATGTGGACCATCCAGTCCAACCCCCTGCCAAGAAGCAGGAAAATCACATTCAAAACACCCCCAAAAGATGGCCATCCAGCCTCTGCTTAAAAGCCTCCAAAGAAGGAGCCTCCACTACACTCCAGGGCAGAGAGTTCCACTGCTGAATAGCTCTCACAGTCAGAAAGTTCTTCCTAATGTTCAGGTGGAATCTCCTGAACAGCTCCCACAATTCCTAAAAGCTGGTAAGTTGTCTGGGATTTCTGGGAGTTGAAGTCCAAAACAACTGTAGGACCAAAGGTTGGGAACCACTACCTTAGATCAGTGGTTCTCAACCTAGGGTCCCCAGGTGTTTTTGGCCTTCAACTCCCAGAAATCCTAACAGCTGGTGAACTGGCTGGGATTTCTGGGAGTTGTAGGCCAACAACATCTGGGGATCCCAGGTTGAGAACCACTGACCTTAGATGAACCTATTACAGCAGTGGTTCTCAAACTTCGGGTCCCCAGATGTTTTGGCCTACAATTCCCAGAAATCCCAGCCAGTTTACCAACTGTTAGGATTTCAGGGAGTTGATGGCCAAACATCTGGGGACCCATAGGTTGAGAACCACTGCTTTACAGGGCTTTCTAGGGTTGAGAAAACAAACTGCTACAGCCTCTCCTAGGTTGTGTGTTGTTCACCAATGATAACGTCTGCCATCATGACCACTGTCTGATGTTGCTTGGACATACCTGCCCTGTTTTCATATGTGAAATTTTCTACAGTCTGTGTATGCTAAGCGCTGACCTGGTTTTTTTTAAAAAAAATGTATTAAATTGGTGTTGGGGTATTTTTTTAAAAATAATGTGGCACTCTATCAATTTATCCTGGTGGGTTAATTGCTTCTTTTGATCCGGTGTATCTCTTTCTGTTGGCCTCTGCCTTCCAGTAATTTCTGACTTATGGTGATGCTAAGGCAGTTTTCACAGGTTTCCTGGGGCTGAGAGTCTGAATTTTACCCTTGTCTTTAGAGTCGTAACTTAAGAGTCAAATCACTACAACTTGCTGCCTCTCTCTGACCCAACTTAATAAGTTAGAGCTTTCTGACCAACTCTACCTATGCAGTGGCCTTAACTCTGCAGTATATTGAACATGTTAGCAAATCTCTAAACAGGCCAGCTAAATGGTTCTCTTCAAGCCTCCTTCCACCCTAGCAAAGACCTGATTTATGAAGCAATCATCTCCTCTTTTCTCACAAAAGAAAGGCCAAACTGCTTGGAGCAAGGGAGCAAAAGAACCACTCATTTAAATTAGTGTGTCCTCTTTGGAAAGGTACAGAGAGTCCTCAGAATTGCCAACTCCACAATTTTTGTACTAGTCCTAGTAAAATAACCCAGTGAAACATTGCCAACAACAACAAGACTTACTACTTCTAATGTCGCCTTGGCCAAATCCTACAAAGCCACATATCTGGAATATGTCAGTGCTTTATCTGTGGTTATGCAAACTAAGTTGATTTTATGAGCACGATCAAGAAACATGGTTGGAAGCCGGTATGGGTTTGAGCTGCTGGACCCCATTAGTCTCCTTTCTTAATCTCAGTGTTGCACCAAAAAGTCCAAGTTGCATTGTGTTCTTTTCTGTAATTGGTTGACATCTTTCCCCCCCATTAAAACAGACACACTCTCACACTACAATAAGCAGAGTGTTTTGTTTGTTCTGCCAGAAAAGGAAGGCTGAGTGAGTTGTTCCGCATCTCTTCTTCTCAGAGTTTGGAAATGGGTCAGTGCTGGCTGGGGAATTCTGGGAGGTGTAGTGCAAAAAAAAGGGGGAGGGAAAGAAACTTTCTGAAGGAGAGAATGCTGCTGGAACATGGCCATACAGCCAGAAAAACTCACAGCAACCCAGTGATTCCAACCATGAAAGCTTTTGGCAACTTTCTCAAGCTCTGAATATTAGCTAGTCAATGAGCTTCTTGTAGTCTTCAAACCATAAGTCAGAGAAGATGGCTGGGCTAGTTAGAGCGATCAATTTAAGGCCCTTTCCACACAGTTGAATAAAAATCCCACATTTTCTGCTTTGAACTGGAATATATGGCAGTGTCAACTCAGATAACTCAGTTCAAAGCAGATATTGTGGGATTTACTGCTGTTCTGAATTATAGCATTTCAAACTTTCAGTCATATAGGTCCTGGACTAAATGTGTATCTATTCTGGAATCTTCATTCCCAAATTACTAAGTTGTGTACATTGAAGGAAGCCAAGTGAAGTAAAATGGGGAGACCAAATGATAAGTGTCAATAGGTTGTATTTGTCCTTGTTGACTGGAAATTTGGTTGTAATCCCAAAATGCATCCCCCCCAAGCTATGTGGGTAGGACTCATTTATGTTTGGGATTTGTTCTTCCTACAAATTTACTCAACTTTAGTTTTAGGAAAAGAAATAAAATATATCTGGAGATGTTACTGCAAATGGGGAATGATTGGGAGTTGGGGTATATGCTATTTGTCATCAAGTCAATCAAATTTGGGACCCTTCTCTACAGCCACATAACCCAGAATATCAAGGGAGAAAATTCCACAATATCTGATTTTAACTAGTTTATCTGAGTCCACACTGCCATATATTCCAGTTCAAAGCAGAAAATGTGGGAATTCAAGGTGCTGGCTTTAGCCTATAAAGCCCTACACGGTTCCGGCCCCACTTACCTCTCCGAACGCATCTCCACCTATGAACCGGCGAGGTTGTTAAGATCGTCTGGGGAGGCCCTGCTCTCGGTCCCGCCAGCGTCACAGGTGCGGCTGGCAGGAACGAGGGACAGGGCCTTCTCAGTGGTGGCCCCCCGGCTATGGAATGCCCTACCAGCGGACATCAGGCAGGCCCCTTCGCTATTGGCGTTTAGGAGGAGGGTTAAGACGTGGCTCTTCGAACAGGCGTTCGGATAAATATGCAATAACAACTGACTCAGGAATGACGGCACATTGAACAAGGAATGGTAATACGACTGTGAGATCGAGATCTGATTCTAATGAGGCGTGATGATTTTTATGTGTATTGTTTGTGTATGTTTGTTATATAGATTGTTCAGTGTTGCACATTTTATTGTAAACCGCTTCGAGTCGCCTTTTTAGGCTGATATTTGCGGTATACAAAAGAAGTAAATAAATAAATAAATAAATAAATAATTTTATTCAACTGTATGGAAGGGGCCTTAGGATGGGATGTCACCATCAGGGCTTGGTTATCAACAGGTCTGGTCCGGTCTTGGAAACTCAGGGCTTTGGTTTCCTTTATTGAATCTACATATCCATAATGCACTCTTCCATTTTTCCTACAGGTTTCACATTTTCTGAGCCTTATCAGAATTATGTCATCTCATGATACATCCAAACTACTATGGCCTCCATTTAGGAAGTAGGGTATAAGTATGAAAATTAAACATGTATATTTCTCTTTTTTTCTGTTTCTAGACACCCAAAGGCACTTGCGCAGAAGCCGTGAAAACAGCCATCGACGTGGGTTATCGCCATATCGACGGTGCCTATGTGTATTACAACGAGCATGAAGTCGGAGAAGCCATCCGGGAGAAAATCACTGAGGGAAAACTCAAGCGTGAAGACATATTTTATTGCGGCAAAGTTAGCAAACTTAATAACTAAATATTCAAATGTGATATACAAGTGGTTGGCCTTAACAGGGCCAACCTTACTAAAGAACAGAGCAAAGTAGCTGCCTTAGGCAACAGATCTGATGTGCAATGAAAGACGAACAAATTATTAGTTATTTACTTTAGGTTATTAGATATTTTTACTACATGGAATGGGTTGGGGACTAAGGAGTTGAGAGAGGATTTTCATATCAAGTGTTGTCAAAATATCAAAAAGTTATTAATGAAGAACATCCAAATTAAGAGAGGCTGGAGCTTGCTGAGTTAATAGAGTTCACACTGTTTTTACACTTTTAACTCAGTTTAGCAATGGTTCTCAGCCTGTAGGTGCCCAGATGTTTTGGCCGACAACTCCCAGAAATTCCAGCCAGTTACTAGCTGTTAGGATTTCTGGGAGTTGAAGGCCAAAACATCTGGGGATTGAGAACCAATGGTTTACGGTAATGGAGGAAAAAACTGAAAATAAAGGAAGTGAAAAGAGAGTGACTCCTTTTCATCTCTTGTGGTTTACATGGGCATAAAATTGTCTAGGAAGACCTTGTAACATGCTAAAATAATGCCCTCATGTCCTATAATGGGTTTTCAAGAGCAAAAATATGGTTTTATGCATGGGAGTAGGTTCACTTGAGGGGTTCATTCCTGCAAGCTCTTTGAGGGGAATTAATGTAGCCCTCCAGCCTTCCACAGTTGACCATCTTGGCCAGAAGGATAGGACTGCCACTGAAAATGCCAGGCCCTTGTTGTGTTAAGACCAACTCTGGGTGGTAAACCTATGGTCTCCTGAACTGTGGAAATAGTAGTCAGAAACATCTGGAGAACCAATGTAGCTAGACTAGCAGTCCCCCCCTCCCCTTTCTCACTAGCACCACTCCAGCAAAAGATCCTTGGATGTTAGCGATACATTGGTAAAATTAGAGAGTTTTAAAGCTCCCTTCCTCCTTCAACTATTGTCATATGAGAGAACCTGCAATGATCACATCTATATTTTTCTCAGTGTAAAAAAAAAGGAAATTCAAGGGCACATCTGTTGGTAGAAAGGGGGGGGGGGTCTAGGAAGGACCCTCTCCAATATTTACAAGACATCCAAAAGAGAAGAATGGTAATCACAAAGATGGTTATAATTAACCTTCACCCTGGAAATAAATTACAGGGGGGAAATAAAACCCAGATTCTGTTGAGAAGCTCCATCTCTGAAGCTGTTCATTGATCTGTCCTGGAAATGACTGGAGTTGTTACAGAGAGCAGGAAATGACAATGTTTTGGCATCGAGACTGGATTTTCTTGAAAATGGAGAAGATGTCTCTGGTACCTAGATTGATATCTTGAAACACTAAGTGTAATTATGGAATGATGAAAAGGGTAGTGCTTGCCGATCATGATTCGTGACTGACAGGTTAATTATTCAATTCCCGACTTAGGAAAATAGCCAACATCTGTTTCAGAGCTTGGTGAAGCTGGCTTTCCATGATCACAATATCCAGGATTTGAAGTGGCCATGCGCACAGGAGGACTTTGGCAATTAGTTCAAACAAAGTCGTGTTTTCAAGCTCTGAGTGCAATACATCATGCAATGATATCCTTTCTTTTCCAGATTTTGTTCCTATCCGTTGGAAATCCAGCCATCCTAAGCTAATTTCCCTGTGTTTGACCAAAAGGCCACTGCATAACATTTTCATGTACCATAGCTGTTTATAGGGCATGTCATTCCAATTTTCCTGGAACACAGATTTCTGCCTCCCTCCCTACCCTCTCTTCTTCCAAGAAAGTGAACATGATCTTGGAGAGACACCAGGAGGCTCTTCACACTGCACTAACATAGTGCTGTGAATCCAGATTAACAGCCTTCACAATGTCCTGTCAAATCCTGGGATTTGGAGTTTAGGGAGGAATATGCCCTAGTTTTCAGGTGATCTTGATAGTTAAGTAGGATTAGGCCCATTTTGTACTTGGATGGAAGACCCCCAGAAGCTACAGGCTATATTTCAGAGGAAGGCAAACCATCTCTGAGTATTCCTTACCTAAGAACATCATTGATGTTGTTTATTCATTCAGTTGTTTCCGACTCTTCATGACCTTATAAACCAGTCAATGCCAGAGCTCCCTGTTGGCCATGGCCACCCCAGCTCCTTCAAGGTTAAGCCAGTCACTTCAAGCATAACATCCATCCATCTTGCCCTTGGTCGACCCCTCTTTCTCTTTCCTTCCATTTTCCCCAGCATCATTGTCTTCTCCAGGCTATCATATTTTCTCATAATGTGACTAAAGTACTTCATCTTTGCCTCTAATATCCTTCCCTCCAGTGAGCATTCGGGCATTGTTTCCTGAAGTGTGGACTGGTTTGATCTTCTTGCAGTCCAAGGCACTCTCAGAATTTTTCTCCAATACCACAGTTCAAAATTGTCATAAATCAACATATTATTGAAAGCATAATTCTCAGACAGAGTGCTCTTGCACTTGCCCAAACCACAATCCCCAGGATTCCATAGGATGTGTTCTTGGGTACACACTCCCTAAGCCTCAGAAGAAGGCAATGGGAAACCCCTTCTGAACTAATCTTGCCAAGACAGTCTACTTTGGGTTGGAAATAAGTTGGAAATGAAGGCCCGTAACAGAGACAACTACTCCCTTTCCCCGTGTACTCATTCACAGACTCTAACCCAAATTTGTAATGCCACTACTCTAGGTTAAAAGTTTCCCCTTTACATTAAGTCTAGTGGTGTCTGACTCTGAGGGGTGGTGCCCTCATTTCTCCATTTCTAAGCCAAAGAGCCAGTGTTGTCTGTAGACACCTCCTAGGTCATATGGCTGACGTGACTGCATGGAGCACTGTTAATTTCCCGCAGAAGCGGTACCTATTGATCTAGTCACATTAGCATGTTTTCGAATTGCTAGGTTGGAAGAAGCTGGGCCTAGCAGCGGGAGCTCAACCCGCTTCCCGGATTTGAACTGCCAACCTTTCGGTCAGCAAGTTCAGCAGCTTAGCAGTTTAACCCGCTGCACCACCTCTCTGGGTTACATCTCCCCAAATTCACCAACCAGGCATAGCCATTGTAGTTCCAGAAACTTTCCAAAGTTGCACTTGCACACAATTACATAGGAGTAAGTCCCAATGGGCTTACTGAGAGGCGTTTACTTCTAGATAGACATGCACAGCTTTATATTGACCCTGCTCTACATTGTTGATGTATAAATATTTCACATAAGGATGATTTTCGTAAATTCTGTTTTCCACCTAGTGCAAACCACAGCTATAAATCATCACAACTGAGAATACAATGACAACGTTCTATTTTTTTAAAGAAACAAAACACTTTGATTGTGTATTTCTGCATGGCAGGGAATGGGACTGGATGGCCCTTGTGGTTTCTTCCAACTCTATGATTCAATGAAAACCAATATAAAAGACCTCGACAGCCTAGTATGTTTCCTCAAGGCAGCTAGACTTCTGGAATTCGAGAAGTATCTGAGGTTAAGAAGCTGACTGCCAAATGGATAAGTGCCATCTCACTGTAATAATGACCGGCTGGCAAAGAGCATCAACATCTGCATATTGGCAGGTTGCATGAAACTAAAGCATTTCTTACTCAGAGTTTTGAGATGTCATTTGGCTCTGATAACAGGGAAGTCTGTAAAATGTAATCCCAGAAAGTAACTTTTCCAAGCTCTTATTTTACTTTTGCATGCAAGTTATTTTAGCTGTTGCCGATTAATGTCTCCAGTTGGTTCATAATCATAGGGTTGTTTTTTTGTTTTTGTTTTTACAATTTAAGGCTAGCTTCGAAGTCTATGCATTCTTTGATACGAGGCTCAGATATTGTTTTTTTAACCAACTGGTCTTTAATCATCTTACTTGCCATATCTCCAAAGTTGCAGAAGCTCGTTCACTCTCTTAGAACACCAATGTATTATAGTGTTGAGTTCTCAATCTCTGTTGACATTCATGTTCACTTTTGGCACAAACACACACATGTTTTGAAGCAGTCTCATTATTTTCTTTTATCAGCAAGAGGGGGTATAATAAGATAGATGATAAGCAGTCTTCTTCTTAGGCAATCCCTTGTAGCCTGAGGATGATGGTCCTACAAATGTAGTATCTTGGCAGTGGGTTTGTAGGTGGCTGTGGAGCCCTATTCCTGATCAGCATGTTCTCCTGCAGTGAGAACATCAGTTTCCAGGTGGAAGGTGTTCCCGGCCCGGGTTGGCTTGAAACACCTTCCTCTTGGCACATTGCTCTCTTTTGCCTTCCATTCGTGCCTCTTTGAATTCTTCAGCACTACTGGTCACAGCTGACCTCCAGTTAGAGCGCTCAAGAGCCAGGGCTTCCCAGTTCTCGGTATCTATGCCACAGTTTTTAAGGTTGGCTTTAAACCCATCTTTAAATCTCTTTTTCTGTCCACCAATATTACGTTTCCCATTCTTGAGTTGGGAGTATAGTAACTGCTTTGAGAGACACTGATCAGGCATTCGTACAACGTGGCCAGACCAGTGGAGTTGATGGCGTAGGAGCATCACTTCAATGCTGGGGGTCTTTGCTTCTTCCAGCACACTGACATTTGTCCACCTGTCTTCCCAAGAGATTTGCAGGATTTTCTGGATCATAAGCAGTACCTATTTTAATATTAGTGTCATTAGCTGCAAGCAAGTATTTTTCGAAGATCCAGCTCCAAACAAGAATTTCAGCTGGAAAATCAGCAAGATATTAGCAGTGGGTTCAGTATTTAGTACCCTCCTTGGCAACAAATATGTTATGCCCCAAAAGGAATAATAATTCAAACACAGGTGTACATCCACAAATGAATTATATGTGTCCCTGGGTATTGCTTCTTTAAGAGAAAATTTGGTACCAGAAAGAGAAATAACAAGGAAAGAATAGGAATAGTTTCCGACATACACACACCAAAAAGAAGGAGCATCTCAACATGTTTCAGACAGCTTTTTCTTCAGAAAATTAACAATATGCACATGTGAAAATAAAGAATGTCAGATGAGCTTTGCATAAGTAAAGAAAAAGAACTTGAACCTTCTAGAGCAGGCATGGATACCCTTTGGCCCTCATCAGCCTTTACTTTCCTATGATTTCAATTTTGGTGGCCAGCCTTATAGATGCATCTTTTTTTAACATGTTGGGGGTAGCTGGTAAGACAATCTTAGCTGTTTCCCCCATCTCTCTCTGTTTTGCTCTTCATATGTAATCAGTAAAGGATTCTAGATAAAGCCACTGTTGACCTTGCCTCTTATAGGATTGGCTACTTCTTATGGAATCAGTAGGGGATTCTGGAGGAAACTGCTGTTGACCTTGCCTCTTGTAGGATAAGTAATCAATAGGGAATTCTGGAGGAAGCAGCTGTTGATCTTGCCTCTTGTAGGATTGGCTACTTCATATGTAATCAGTAATGGATTCTGGAGAAAGCCGCTGTTGACCTTGCTTCTTCTAGGATTGGCTACTTCATATGTAATCTGTAATGGATTCTGGAAGAAGCCGCTGTTGACTTTGCCTCTTCTAGGATTGGCTACTTCATATGTAATCAGTAGGGGATTCTGGAGGAAATTGCTGTTGACCTTGCCTCTTGTAGGATTGGCTACTTCTTAAGTAATCAGTAAGGGATTATGGAGGAAGCCACTGTTGACCTTGCCTCTTCTAGGATTGGCTACTTCATATGTAATCAGTAATGGATTCTGGAGGAAGCTGCTGTTGACCTTGCCTCTTATAGGATTGACTACTCCATCTGTAATCAGAAGGGGATTCTGGATAAAGCCGCTGTTAACCTGGCCTCTTGTAGGATTGGCTAAAGTAGAATCCTGGTCTTCCCAGCTCAAGCTTTATTGTATTGTTCACTGCAGATGTATAGCTACAATCCAACACCAAAACAATAACCTCAGAGGGCCTAGAAAATGCGTTCTCTCTAGCCTCTACTGTGGTCAATTCCTTCTGGAAATTTTCCCCAAAGTTGATCAGAGAACTACAATGAGATGTAGAGGGAAAACTTCTCTAGGCATTTCCTAGGTCTCCCAGAGCAGTTCTATCATTTAAGTTTGGCTCAAATGGCACCTGAGACATTGTTCATTTCAGGGAAGAAAAAGGGGGTCCCAGACAACATGAAAATTGTCTTACATAAAGGATCCTGGGACAGATCCTTCACATGCCATATGGACCTACTGTACACTATATTACATTGAAGTCCTTGGATTTTGGTACTTTATGTAACTGCCTGTCTTATTTTTTTTAATGTACTCAAATTTTCAAAAATAAAAGTTTATAATTCATTTATTCCTCTTCTTTCCTCCCCTCACCCCCTTTAGTTATGGAACACATGTCACCCACCAGACCTGGTGCGTCCAACTCTGGAGAGGACACTGAAGATTTTACAGCTGGACTATGTTGATCTCTACATCATTGAACTGCCAATGGCTTTTAAGGTAAAGGGAAGAATTGTGTTAGAACTCCTCCTAGAGGGCATCAATGGAAATTCTGAATACTCTGAGGCTCCATCTACACGGCCATTGCAATGCAGATTGAACTGCATTATATGGTCAGTGTAGAAGATCTAATGCATTTTAACTGCATTAAACTGGATTATATGCACTGACCATATAATGCCGTTCAATCTGCATTATAATGGCAGTGTAGATGTGGCCTGAGTAAACTCCCACCTTTGCTAACCACCATCTTATTCTCTTAGGCTGCTGCCGCATATACTGGTTTTCAGATAACTTTCCTCTGAGCTTTACTGCTGAATGGTTACAAACCATTCAAAACATTGGTAACTTTCCCAAGAAGACATGCACAAAGCTCTCAGGGGTCTCAGTGAGGATAGGTGTGGCCCTACCTAGGCTTTCCAGACAATTCTCTGTTATATGTCTGCCAAAAAATTGCCATAGAAATGAGCTGGAGAACCTAACAAATTCCTAGAGAGGAGGCCCCTCTATGAAGTTTCTGTGTCCTCCAGTGGGACTCTATGGCTGCTTCTGGCCGATACCATTCATTTCCATAGGGTTTGCATTTATCCGCATTTTTTTTTGTTTTTATAGTAAGTTCAAGAATGTATCCCCAGTGGCTATGAGGATCATGCTGTATATATTTTCCTGATCTCAAGTTTTGGCTTGAAATCTCAAGGTCTGGCAACCCTAATAACAGCTGTAAACATCGTGGTCTTTTATGGTTTCCTTTCCTGTGGCATGGCTACAGGAATAGTTTTCCAGTTATGTAGTACTCAGCAATACATCCTATGTTTCAACAACCTGATCCTCAAAATTAATTATTATGTAGTATACAGAAAAGCAAAAAAACCCCAAAACAAAACAAAAAATGGGTAGGATTTATGCAGACGTCCACATGATGCTGGGCTGCATCTCCTGGAATATCTCATCTTAACTCTCCTTCTAAATTTCAGATGGGTTAATGCCAGAAACAAGATGGCAACCATAATCACATGTTTACTCTTCTTAACTGCTAATGTAAGGGTTGTGAGAGTCAGGAGCGCCTGTTCCTCACCCTGTATGTTTTTCTCCTAAATGTACAGCACTCCTTGAAAAAGATGGTTAACATATAATCTGGCCTTCACACACAATCCATTAGCCAAGACTGGGAATCTTACAATCTTCCTGATATTATAATGGAATAGTAAGGAATTCTGGGAGGTTGTCGTTCAGCCACACATGGAAAGCTGTAAGAGCCAAATCCATGTGTAAAGCAACACCCCGCAGTAGAAATTGTTCATCAGTGGATGGTCCTTTTTTGTTACCTGCCTCCAAATACAAGCATCTGTACATAAACCCCAAAGAGAACCTTTTGTGCATTGTAAGTGCAGATAGGTTTCTACTCTTCCCATCTTTTCCCCTACTAACCATCCAAATGCTTGTTTTTTTTCTAGCCTGGAGAGGTCATCTATCCTATGGATGAAAATGGGAAATGGCTGTACCATGAGACAGACTTATGTGCCACTTGGGAGGTGAGAAATTCTGAAGCTTCACTGTATCCGCAATGGATGTGTCTCCTATTTTGTAGTAGATATGAGTGGGAATCCCCTGGACAACAACTCCCATCATTCTCCATCCTGGATACGGTTGCTAGGCTTGCTGAAAAGTTCAATCCAACTGCAGCTAGAGAATCACATGATTCTCACTCTTATCCTAATGTGTCCTTACCCAACTAGACTAAAAATATTCTGTTTAGTGATAGGAAGGAAAAATAGTCACCCATCTGCCAAGCTCTTCTCAGAGTTCACTGTAGAGACAGTATTGCAAATTTACTTTTTCTAACCTATCATTTTGTATTTATATGCGGACTTGCATAGCTTTGCTAATGACCATATATATTATATTTTGAAGTTGCACAGTACAAATCACATTATTCTTTACACTCCCTTTGTAGATTTGTTGGCACATGAATATTATTGTGAATGTGTATGTTTAACATTTGGGGGAGACACTCCAGCACACCTGGAAAGCATGCAGTTAAAGAGGATTTTGGAGGAAGTTTTTTACCCCATGGTGCTTCATTTACTATCTGTTCTTGCTTCATAGGCTTCTAATCAAAGGCAGAACAGAACACTCAGTCTAGCTTTATTTTGCAACTCAGGAATGATTTCTTTTACAAAGACTACATGAATGCATATGCAATTATACATCCTTAATAAATTAAATAAATACTGAAATAAACATTAGTGTATGTAAACCAAAGCAAATACAAAAACTGCATACATTCAATGCTTTCAGAAGGATATAATTCTCAGAATCAGCCCTCCAGAACTGCAAATGGTCATGTGGCGGAGGTGCCTTGGAAACTGAAATCCAACCAAGTAATTTTTACAAAGCTCTGGATACTTTTCACAATATGGTTGCTTATGGCCTGTGGCTCTTTTCCCATTCTGGTGGTTTCATGTCAGTGAGGCAATAAATCATCTCTGGGTTTTAGTCTAAAGTTTAAAAAGCTATCCAAGATGCTGCAAACAACCCACAAAATAGGTCCAATGCTTTGGATAGCTCTTCAAAAGCTTACAGATTTGGCATATCACTAGCCTGAAACCAATGGCAGTGTTCTCTCATGCCCTCTTTCACCATTATGGTTTTCTATTTTTCCTCTTCCTGTTGACTTCCTACTTCCATCTCCCCTTTTCTTATTTCCACTTTGCTTTTACATTCATATGGAATGACCACCTTCTTTATATCTCTTCCCTGTCATTTTTTGGGTCTTACACTTTCTCGAAGTCAGTTCTAGGCCATCCTAGCTTTCTGTTGTCTCCTCTACATCCTATTGTTTCCCCAGCCTCCTCACTTTTCTTCAGTTCTCTACTTTTCTTTGCAAAATAACTATATATTTACTACATGGCAGCCTTTCCATTGTTTTGTCTATTTCATCTTGGCAGGCTCTGGAAGCATGTAAAGATGCAGGGCTGACAAAATCCATTGGTGTGTCCAACTTTAACCGTCGGCAGCTGGAGATGATTCTGAACAAACCAGGTCTGAAGCACAAACCTGTTAGCAACCAGGTAATGGAAATGAAATCTGACGTGCAACATAAGCATTTAAAATATAAAGCAACTATGAATGATCAACCCTTTCCCATCCTTGCGAATTCAACAGCGACCAATGAATCAGATGCCTGTGGGACACCTATAAGTTGAACAAGAGAGAAATGTAACACATTACTGTGTATGATTATGTGCCACTAAAAGGCAGTCTCAGCTCTCTCCCTTTCAGCAGGGATGAAAATGACAGTTTCATAGAATCATAAAGTTGGAAGAGACCACACAGACCATTTAGTCCATCTCCTTGCCATGCAGGAAAAACACATTCAAGGTACCCCTCACATATGGCCATAAAGTCTCTGTTTAAAAGCCTCCAAGGAACGAGCTTCCACCACACTCCGAGGCAGTTAATTCCACTGCTGAACAGCCCATATCATCAGGAAGTTCTTCCTAATGTTCTGGTGGAATCTCGTTTCCTGTAATTCAGTGGTTCTTAACTTGAGAGTCATGAACCACCAGTGGGCCATGAGAATGAAAATCTGGTCTGCAAGCCTCCTTCCTCTTTATTTATCTATTTTCTTTCTGCTCCTTTCATGCTGCCTGCCACTCCTTCCCTGTTGCTGATCAGCTCCGACCCCTTGAATAGATCACATCAGCTCTAGATTATTAAATATGGATTTCTGTGCGTGAGCAGATGGCAACGACTGGATGGCATATGTTCTGTGTCAGAAACTAGAGCTGATGTGGTCTATCCAGTGCAATTTTCTGAATCAGCACCCCAAATAACCAAACCGAATCTAAAGTTGATGAAAAACTGATTTGTAACCCTTTGGTACTAATGTTGGAGAGTGGTCCCTGGTCAAAGTGGTCCCTGGCCAAGTGGTCCCTGGTCAAAAAAGGTTGGGAACCACTCCTTTATTTTAACCCATTGGTAACAAACCATCTTGAAGGGTTCATGGAGACCCTCAACTGATTAATAATAAACAATACTGCCCTATCTCCCCTTGGGGATTATGTGCTCCTACAACTCCTGGAAGACTCTAAAAGTGCTGAATCGCCTTTTCAATAAGTTACAGCTCTCTGCTTTTAAATATTTTTTTAGATATTTTCAGTAAATTTGAAAGTAAACATTTGTCCACTTATGATTTGGGGTTTGTTTTCCTCATTTTGGGGGCCTTGGACTAGTTAATGAGTGAGTAGAGGACAAGATATTGGCCCTGTACTGCTACCATTATGGGTGGTCAGCACATGGGAAACCATATTGAAAAGAGGTCTACAGTTCTTGCTGGTCATCATCAGGCCACACATGGGCTTGGTGTTGGACAGAGAGTGAACAAATGCAGCCTATTACTTTTTGTTTGTGACATTCAGGGCACCTTCTTGATTAGTAACAACTATAAATGAGATGTTCTGAAGCTAAGAAAGCTGTGTCATCAAAAAATGATTAATAGTTGTGGGTTATCTAGGAGGCAATAAATTACAAGCACTTCTTAGACAAAACCCTGTGTGAAAGGGCTGGAACACAGTTTTCTTGGCAACCGGAAAAGGTCAGTGTGTTCCACCAGCTTGAATTTGTAGTTGAAACACAGGGACTAAACTCATCGAGGTCTTGTCCACCACCCCCTTTCAGCATCTCCAGTTCAAACAAATGGTAAAATAATGTAGACTGCAATTCATGCTTTATGGGGATTTTTGTGGCAATAAATGTCACACTTCTTTCATAAGTCTTGAGATAAACTGAGACAACTCTATGAAATAGATACATTTTAACAATGAATTATTGATCTCTGGGTTCATTTTTCAGTGCTGACAAAAATATGTGGAGGCCTGTGGAATACCAAGTTCATCCTTCTGTGCTTCAGAGTGTACCCCAGACTCAAGGGGATTCTGGAATATGTATTTCCTAGAAACCTTTTAAAACTTTGCCCACATTTATCAGTTTTGAAGCCGCTGGAGAGTAGCTTTATCCTGCATTCCAAAAAACCTCACATCACAAAATGATGCTCTTAATGTGTTCAAATTGTTATGTGAATTGATCCTCTGATTTGAATCCACACACCTGCCATCTCTGAGGGCCCTTCCAGACAGGGCCGATATCCCAGGATCTTATCCTAGGTTTTCTGCTTTAAACTGGATTATGTGAGTCCACACTGCCAGCTAATCTGGGGTAAATGTATTGTCGAAGGCTTTCATGGCTGGAATCACTTGGTTGTTGTAGGTTTTTTGGGCTGTATGGCCATATTCTAGAAGCATTCTTTCCTGACATTTCGCCTGCCTCTATGGCAGGTGTCCACAGAGATTGTGAGGTCTGTTGGAAAGAAGGAAAATTGGGTTTATATGTCTTGGAAAGTCCAGGGTGGGAGAAAGAACTCTTGTCTGTAGGATGTGTGAATGTTTCAGTTGGCCATCTTGATTAGCATTTGATGGCCTGACAGTTTTTAGGTGTGGGTTGTTACTGGCTGGGGGAATCCTTTGTTGAGATATGATTAGCTGTTCCTGATTGTTTCTTGTCTGGGGTTTCCCTGTGTTTGAGTTTTGTTCTTTATTTACAGTTTTTTTTAAATACTGGTAGTCAGAATTTGTTCATTTTCATGGTTTCTTCCTTTTTTGTTGAAATTGTCCACATACTTGTGGATTTCAGTGGCTTCTCTGTGTAGCCTAACACGGTGGTAGTTAGAGTGTTGCTGTGTTCTCAAATGATATGCTATGTCCAGGTTGGTTCATCAGGTGCTCTGCTATGGTTGAAGTAGTCTGCAGAGCCTTTCATGTTCCTTGATTCATGTTTGGACAATGCTTCATTTGGTGGTCTCTTTGTAGACTTGTCATTAGCTGCATGGTATATGGTAGACTCCTGCAGAGGTGAGAGGATGCCTCTTGTCCTTTGCTGAAGGTCATACAGCCTGAAAAACCTACAACAACCCCCTAATCTGGGACAAACAGAAAACCTGGGATTAGATCCTGGGATATAGGGCCTGTCTGGAAGGGCCCTGAGCTCAACACATGCCCCTTAGGTTGATAGCTGAGGAACAATGTCCCATGGTGCTTCCTTGCAGATTAACAGATTGAAGCCAGAAAACTGCTGGTACATTATGTCTCTGGCTGGATTCCATAATATAAGTGGAATAATGTTAACTAGTATGTTCTCACTGTAAAATTGGGACATGGAAAGAAAACAAGCATAATTACTTGTCACATAAGATGTGAATGGAAGTGTTTTTGTAGTCTGATTTTCAGCATACTTTCTTTACAGTGAGTTCTGTGGCATATTCTATTTTAAAGCACAAGGGTGGAAACTTGGCATTTAAGAGCATTTATTCACCTAGAATCTAAATCCTGTCTTCTCCATTTTGTCTGTATAGATTGAGTGCCATCCATATTTTACCCAATCCAAACTTTTGGATTATTGCAGACAGCACAAGATTGTCCTTGTTGGATACAGTCCTCTAGGGACCTCAAGGGACGCAAGCTGGTAAGAGGTTGTCTTTGATTGTGCTGCAAAGACGTGGTAACTGAGGGGGCATTACAGGTGTCATATGATATGTTGACTCTCCTCATATGAGCTGGAAAGAGAAGGCCATCCCCAGAAAGAGAAAGGCAGGGAGAGATATCCAACTTCAGAACCTCCTTCAAGTCACGGTGGATTCTGGCAAGCTTTTCTTTCCTTTCAATAGAGAAAGAGTGCTAGGAGAAGCTGTAGATCCCAATGTAATGTGTGTGGCAGTGAGAAGCCCTTCTGAAGAACCAAAGGCACCCAAAGCTTGGAGAAACAAAGTAAAAGCTTTATTATAGGAGCTTAATTCTAAAATAGTAAGTGTAGTTAGGTAGCTAATCTACTTTATCTTCATTCTGAGGCAGGGCTGATGAAGGAAATTGGTGGGAAGATAAGAGGTGAAAAACTATTCCTAAAAAAGGTCAGTTTAAGCAGACTCTCTGAGGGATTTTTAATTTTCCATGCTAAGTATTGTTGGTAGTCTCTGGTGGCATGGCAGGTTAAAGCACTAAACTGCTTAACTTGCTGACTGAAAGGTCAGTAGTTCAAATCCGGGGAGTGGGGTGAGCTCCTGCTATTAGCCCCAGCTTCTGCCAATCTAGCAGTTTGAAAACATGCATATGTGAGTAGATCAATAGGTCCCACTTTGGTGGGAAGGTAACAGCGCTCCATGCAGTCATGCCGGTAACATGACTTTGGAAGCATCTACGGACAACACCAGCTCTTCTGCTTAGAAATGGAGGAGAGCTCCACCCCTCAGAGTCAGACACGACTAGACTTAATGTCAAGGGGAAACCTTTACCTTTACCTAAGTATTGTTCACCTCTAACAACTACTCCAAACAAGTTACAGTTCTATATCAATTGAATTCAGAAGGAAGGGATTCATTTTTAAACCAAAACAAAAAGGAAAACAAAAAAACTGGGAAGGTGGGAAAAAGAGAACAAAATCTACTGTTCCTTCCTCTTTTTCACTCTGCTTGTAAAAGTCCTGCAGGAGTTTGAATACTTTGGAGATTCTGTTATAAAAGGCCCAGCCCACCACCATTAGGTTTTGTTTTTTAAGTTGGGGACAAGAGCTTGGGATGAGGAAGAAATTGGGGACATTGCCCTCCACAAAAAAACTCCCCCCCCCCAATAAAATTTCCTTCATTTCTCAATTTTTGACATTGGATTAACTTAAAATTTCATTTGAGCATTTAGAAATACAGTTTATATATCCAAAGGGATAATGCAAATAAAGAAAATGTAAGAATTCTAGATATGAAGGATTTTCAGGACATCATTGTCTCGAATGTTAGAAATTCAGAGACAGAAGAAAAATAAAAGATGGTGGGGGGGGGGGGAGAACTCATTCCCCCATTGTGACCCCCTCCAGAGCTACAGTTTTTGATGACCTAGAAAGTTATTGAGTGCCCCATAGAGGTGAGTCAACAATAGTAATGAAATAGTTGCTTTCACTGTGAACAAATTCTTGCTAACACAAGGAGATCTTGAAATCAAATCATAAAACGAATCCATAGACACAAGTGGAAAACAACTAGATGATCTCTTCTCCATACCTTGGTCTGCTCCATCATTCAGATTCACAGGCAGAGCAGTCCATCTGAGGACAGGAGTGGGAGGCAAATTGCTGAATCCAGAGCCTAGCTTGGCTGGTGCCCACAAAGTAGAAATGGGTTCTGACATTTTAAAAATATTTTCCTTGTAGTCTTTGCCTCCCACCCATATTGGGGGAGTGTGGAGTGGAGTAGACAAGCAAATCACAGCAACTCACCAATAGCATATTATCTGTCCCATAAGGGAATGGAAGTGTTTGAAACTGCTGGATCCAACATCTCTCCTGGTCCATCTCTAAAATGCTCCTTCTTGCCCTTTTTACTCTCAAGATGGTAAGAGAGTCATTCTGTGCTTGCCAAGTAACTGTCTGGAAGACCATCAAACAATGCTATCATGGAGCAAGGGAATTGATATTCCTTGGACCTCCTTCTTCATAGGTCATAATCTATTGACAGTCTGGATGGATGGTCACCTCTCAAAGGTGCTTCAGAATTATGTATTGTTAGAAGTAGATGGTTGGACTAGATGGGCTTTGAGAGTCCTTCCAGTTCTCTGTTTGTCTGCTACTACAGAGTGGTTCCCAACCTTTGGTCCTCCAGGTCTTTTGGATTTCAGCTCCCACAATTCCTAACAGCTGGTAAACTGGCTGGGATTTCTGGGTGTTGAAGTCCAAAACACCTGGAGGACCAAAGGTTGGGAACCATTGTGCTATAAAACATAAATTGTTAGCATATATGTTGCCACCTGGCAAAGATCTCTGTAGTTCTAATCCTGCACTTATCAACCATAGGACCCAGCCTTAAGAAGACTTCAAACCTGGGAAGCCCTCCAAAAATAATACACCCAACTTGACAACAGATCTACTTAGAATGTTGGTTTGTAAAATATATGAAAACTGTTTGTTTCCTGTCCCCACAACAAGGGTAAATGTGTCTTCACCTCCACTCCTGGACGACCCTGTTCTGAATGCCATTGGAGAAAAATACAACAAGACAGCAGCTCAAGTGGCACTCCGCTTCAACATACAGCGAGGGGTGGTGGTCATTCCCAAAAGCTTCAATCCAGAACGTATTAGAGAAAACTTCCAGGTAAAATGTCAGTCTAATCTGGGGCTCTAGTTGATTGGAATATTTCATGGAAACCATGTAACACTGATCCCAGAGGAGCTGCACTAACCATCGATACACTTCTAGTCTGATTTCAAGGGGATGATGATGAAATCAAATACCTTGATGTCTTGATATATATATATATATAGGGAGTGTCTCTCCCTATATATACCTGCCTGAAGACTGAGTCCTGTGTCCCATTAATGTTATATTGTTAAATTGGACACTAATTTTATTGTATGCTGCCCTGAGTCAGTGTGATGTAGGCTAGAATATAAAGAACCCCCCCCCCCAATAGATCTAGCCAAGGTAGCCAATTCAACCATGTCTGGAGGACAACCCAGTTGGCACCTCTGGGGACATTGTATGTTATATGTCTATCACATCTTATGAGACTTGTGCTGAGTCCAGGAAGACCTCCAAGCTGTGGACCTGTATCCTCAGGGGAAGTGTAACCTCATCGTGCACAGCTTGCCACCCTATACCCCAATTGGCCTTGTGACTGACCAGGAGGACCGCTGTCTTGTCTGGATTAAGTCTCAGCTTGTTGGCCCTCGTCCTGTCCATCACAGCTGTCAGGCACTGGTTTAAGATTCAGGGAGCTTCCCTGGAATTCAGTGGAAAAGAGTAGTAGATCACCAGTTGTGTAAACAGAAAATAATGTTTTGTTTTCCCCTCCTCCTTTTCTGCAAAGATATTTGACTTTTGCCTCACCGAGAAAGAAATGGATGAAATAGAAGCTCTGAATAAAAATATCCGCTATGTGGAGCTGTTGATGTAAGTACCAACATAATGCCAAATGTGGAGTATGTGAAAAAATAAGGTCTAACATGACTTGATTTTTAGAAATACCTATCAAATTTGACGAGGTTGTGCTTAGACAGCTTTGAGCACAGCCAGACTCAGTATCAGAGATTGTCATCTCTTGGCAGCTGCTGAATGTCTGAGGTCCCAAGAGCATCCAGGGCCAGTCATACCATTGGGTAGGATGAGGCTGGAGACTCAATGGGCAGATTCTCAGGGACAAAAAGAATGAAGACCTATGTGGACCATATGTCCTGCATTGCTACAAGGATAAGGAAGGGTTTTGCCAAACTTTCTGTCAGCTCTGGTTTGCCAAACTTTGTGCCAGCTCTGGTTAAGTATGATCTCCCCATCCCACCATCTTGGGTGAGATTTGGAGTTACAGCCAATAACCTTGAATAAATTTCTCAATTAACCAAAGATCAATTGCTGAATGGTGGCATGACTGCAGGTGTGGTGTAGTGGTTTGAGCATTGGACTACAACTCTGGAGACCAGGGTTCAGTTTCCAGCTTTGCCATAAAAACCTACTGGGTGATCTGAAGCAAGTCACACTCTCTCAGCTCCAGAAAATCCCAGAATAGGGCGACCTTAGGGTTGCCATAAGTTGGAAATTACTTGAAGGCACACAACAACAATTGCATTGGTTCAGTGGATCATTAATTTCTGCTGTAGCCTGTACTACCAAGACTGAAGGCTTATCTACTAATTTAAAGCAGGCTCTTTGCCTTTCCGTTAGGCTAAGGGTGGTGCTGTATGTTGAACCAAGAGCAATAATGGAGCAGAGATGCAGCAAAGAATGAAACATACAGTCCAGTGGAGTGTTCAGAGTTCACATCACTGTTGTGATAACACTGTGGTAGCTTAAAGGAATACTTTTTTAGAAGTAGGCAAAGTTACAGTCTCTGATTATTGTAGAACTACAGTCTTTAGCACATGTCATCACTGCCTATTCCTTTAGTCAGAGAAAGCAAGAAGGAAAATGAACTCTGTTTTATGTTAACAATCACAGCAATAGTTTTCTTTGTATCCCAGTCTACTACTGTCTCATTTTCAGACTTTCACAAATTGTTGAACTAAAGTTTAGTAAGTGATAAGGAATGCTAGGATTTGCAGTCAAACACATAATGACAGCATCAAGTTGGGTGGAGACTGTACCAGTTGTGCCACGTTGCTCTTTGGAGTGAGGTCCTTCTCTCAAGAGGGCCACCTAGATGTGCTGGTCGGAGTGCTGGATTATGAATCTGGAGACCAGTTTGAATCCACCATAGAAACCCACTAGGTTATCATAGTATTGCAGATCCATTAAAAGTTAGCTATAGAGTCATATGGAGTACCTAAAGATTCCTAAAGAGGTGTTCTCTTAAGATTTAAAAAGAGGGTTTTTTATTCCCATTTCACTACTTTCATGGGGGCCCTGCACTCCGAATTGCAGCAAGTGTGGAGGGCTTATATTATATGGAATTGATGATCTAACTGAAAGTATCAAGAAGGTGATATATGTTACCCCCCAAAACTTCATTCAAGTTGTCAACAAATTTGAGTACTGAAATGAAATCACCAAAGAGACATTTCTTTTCATCTTAAAGCTGAAAAAAATCTTCTTAATGATTTCTGGGAAATGTGGAAAAATGCATTCACTCACAGTAAAAATTTAGGAGCTCACAAAATTATATGAGGTTAGCTCTTCCTGGGAACACCCACCAAACTTTGTCAAGTCTGCAGCAAGTAGGACTTGAACACAATTGCACAAAATGACGCTGGCATCCCTTTTGAACAGCATCTCACTCTCTGGGCTTCTGGAAGCTACTCGGACCATTAATATCCTTACATAACGGAAGAAGGCATCCAGGATCCAGGTTGAGTCCCAACAGTTTAATTAGAAGAGGCAGCCAGGTCTAAATTGGATGCCTGGCAGTCTAATGGGGGTGGAGGAAGAGGCAACATGTCCTGGTGCCAAACTGAAAAGGAGAAGTTTAGCCTTGGCCAGCTCAAGGAACTAAAGCTAAATCCATGGACAATTGGACTGTAGTTTTTTCCACACAGAACTAGGATATGGATTTGTGAAACCACATTTATTTGGCTATGAGTGTCAAGGAACTGTGCAGGCTTTGGTGTTCTCCAGAACTCTTTGTGATGTTAGGTGGAACAAAAAGCATGGAGAAGAGAGGGAAAGAAGAGTTCAAAAGGTGCAACTCAAACACATCTATTGTTTTTTTTAATGGACCGACATCTTTGAAAACCAACCAACCTGTTCATCCATCCATTTAATCTGATGGTCCATGGGAAGAGTTTTAAATTGTGATTTTGGTATGCTTCTGCTAGAAATTTCTATAGATGCATGTTGGTGGACCTAGCAAATTCCTAAAAGGATACCTCTCTTGAAATTTTCTAGGTCTATGTGATTCTATGGTAACTTTTGGCAGAAGTCATTCATTTCAGTGGGGTTCACTATTATCCACTGTAGGTTCTGGAATATATCACCCACCAATACAGGGACTGCTTTCCAGTTATTTAACAATTCAGAATCCTGTTGAGCTACATCAGGGATTGGCAAATGTAGGCCTCCCCCACAACAGACAATGATATAACCTTGTTTGTGGCCACCATTTTACCTGATTCTCTCTTTCTCTCTCTAGTGTTGTGAATGGTTGGGGGAAGCAAAATACTATGTTTGCAGGCATTTTGGAGAAGTTTGTGCAGAGAAAACTTACCAGTAGATTATGTCCAAGATAAGCAGTATGTCCTGGTGGTTATTTATTGTGCTAAATGTCACTGTTAATTTTTGCTTTCCATTCTTTGCAGGTGGAAGGATCACCCCGAGTACCCATTTCATGAGGAATATTGAAAATAAGGAGCAAGCGTGTATTTAATCTGAGTAGTTATGGTTTACTTTTAAACATTTTTGTATCTAACGACAGCAATATTTTACTCTTTCTCTAGATCACATAGAGTTCTTGGAAAAGCTGCTCTTTCTTTTTACCCCAACTCCCAGAATCCCCCAAGTACTGTGGTTCAAAAAAAGTAGTCAAGCTCTAGTCACACGACCCTTGCAGTGCTCCAGTTCTCAAATGACATCTTCCATCATGAATGTGAAAAACAAGGCCCAGTTTGAGAAATGCATTGTTATTCCATTTTTCAAAATGTAGCTAGATTTTTTTTAAGGATCGTGATTTACATTTTTATATAAATAGCCAGAATTGATTTCACTGGAGATCTGAATAGCAGAAGATCTTTTACTGGCTTTTTTGAAACTTGCTATAGCTAACAAACATTAAAGAATATTTCTGACTCAACAACCTCTGATGAACCCTAATGGTTGGATGAAGAGTCAGGAAACAATACATGAGGATGGCACTGATTCAAAACAAATCTGGATGTGAATTTTGGAAACAATCTTTTTTGAAAAAACAGGCAATCATCCTCTAGATCAGAATGTTCCCTGATCTTGGCACTCCTGCCCACATTATGCTGTTTGCATAAAAAGGAATCCTGGAGCAATGCCATCTTTTCCTTTAGAGCAGGGTTGAGGTACCTCAAGCCCTTGGATCAAGACCAGCCCCGTGTCTCGATGCATGTGCCCTTCTTCCCAAGATACCTCTGTCCCATGACTTCCTCTCTCTGCTAAAAGGTTGAAATGTCTTTCCTAAGGCTTTGTTAACTAGCAGTAGGAGTTTCAAGGAAAAATATCCTAATGTTTCTCACTGGTATATAGCCCCTGAGAAGTTCTCCTGAAGAATGCACCCCACTGTTGCTTCAAAAGTGAAGTCAACAATCAGTTGTGTAAGCTCAAAATAATGTAGAGGTTGAGTATCCCTTATCTGGAAATTCTGAATTGCCTAGATGGGTGGCTGAAATAATAACACCTTTGTTTTCTAATGGTTGAGCGTTCATGCACAAACTTATTAAAATATTGTATAAAATGACCTTCAGGCTGTGTGTATAAAGTGTCTGTGAAGTATAATTGAGTTTTGTGTTTCAACTTGGTCCCATCTCCATGTACATCTCATTATGTACATATATGAAAATCCAAAATCCAGAACATTTCAGGTTCCAAGCATTTGGGATAAGGCATGCTCAACCTGTACTATGGTCCAGGCCTTTTCCAACTACAGAATTCCACTTTAACTATCATGGTTGCATCCTATGACATCCTAGTTGAGGCACCAGAGCTCTCTGCTTGTGAATTCTGAATGCCCCTACCTGAACTACAAATTCCAGCATTCGATCAGATGAAAATTTGGCGGTTACTGGAATCATAGCATTGTAAATGTATAATGTCTATTCTTAGCTATGCATAACAGAAAGCTCAACAACTACTGCCTTGTCAGCAATGTACACTGACCAGCATTTTCATAAGTGCATTTTTCAGTGCATGAATAAATGTGGTGATGCACATCCATCTTTCTTATATGCACTTGTGTGTATTTTTGGACAAGAATGTAGAAATCAGCAACTCCCAATCTCACTGAAGGCATTAGAAATAATTAGGTCAAAGAAATGTCAATATCTCCTCAACCCCCGAAAAATTCTAGAAATTGCTTGGCTGGTTTCCAAAGCAATTGACTTTGAAGATCACCTGATCCTCCTGAATCCAATCACTCTGACCTCAATTGCATCAATGAATGTTGCTAGAAGTCAGGGACAAACTGGGAAAGGGAGAGTGATCTTACAATCTCACCGAAGGCCTTAGAAATACGAGTCAATATCTCTGCAACCTCCAAAAAATTGTAGAAGTTGCTTGGCTGCTTTCCAAACCAATTGATTTTGAAGATCAGCAGATCCTCCTGAATCCATTCATTCTGACATTTCCAATCACTCTGACCTCAATTACATTGATGAATGTTGCTAGAACTTGGGGACAAACTGGGAAAGGGAGAGGGATAATGCGGGCTTTCAGGGAAAATATATTTCTAATGTCTCTGCAATAGAACCAACTGGCCAATATGGCAAAGATTTAAGGAGAGGTGCAGAACCAGAGACATAAAAATGTGAATTCAACTAATGTTGTTCCGTGGTGAAGGGGAAGCTGTTCTCTCTGGCTTAGATCAATATTTGAGCAAAGAAGTATTTGGAGCTAGCGATACTGTGTAGATGAAGCAAGTACTATGAGTCCCCTAAAGCTCATAACCACATGCCTAGAGGTATGATCTCAAGAACATCTTGATATACTTTTTATTCTTCTATAAAGCATTAATCCCTCTCTATTGAAATCAATGGGATGCCTGCCACCAACTTCAATAGGAGTAGGATGACACTATATGATGTTATAAAAAATTGTGGTTGTTTCATATACAACCACAACTATTCAAGAGGGAGAAGAAAGAACCATTGAAAAGAAGGCTGCTGTCCAGTGAAAGTTAGCTATGACTACATCCCATTCAAGTCAACAGAACATGTTAGTCCCTTAGGACTCTTCAGTATGATTTTACCACAAACCGTCACTGGAAAGTAAATTCTGGCTTGGCAAGCAATTCCTGTTTGCCTGAGATTGGCTTCAAAATGAGGACCATTTGACTTTTTGATCTTGAAAACAAATGCACACACAAAGTGGCAAACTTGCAATGAGATGTGAGATCCAGATCTTAACTGAAGCTCAAACTGGGAAGTGTGATGCCAAAACAAAGTCAAACAAGTTGGGGCCTACTTTAGAGCTTTGGGGAAAAAATTCCAGTAACTGACAATGACCACTGATAATGCTGATTAGGGAATTTCGAGAGCTATAGTCCAAAAAAAGTGTCCAGACTCTGGTCTCTATGTTTAAAATTTCACAATCTAAGCAGCCATCTGGAAGTTACTGTCCAAAACCATCATCCTTTCAAGCTAGGGTCTAGAGCAGTGGTTCTCAAGTGTCCTAACCCTTAATACAGTTCCTCATGTTGTGGTGACCCCCAACCATAAAATTATTTCCGTTGCTACTTCATAACTGTAATTATGCTACTGTTATGAATCGTAATGTAAATATCTGATATGCAGGATGTATTTTCATTCACTAGAACAAATTTGGCACAAATACCACATACACCCAAATTTGAATACTGGGTTGATTTTATCATTTGGGGGTTGTAGTTGCTGGGATTTATAGTTCACTTACAATCAAAGAGCATTCTGAACTCCACTGACAATGGAATTGAACCAAACTTGGCACACAGAATTCCCCTGGCCAACAGAAAATACTGGAAGGGTTTGGTGGGCATTGACCTTGAGTTTTGGAGTTGTAGTTCACCTATATCCAGAGAGCACGGTGGACTCAAACAACGATGGATCTGGACCAAACTCGGAACAAATACTCAATATGCCCAAATGTGGACACTGGTGGAGTTTTGGGGAAATAGACCTAGACATTTGGAAGTTGTAGTTGCTGGGATTTATAGTTCACCTACAATCAAAGAGCATTCTGAACCCCACTGACAATAGAATTGGGCCAAACTCCCCACACAGAACCCCCATGACCAGGAGAAAATACTATGTTTTCAGATGGTCTTTGGCGACCCCGTCTGACACCACCTCGTGACCCCCCCCCCAGGGGTCACCACCACCAGGTTGAGAAACACTGGTCTAGAGTAGTGAATTGCAAACAAAATTCTGTTTGATGCTTCAACTCTGAACCTGGAAAATGTGCATAAGACTTAGTTTTGGATATGCTCATCATGACTGGAAGCATCCGATGCTGTTTTGCAAAATTACCACTGTGTTATCTACATTTATTCTCTCCAGCAGGGAAATTAGCCATATGCGTAGACGTTACTCTTTGTTACATAGAATAAGATGGTTCAGAACATGACAAGGCTCTGCCTATTTCATTCTCAAATTTCCACATAAGGACAATTTTGGCCTGTTGTTATGTTAGATATCCTGGGTTCCTTTGAACACGGGGTTGACTTCCTTTTCTTCAAGTGTAAACATCTTGAGTATTTTATTTATCGTGTCAGAAGTTACTTGAGAAACTGCAAGTCACTTCTGGTATGAGAGAATCGGTCGTCTGCAAGTAAGTTGGCCAGGGGACACCCAGATGTGCTACCATCCTGGAGGCTTCTCTCATGTCCCCACATGGAAAACTGGGGCTGACAGCTGGGAACTCACCCCATCTTGTGGATTCGAACCACAGACCTTAATGCCAGCAGTTCAGCCATCACAAGGGTTTAACCCATTGTGCCATCGGTGGGATATAAATTAAAGCAAATGATGAATCAGTTGAACAGATCCTGTAATCCAGCAGCATGTCAACAAAAAGTAAACACACAAAATAAACAGATTAGATTCTGTATGCAACTATTCTGTTGCAAAATTTCTAACATATGGGCCCATTCAACTGGAAAACCCATTTTTACCTACCTGAGAAACAAGTGAGCAAGACATGTGAAGGACCAGCATTTTGCAGGTACTGTATATAGCTTTCAAGAACTGAAACCAGCAGCATTTTTTCTTTCAAGTAGACCTGTGTTCAGTGCCACATAAGGCCCAGAATGGTTCACAAAGTGGGTGGCCATCTGCATATTTACCAATATCGAAAGGGTCTAGCTCCCATGCCTGGTCTATCTCTTACCTGCAGGCTTTATTTTTTGTTTTAGGGATTGAGTTTGTTTAGTAGCCTGGTAAGAATTTGCTCGAAAGAATGTCAAATCAGCACTGAATCTTGAAGAAAAATAAAGACATGCTTGGGTACTTTTTTATATGGAAAAATGAGAATTATTTCTTCTTTCCAGAAGTGTACAACTAAATTCAACTTTTTGGTTTTTTGCTTTCCCCATTTCCAGGAAGTGCTTTGCAAAGCTTGATCACATTTTGCAAATACAAAAACCTAGAGCGGTAACAGGCTGCCAAAAACTGATAGAATCGGAAACACTGTTGTTTTAATAGTTTGGTCCAAGATTTATTGGGTCAACACATTTATGCCCAAAACTAGGCCTCTTAATAGCAGTGCTGGACTTATAAATCATGTTATAAAACTACTTAAGTTTTATGGGGCATGTTTCAGCTGTTGAAAATATCCCCCCGCCTACACTCACACTGGACATTAGGGAAAATTAGTCACACTACTGCATCCTACTGATTCAATAGGGTTTCATAATTATTTCTTTGGGAATACAGTTACAGCCTAAAAAGTAGAGAAATATACCATATTTAATGTATTGTCGAAGGCTTTCATGACTGGAATCACTGGGTTGCTGTAAGCTTTCTGGGCTGCATGGCCATATCCTAGAAGCATTCTCTCCTGATGTTTTGCCCACATCTGTGGCAAGCATCCTCAGAGGTTGTGAAGTCTGTTGGATCTAGGCAAGTGGGGTTTATATATCTGTGGAATGTCCACAGAAAGATAGGCTTGAAGATGCAAAGCTATTCAATGCTAATCAAACTGACCAATTTCAACATTCATACTTGCTTCCAACAGACGAGAGTTTTTTCTCCCACCCTGGACATTCCACAGAATATAAACTCCACTTGCCTAGTTTCCAACAGACCTCACAATCTCTGCCTGGTAGCAAATACACACACACAAACACTAGCTGTCCCCTATTGTTCCACTGTCTGGTTTGCTGACTCTAGAACATGCAACATATAACTGTCCATGTGAGAAGCAATCCCTGTCTAGATCTCAATCACACTATTCTAAAGATTGGCCCTGAACTTTGTTGATGGTGCTTGCAAACGCCAATTGAATTGGGAATTGCAATCTCTTAAATTGAAATGGCATATCCGTTGGAATCATAGGAATGCGAGGAATGAGACCATCTTCAACCCGGAATGTCAAGGTAGTGGATTATATGCCAGTGTAGACTCAGAGCCAGTGTAGACTCATTCAAAATGTAGTAAAAAAAGAACATATGCTCAATTCCTTAAGTGTCTATTACTAGTGGATTTCTGACCATTCTCTCTGCTCAGATCATACTGCTCATGTGCCTCCCCTATGCCAAGGTAGCTGTGCCAATGCTGCCAGTTTATGTCTTCTAAAATAAGAGAGTGACATATACAAAAGAAATGGGCCTCTGTGCACTAAGAAACTTGGGAAGGGTGTCTTTGAGCCCATGTCCCTTTTGCATGTCTTTCAGAGACACATGGCTGGTCAATAAAGGAAGAACATGTTGGATTGGACAGACCTTTCATAAGAGTTCAGAAAGGCTGTGTTTAAGGAATGGAGGCACAAATGGAGGGCAAAAGAGAAAAACATGCCAAGAGGAAGGCGCGTCAAGCCAACCCCAACCGGGACCATCTTCCACCTGGAAACTGATGCCCTCACTGTGGGAGAAGATGCAGATCAAGAATAAGGCTCCACAGTGACCTACGCACCCACCTCCAGAACACTGAACTTGGAGGATCATCATTGTGACGTCGCGCCTGGGGGCTATAACTCTTAATGTGAGAGGAATGGATGTGGCATCTTTCCCCAGGGGATTGCTTCTTGCCCTCCTATAGGAAACTGGAACTCCCAAAGACCAAAACACAACAGATAACTCGAAATTCTATTTATTGTTCACAATGAGTTATCTTTCTCAGGCATAATCTTGATGTTTCAACAGGGATAAAAGAAATATACTTTACAATCTCTGAAGTCCAAGGAGTTTGTAGCTGAGAAGCTTTTCCTGTTTCCTCTTTCCTCAATGGCTGTGAATGCTGGAGCAAACCACAACCTCAGTTCAAATGGCCTATGATTGAAGACTCAGGATCTTCCTCTGGTGCCAAAAGAACCGGTTTGAAGGCGCTTGAGACTTCCAACATCGTTCAGGTTGGTCTGAACATGAAACATAAGTCTCAAGGGTAAAAAACCTCAGAACTGGTGCTGAGAGGTAATTTAAGCAGGGACTTTTAGAGCCAAGTCTCTTACTCACGTCCATCTGATAGAAACTCTGATGGCAGAATGAAAAGGGAAGCACTCCCCTCCTCCAGGAAGAGGTGGAGCCAAACAATACTGATTGACAGCTGTAAGTAGCCAATCAAAGCAACCATACATAAGCAGGGTAAAAAGGCAGGATTAAGCATGATACAACAGTTTAAATCTTGCAACTAACAGTTTTACACATAGGTGGCGCCACTCGCGCCGTCACAATCATCCTCGAACTATGAGGGATCGCGTAAGTAAGTAAATTTAAGGAATGGCCATGTAAAGAGGCATATGGGTTTGAAAGCTGGACTCAAACTGTGAGAGACCAGGGCTCAAACCCCCATGAAAATCCACTGGCAAATCACATTATCTCAGACAAAGGCAATGGCAAATCTCCCCTGGATAAATCTTGCCAAGATAAACCCTTCCATCATCAGAGCTGCCATAAGTTGGATTCTACTTGGAGACACAACATTATGCTGCTTGAAAGATTCTGGGAATTGCAATTCCCAAACTATTTTCAACCCTGATACAGGATATGTGTATCTACATATACTCACACATATACACATACATACACACTTACTGCTGACTAGGACCTAAACATCTTACAAGGGTGTGAAGTTGTTATATATACATAGTGGCTCTGCATCTCACATAGAAGACCAATTTGTGACAGGATCATCTTGTACAGTTTATTTCCTATTCAAACAAAAAGGCAACCAGTTCCATTCGACTAAAGGTAAAGGTTTCCCCTTGATATTACATCTAGTTGTGTCCTACTCTGGGGGTGGTGGTGCTCATCTCCATTTCTAAGCCGAAGAGCTGGTGTTGTCCATAGATACCTCCTAGGACATGTGGCCAGCATGACTGCATGGAGTACCGTTACCTTCCTGCTGAGGCAGTACCTATTGATCTACTCACACTTGCATGTTTTTGAACTGCTAGGTTGGCAGAAGCTGGGGCTAACAGCGGGAGCTCACCCCATCTTGTGGATTTGAACTGCCAACCTTATGGTTGACAGCTCAACTGTTTAACCCGCTGCGCCACTGCAGTAGGTTACTAGACTACTAGAGACTCTAAATGCCAATAATCAAGAAGGAAGTTGCTGCAGTATTTTAAACAACAAACATTGTAACAATAATTCTGGAGTCCATACTTGTAGTCCAAAGGGGGGGGAGGGCATCCTGATGTCCTATATCAGAAAAACTAAGGACAACAAAGGCTTTTACAAGATCACACATTTATCAGAAGGTAATGGTGCTTTTTCATATTCAATGATATATGCTGGGTAAATCTGGTGCTTCTCAAAGATAACAAAAATGGAAGGATCCAAACTATTGTCCACACAGCTATCATAAAAACAGCCTGGTTGGTCAGGTCTAGATGGGGGGAGAACGTAAGTGCTGTTTCCTGGAACGTATTTTCCAACTAGAACTCTAGCTACAACCATGCTCTTGGTGCAAGTGTTCGATTGGCAGTATATATTGGATGTGCTGGCATCTCTGGCAAAATAACTCCCTAAAAGAAAATCAATAAGTTAGTAAGAGACAAGCCACTTTAAGTAGAAACCTGATCTCAATTTGTGCTGCAATTTCTGATTGCTCCCTCTGTTATCACTATGGTTTTGACACAAGACTAACACAAGGACAAGGCACTAGCTCAGCTTGGAAAAGTTACTTTTTTGGATTACGAGACCCAATATCCCGCACTCAAAAAGGCTCTGGGTACCAGCAAGCTTAGGGGAACTCCAATGCTTGCAGGAAGAGCTTTAGGCACAGATGTAGAAAATCAGGGTATAATTTTTCTAAATGATTTTTTGGGGAAAAATAGGTAAAGATGGCTGTTTCTAAACAGCACAATACATAGTGCTAATACAGTACAATCCTATATCCAGTGACGAATTTAGCACAAATGAGGCACTGTGCTCGTTATATTATGAGGCCCTTGACTTGGACCCTGAAAGAGGGAGGCCCAGTAGGCCTATACTGCCTGCTTTGTGGCAAATTCCTATAGACTATCTATTCTATCCTCCAGCAAAGGATCACCGCCTTGTTGGGGCGCTGGAGCTTGAGCACCTCAATGATGTCATGAGCGAAACCGTGAAGGGCCACCCAAGACGGGACGGTCGTGGCAGAGAGGTCAGACCAAGCGTGATCCCTGGGGAAGGCAATGGCAAACCACTCCAGTATCCTTGCCAAGAAAACTAAATGGACCAGTACAACCAGAGATATGTCAGTATGCCATTGGAAGATGGGACTCCCAGGTCGGAAGATGGCCAAAATGCTACTGGGGAGGAGCAGAGGATAAGTTCAACTAGCCCCAGTTGTGATGACGCAGCTAGCTCAAAGCCGAAAGGAAGGCTAGCGGCCGACGGTACTGGAGGTGAACGACGAATCCGATGCTCTAAAGATCAACACACCATAGGAACCTGGAATGTAAGATCTATGAGCCAGGGCAAATTGGATGTTGTTATTGGTGAGATGTCAAGACTAAAGAGAGACATTCTGGGGGTCAGCGAACTGAAATGGACTGGAATGGGCCACTTCACATCAGATGACCACCAGATCTACTACTGCGGACAAGAGGAACATCGAAGAAATGGAGTAGCCTTCATAATTAATAAGAAATTCGCTAAAGCAGTGCTTGGATACAACCCAAAAAATGACAGAATGATCTCAATTCGAGTGCAAGGAAAGCCTTTCAACATCACAGTGATCCAAATATACGCCCCTAACCACAGCTGCTGAAGAAGCAGAAGTAGATCAGTTCTATGAGGATCTGCAGGACCTACTGGATAATACACCAAAAAGAGACATTATTTTCATTACAGGAGACTGGAATGCCAAGGTGGGAAGTCAAATGACAAATGGGATCACAGGCAAGCATGGTCTGGGAGAACAAAATGAAGCGGGACGCAGGCTGATAGAATTTTGCCAGGAAAACTCGCTGTGTATAACAAACACTCTCTTCCAACAACCTAAAAGACGGCTTTACACATGGACTTCACCAGATGGTCAACACCAAAATCAGATTGACTACATCCTTTGTAGCCAAAGGTGGCGGACATCCATCTAGTCGGTGAAAACAAGACCTGGGGCTGACTGTAGCTCAGATCACGAACTTCTTATTGCTCAATTTAGAATAAAACTAAAGAGATCAGGGAAAATACACAGACCAGTTAGATATGATCTCACTAACATTCCTAGCGAATATACAGTGGAAGTGAAGAACAGATTTGAAGGACTAGATTTAGTAAACAGAGTCCCAGAAGAACTATGGTCAGAAGTCCGCGACATTGTTCAGGAGGCGGCAACAAAGTACGTTCCCAAAGAAAAAGAAAACCAAGAAGGCAAAATGGTTGTCTGCTGAGACACTGGAAGTAGCCCAAGAAAGGAGGAAAGCAAAAGGAAACAGGGATAAGGGGAGATATGCCCAGTTAAATGCGCAATTCCAGAGGTTAGCCAGAAGAGATAAGGAACTATTTTTAAATAAGCAAATGCATGGAAGTGGAAGAAGACAACAGAATAGGAAGGACAAGAGACCTCTTCCAGAAAATTAGAAACATTGGAGGTAAATTTCAGGCAAAAATTGGTATGATAAGAAACAAAGATGGCAGGGACCTAACAGAAGCTGAAGAGATCAAGAGAAGGTGGCGAGACTATACAGAAGATCTGTATAGGAAGGAAAATAATATCGAGGATAGTTTTGACAGTGTGGTGAATGAATTAGAACCAGACATCCTGAGGAGTGAGGTTGAATGGGCCTTAAGAAGCATTGCTAACAACAAGGCAGCAGGAGACGACGGGATCCCAGCTGAACTGTTTAAAATCTTAAAAGATGATGCTGTCAAGGTGATGCATGTCATATGCCAGCAAATATGGAAAACACAAGAATGGCCATCAGACTGGAAAAAATCAACTTATATCCCCATACCAAAAAAGGGAAATGAGAAAGACTGCTCAAACTTCCGTACAGTGGCCCTTATTTCTCATGCCAGTAAGGTAATGCTCAAGATCCTGCAAGGAAGACTCCAGCAATACATGGAGCGAGAGTTGCCAGATGTTCAAGCTGGGTTTAGAAAAGGCAAAAGAATGAGAGACCAAATTGCCAATATCTGCTGGATAATGGAGGAAAGCAGGGAGTTTCAGAAAAAACATCCATTTCTGTTTTATTGACTCTTCTAAAGCCCTTGACTGTGTGGATCATATTAAATTTTGGCAAGTTCTTGGTGGGATGGGCATACCAAGCCACCTTGTCTCTCTCCTGAGGAATCTGTACAAGGACCAAGTAGCAACAGTCAGAACTGACCACGGAACAACAGACTGGTTCAAGATTGGGAAAGGCGTACGGCAAGGCTGCATACTCTCACCCAACCTTTTTAACTTGTATGCAGAACACATCATGCGATGTGCGGGGCTTGAGGAATGCAAAGCTGGGGTGAAAATTGCTGGAAGAAACATTAACAACCTCAGATATGCAGATGACACCACTCTGATGGCCGAAAGCGAGGAGGAGCTGAGGAGCCTTCTAATAAAGGTGAAAGAAGAAAGCGCAAAAGCCGGGTTGCAGCTAAACATCAAAAAAACCAAGATTATGGCAACAAGAATGATTGACAACTGGAAAATAGAGGGAGAAAATGTGGAGGCCATGACAGACTTTGTATTTCTAGGCGCAAAGATTACTGCAGATGCAGACTGTGGCCAGGAAATCAGAAGACGCTTACTTCTTGGGAGGAGAGCAATGTCCAGTCTCGATAAAATAGTAAAGAGTAGAGACATCAGACTGGCAACAAAGATCCGCCTAGTCAAAGCCATGGTCTTCCCCGTAGTCACCTACGGATGTGAGAGCTGGACCTTAGGGAAGGCTGAGCGAAGGAAGATCGATGCTTTTGAGCTGTGGGGCTGGAGGAAAGTTCTGAGAGTGCCTTGGACTGCGAGAAGATCCAACCAGTCCATCCTCCAGGAAATAAAGCCCGACTGCTCACTGGAGGGAAAGATACTAGAGACAAAGTTGAAGTACTTTGGCCACATCATGAGGAGACAGCAAAGCCTAGAGAAGACAATTATGCTGGGGAAAGTGGAAGGCAAGAGGAAGAGGGGCCGACCAAGGGCAAGATGGATGGATGGCATCCTTGAAGTGACTGGACTGACCTTGAAGGAGCTGGGGGTGGTGACGGCCGACAGGGAGCTCTGGCGTGGGCTGGTCCATGAGGTCACGAAGAGTCGGAGACGACTGAACGAATGAACAACAACAACAATCTATTCTATCATTGTGCCTGGAATTGCTCCAAAACAGAATGCTTTCAAATTTAGAATTGCACCACATAAGCAAAATCCATTATTAAAAAAAAGATAGAGACATCACACTGACAATGAAGATCCACATAGTTAAAGCAATGATATTCCCTATAGTAACCTATGGTTGTGAGAGCTGGAGCTGAGTGAAGGAATGTAGACACTTTTGAATTGGGTTGCTGGAGGAAAATCTTATTGGAGTGCAAGAAGATCAAACCAGGAAATAAAGCCCAACTGCTCACTGGAGGGAAGGATATTAGTAGTTTGGTCACATAATGAGAAGACAGGATACTTGAAGAAGACAATGATGCTGGGGAGCATGGAAGGAAAAAGGAAGAGGGCCCAACCAAGGGCAAGATGAATGAATGGTGTCCTTAAAGTGACAGGCTTGACCTTGAAGGAGCTGGGGGTGGTGACAGCTGACAGGGAGCTCTGGCCTGGGCTGTTCCATGAGCTCATGAAGAGTCGGAAGCGACTCAACAAATAAACAACAAAAATCTCTCTAAGATTGCAATTATCTGCAGAATTTTAGTGAACACAACTTTTTATGGCTTGATTGGTGCAAGAAAAAATAAATTTTGGTAAAGGACCTGTCTTGGATCTGGGAACACATACACACACCATACCTTTTCCATATAGAGTTCCATTTGTCCCACATATTCTCCAATCAAAGTTATTTGCACAGATACCATCCAAGTAGGAAGTGTTTGTACCATGGAAGAGAAGCCTTTCTTCCACCGCTTTCCCTTTGTTCAACTTTCTCATCTGTTCTCTCTGCCTAAAAAGAGAAACATCTACTTAACCTACACAAACACACACACATACTAAGTCAAGCTTGATTTAAACAATATAACTCACCTTCCTTTTCCAGTCCTGGGACAATACATAAAAAGTCTAGGTCAAAGGCTTTCACAGCTGGAATCACTGGAGTGTTGTATAGCTGTGTTCTAGCAGCATTTTCTCTTGACGTGTCACCTGCATTTGTGGCTAACATATTCAGAGGATCTGATTCTCTGAAGATGCCAGCCAGAGATGCAGGCAAAACATCAGGAGAAAATGCTACTAGAACATGGCCATACAGCCCAGAAACCACAGAACGCTTCAATCTAGGCACCTTTGCCAAATTTGTTTATACGCTTACACTGGGGTAGGAATCATGCAACTTTAAAGAAGTTGTTGGATGCAACTCTCAGCATTCCTTATTGTTGGCAATGCTAGCTAAGGCTGATTTATACTTGCAATCGAATAACTTAATTAAGGTGGCAAGTATGTCAGTAGGGACTGCCATCCCCACTGACACATTTGCCACCTTAATTAAGTACAGCTTTTTTTAGGAATAATTACTCTGAACTGGCTTGTCCACTAATGACATAGCTGAATGGCACATCTTACATTTTGCATTTAAGCTCCCAGGTTCAATTGTTGCCATTGTTCAGGAGGTCAAAGAAGTATCTCTTTCTGGAACATTGGTGATTCTCTATTAACAAAAAGTGACCATTTATTGGCATCTTGGTATTGCTGCATTATAATTCCCATCAGTCTTAGTTAACATTGCAAATGGAAAGGGATTCAATTGAATTTCAGCTACATTCCTGGGAGGATTGGCAGCTATTCCCCATGTCTGGTATAAACAATATGGAGCTTGATGAACCAACAGTTGGCACTATACAAGTAGCTTTCTAGTTCTCTATATATAGTATGTATTAGCATGGAAACTACACCTAATGAACCCAAGTATGTATCAAGAGGCACTTCTACCCGTCAAGGGCACCACCAGGCAGCCCTGGACTGAAGGTTTTCTGCAGTACCCTACAACCCGAGTATAGAATTTATCCTTCCTTTTCACTACTCACACATCTAAATTGAATAGATATTTACTGTGACTATATTTATATCAAATAATCTCCTAGCAGGGCACAAGACAGTAAACCAACACACAAAAAGTCAAGCCCTGGCCACAGTGTATGAACCTAATCAGGCCACGACTTTCCTGTAAGAGTTAATGAAAACCCACATTTTAATTTGGTTCTAAAATTAAGACAATGTTATCATCACTGAGCCTTCAAGGGGGAGAGGAACGTGTTATTATCACTGCTTAACAACTGAGGCAGCAAGAACCGCAAAATCCCACCAAAATCCATTTCTCATCCTCATAACACAATTTCCATTCATGAGAGTAAAAATGAAAATAGAATACAAACCACTGAAAGACTTCCCAGAGAGACGGGTTCTGAATTCTTTGGAGTTTGTTGATAGTGTAACCTTCCATTGTGTTCATAAATAATTCCTTGATTTCATGATACTCTTCAGTACTATTGGACACTGTCACCAGCTAATACACAACAAGTATAATTGTTAACAAACATTTTTATCTCTAGTTCTTGGTGTTTTATCTTGATACATCAAGTTCTGGACAAAAACAGGTCCTGGAATGGGATCATGGTGAAATTCACTTGGGACGTTTTCCCATCAACTTTATAGAATGGAGGCAATTGTCGGAGTTGCTCCTGCAGAACTCTGGGAAATGTAGTTCAGGGCAGAACCTTTGAAATTCTCAGCTAGGGAGGTCCTCAGCTTCCCTAAACTACATTTCCCAGAATTTCGCAGGGGCAGATCAGACAATAGCACCCGTTCTATAACACTGGTGGGAAAATATCCATAGAAAAAAGCCAACCCAATTTGATCAAAATGGCTGAAGCTTATGATATAGTTTCTAGCTGTTTAGGTTGTTGTGTGACTGATAAGAATTGGGCTATGACACAAATGTATTCCGGCCCAAGCTACCTATCTGACCGCATCTCTGCCTATGAACCCACCGGGACTTTGAGATCTTCCGGAGAGGCCCTGCTCTCGATCCCGCCTGCTTCTCAAGCATGGCTGGCGGGGACGAGAGATAGGGCCTTCTCGGTGGTGGCTCCTCGGCTGTGGAACGCCCTTCCTACGGACATTAGACTAGCACCATCTCTAATGGTATTCCGCAGGAAAAGTGAAGACCTGGCTGTTTGAGCAGGCGTTCGAATAATTAGTGCAATGATTGGTTAATGAACATTGGAACGGAATAATGGATGACGAATCTGGATCATGTTTTTGATGATGAGACGATAGTGAATAGTGAATGGTTATTGTAGTAATTGTTTATTAATTATGTAATATGTTAGGTTGTTAACTGTTTTTACACTGTAGCATTGAATTTTTGCTGTTCTTATTTGTTGTGAACCGCTGTGAGTCGCCTTCGGGCTGAGAACAGCGGTATATAAGTAAAGTAAATAAATAAATAAATATTTCTCTATGCCAAATCAGCTCTAACTAAGGATAGTGAGTCTTCTCTGAATGAACACCTGGAGGAAATAATGGGCTGGATTAGGAAAAACGAACTGAAACTGAATCCAGGCAAAACAGAGGTGCTTGCCATCAAGAAGCTTATTCTGGAGATGGAGGTGTGTCAACCAGTTCTGGATGGGGTTACACCCCCCCCCCTTAAAGACTGTGTTCGTAGCTTGGGCATACGCCTGGATCCGTCTCTCCAAATGTCAGCCCAGGTAAATGCAACAGCCAGGAGTACTTACTATCAGCTTCAACTGATACACCAGCTGTGCGCCTTCCAAAATTTGCCAGTTCATCACACAGAGTTGTTTTGCTCCTTACCATGATGGGGCTGTTCTTGGCCACAGCTCTAGATGCATCCGATCAGACAACACAGGTCAAGGTCCCACCTCATTGATTGGTGAAATGGCAAGGAAGTGTTGCAAGAAGCTTCCGCACCACCACGGAGTGTCTTCTGTGTTTTGGGTAGCTCCAATGGAGCTACTCGTGGTTTTTAGGCCTTCCCCCCATTCTTACGAGGAAAATGCGCCAACACACCTAGCCATGCTGTCCCGTCTGATGGGGGAAAGGACAAGGCACCAATGTGCTTTGCCCCAATCTGCCACTCTTCCCTCATTTGATAGGGGAAGGAGAGAAGGTGCACAGCTTTCCATAAGGTGCCACATGTGCCTTCAGCTTGGACTTCTGTAATGCATTTTACATTGGGCTACCTTTGTACCAACTTCGGAAACTCCAATTGTTTCAATATATGACAGCCAGACTGGTTGCAGGAACATCCAGGAGTGAACATATTACAACCAACACTAAATTCACTCCACTGGTTGGCAATTAACTTCCGGGCAAAGTAGAAAGTGTTATTTTTGAGCTTTAAATCTTTACATGGTTTAGGTCCAGTTTACCACAGGATCACCTTCCCCCATACATCCAGCATACAATCATTTCATCAACTACCTCCTATTAATTTACATTAATAGCTAGCCTAGCCTTTTCTTGTACATGGGAAGTAGTTATGCACTATTAATGGAAAGCCTTTGGTCAACATTAATAACAATGTCTTTCTCAACTTCTACTAATAGCTATTATTGGCAACTTTGAGGAAGCAGCTAGTTCTCCTCTATGGAGTAAAAAGGTAAAGCCAAGTACCGCAAAGCCGATTTTAGGAAGAACTGAGTAGTCCCAGCTTGAAGGAATTTCATGGAGAAGAGAAGATTCAAAGAGACGGCTGCAAACAGGAAATGAAAAATAGAAATAGTGATAAATACTAATAGATATATGGCATTTTCTTAAAATATTTATGAATTTCTTAAGGTTACATGGACACAAGTTAATACTCCAAAGACATTAAAGAAGTAAATATAAAAGGTTAAAATTATAAGCTAAAAACATTTATAGACAATTTGTTGGTATTTTTAGAAAATCCTCTGTATACAGGAGGGTGTTTGAAATATTTGTTGAAAGAATTTGGAATTATTATTATTATTATTATTATTATTATTAATTTCTTATCCCCCTCTTGTTATGGCTCAAGGCGGATTTCAAAATGGTTTCAAATTGCATTGATTTTAGAGAGTAGATGCACACCTAGGCATCATTTCATACTTCTCAGGATCTAGCAGTACATCTTTAATATCAACAATTAAGCATTTTATCTTTTGTAAGGAAAGGAAGAACATTTATTTCCTGGATATGAAACAGGCTTCCCCAGAATTGGGAAACCCCATCAGGATACAACAACAACAACAACAATAATAACTTTATTCTTATATCCCACCACCATCTCCCCGAAGGGACTTGGGGCAGCTTACACATTTCTTGAAAGTGCCTAAAACAGAGCTTAAAATAAAACAGAAAATACAATTCAATAAAATAATAACTATATAAAACAACAACTTAAAACTCAATTAAACCCGCACTCATCTGGTAGTAGGCAACTGTAAACATGACCAGGTTGTAAATAATGAGCAAGAGAATGAGATAAGTACAAATTGCAAAGGTGCAGCCATGGGCCAAGGGCATGGAGTGTAGTACAAGAGTGCATGACTCTTGCACAGAACAGCTAGGGAGTAGGCGTTCTCAACATCCAGGTCTTCAAGTCCTTTCGAAAGGTGGACAGTGTGGGGGCTTGCCTAATCTCCCTAGGGAGAGAGTTCCAAAGCCAGGAGGCCACCACCGAGAAGGCCCCCTCCCTCATCCTCACCAATCGCACTTGTGACGATGATGGGCCCAAGAGGAGGGCCTCCCCGGCAATCTTAGAGTTTGCGTCAGTTTATAGCAGTGGATTCAGTCACAAAGATAGGCAGGACTCAAAACGTTTAGGGTTTTGTAGGTAATAACCTGCACTTTGAATTGGGACCGGAAATTTATTGGCAGCCATTGGAAAAGTAAACATAATATATTTTGCACTTCGGTGAGCATTTGCAGAGATACATTCATAAAATATATACTGAATCTATGGGTAACAGTGAATCCTACTCAAGAAGAACCTAGGAAATGCTTAGAGAGGCATTGCTAAGTCCTCCAGCATGGCTCTACAATCAACTTGCAGTGGAATAATCCTCCAGAATTGACTGGAGGACCTAGAAAATACCTACAAATGCCAGACACAGGTAAGTGGAACTTTTTGTGCATCCTCTACATAATTATTTGTTCCTTTTAATTAAAACTACAGCCTCCAGTCTGCTTCAATACAGGGGGTGCAAACTGTTCTTAAAAATGCAAAGTACAACAATAAAGCAAAACTATTTTAAAATTAGCTTAAAATATATTAAAGGAAACAATACAGCAGATAAGAAAGACAGATTGAACAGAGCAAGAGGTGCTTTAGAGCAGAGAAATGTCCAATACCCCTTGTTTTCGTCGTCAAAGAAGATACGTCGTGGCCTTCTGGAGACTTTTCTCTTGGTTTGGTAGTGTATGTTCCTCTGAACCATTTCTGAAAGGAAACAAAAGTATTACAGTATCTTATCTCCAGGAACCACGGTGTATCTATACTAGATAGCTACAGTCATTTGGTATCACTTTAAAGGCTATGGCTCATCTTGTGTAATCCTGGGAAGGGTGGTTTTGTGAGATACTTAGTGCTTAGTGCTTGTGAGATACTTAATGTTTAGACAAATGGATGACAGAATACTATGCACCTCTCTAAACTACAAATCTCAAGATTTGATAGGAAGGAGCCAATGCAACCAAGGTAGAATCAAACTGCTGCAACTGTGCAGTGTGAATGCACCCAGCTAAACATATATCATCTCAACACAGATATAAACTCAGAAAAACTACTTTTGGGGCTATACTAAAAAGTGCTGGCCTTCCTACATGATACAGACTCCAGTCTGCTTTTGACAATTTATATCACTTTCTTTATATACCTCCAGAAAATCCACAAAAGCAAGTATCTTGTATCTAAACACAACAAGAAAAGCTTCCTAGAACGTTTGTCGGATTGATACTTCAACATCAAAACATCATAACAACAACTCAGAATTCAAGTTATCTATCACACTGCACAGATGTATGGGATGAGGCACCATAACTAAACAGTTTGTTCACACACTAGCATGTGCTCCAGCTCGCGAGAAACAGGCTAAATGGTCCTCCTAAGTAGAAAACTGAGCCCAAAATTGCCCTGACATGATCTGCAGCAGTTTAATGCTGCCATTTCATTCAACATTAATTTAAAATAATGTTAATTAAAGTGCAGAGAAGTCAACAACCATTGATGTCTTTCTTTCTGACTGTATCTTTAAGCTAAATATTCCAGTAGCACTTTCTGCTTGCTTTTATTGCTTTCTGTTCAATGTGGCTGGCAACCTCTTGATTGTTTCCTATTGTCAAGTATTGGCTGTTTTTCTTTCTTATATTAAATTGTGATTACAAGTATTTATGTGCTCAAGTAGTTGGATCTATCTGTCAGCAAATGGCCTGTCCTATCTGCATGAAGAAGTGGCTCGCTCCTTGTACTGTACTTTGTGTCTTTGTATGTTGGCAGTGGTTGGACCTTAGCACTATGGTGAGATGAAGAATATGAAAGCAAAAGCACTGAATCTCAGCTGACCAAGTACAAGGTGAAGTCACACGGTTGAATACTGTCTTCTCTTCTCAAAGGACTTCATCACATTGAGCTGGAGAAAATGAGGGAAAGTGGGGGAAAGGGTGGAGTTTCATAGGGTTCTGTCTTTAAAGAAGGTGAAGAATTTACTCACTCCCATCACAATGAGGGCTCATCCAGACAGCCACGTTATTGTGGAAACTCTCGCAATAAAAAAGGGGGCTGTCCAGATGATGTCCTGGACAAACCCAAATTAATCTGCCACAAACCAGGAAAACCCTGGTTTGTGGCAAATTAATTTGATAGTGGGCTTATTCCGCACCTTCTTGGAAGGCGCAGGATAAACCTACTACTTTTGGTGTCTGGACTGCAGTCCAAACAGTATTCCCACGGTTTTCTGGGCTAAATTAGCCTGGAAACTGTGGGAATACCAACTCCCTCCCCAAAAGACTCCAAAAAGGCCTTTAAAAAAGAAAAGTACTTACCCGGTATCCATTGGAGAGCTGCCACAGCATAAAAATGACATGGCAGGAGAAAGGGTGCATCATTTCTGCGGCAGCTCTCCAATGGATAAGTACTTTTGTTTTTTTAAAGGGCTTTTTAGGGCTTTTGGGGAGGGGGTAGAATGTCCATGTGTTCTCCTGGGAAGTCCCAAAAGAACATCTTTCTGGGTTATGTGTAGATGGCCCCCCCAGGAACATTCGCATTTTTTAAACCTGGATGCTCCTGGGATAACGGCCTGTCTGGAAGGGCCCTGAGATGTTTCCTCCAGCTTCTAATTCAACCATCAGTTTAATTGCCTTCACAAAGGCAGGTAATGACTCCTCCTATTTCAAGGATACCAGCACACTTTTTAAAACAGTCATCCTTTAAGGCAGCACTGCCTTCAAACCCCTTACTGAAACAGAAGCACTTTCTTAACGTGGTATTTGGGTCATTTGCAATCAAGACTCTTGACTGAAAAACAAGCACCTTTCTCAAGGAGGCACTTTCCCTGGAGTCATTTGCACTTAAATTTCTTCCCATTGTTCCTCCAGTCTTTAAATAATTTATCTTTAAAAAAAAACATTTTGGCTCCTCCCACACATAGCAGCATCATTTTATGTACAAGTGAGCAACAAAAGCGAACAATAATGACTAACATCTCACTGGGAAACTGGCCATTTGGCCCATCTCTATGTGGGGAAATTAAAAATCAGTCACCTTCCAATCTACTCAGGAATCGTTGGAAAAAGCAACTGCAAAATACCTCAACTAGGCATGGGCAATCCCTGGTTCTAAATTATTCTAAATTACTTACAAAACTAGGGGGCGCTGGTGCTTTGCTTCTACAGTGTTGCTAAAGTTCTGATGGTGAAAATTTCAGAACTCTAACAAAACTTGCAAAATTTCATTATTATTTCGTTATTGGTGATTTTTATGACAGACCAATTTAGGAACTGCCATTTATAACAAAATTTTGAAAGTTTTGTTAAGAGTTCTGAAATTTTCACCATCAGAACTGTTGCAACACTATAGAAGCAAAGCACCAGTACCCCCTATTTTTGAACCATTTAGAACCATGAATTGCCCATGCCTAACCTCAACCCCATGGTTGAAGCTTGCATCGTGTGAAGGGCACAATGGGTTGCCGTTTCTTAAATGTGTAGAAATGCTGATTTTATTGTGGGTGATGAAGTCACCAAATATAGTGCTACCCTATAAGCAGCAGAGTTTTCATAGAAAAGAAATTGAGAATAATGTTATGACAACACAAGAATACAAGACACAATACTCTTGTGACACTTGACAAAGTTAATGGTTGTGAGGCAACAACAAAAAATCACAAATGCAATTCAACAAAGGATTTGATAAAAATGATACGAGATTCTATTAATGGCAATGAAGGACATTTGACAAATATGAAATTTTTCCCCAGAAACCAGTGGGATAAATTATAACCCTAGATATATTAGATGTTTGTTTGTACAGATTGTCATATCTGACCCTTATGATGATTTATCACCTTGGAAGTTTAGTTCATAGAACTGAGTACCAGCACGGAAGAAAACAACCCCTTTGGGGTTAGTAAGATAAGCAGTTTCCAATTCAGATGAGGACATTGTGGCAGAACAGTGCTCTGAATCCTACAAACAGAAAATTGGGGGAAAGAGAGAGAGAACATATTATTTGGCATTTGACCTAATAGGTTCTATACTGGTTTTCAGCAATCTTGATGATGATGATGATTATTATTATTTCTAACCATGCTGGTTTAAAATTCAAACTGCTTGAACTGGTTTGCTGAAAGAGTCCCATACAGCTCCTCTATTTTTATGGACATTTCTTCTTTGAAGAGATGTATCCGTGAGGAACACCTAACTTCCCAATTTGTCCTATGTTGTGTCTCTTCTCTTCTCCATTTGTATTCTTCCAAGTCTTTTTGCCCAACAAAGCTTGGTCTGCAGGGCTCTCAACCAGGCCTGTCTCCTGTTTCCTTCTATCTTGTTGGCCTGATTGTCAATCCTGTCTAGATTTTTGTTTAGATTTTTAAAAAGCTATCAAAAATGTGGAATGCATGTAGAGCAGTGGTTCTCAACCTTTGGGCCTCCAGATGTTTTGGACTTCAGCTCCCACAGTTCCTAACAGCTGGTAAGCTGGCTGGAATTTCTGAGAGCTGAAGTCCAAAACACCTGGAGGCCCAAAGATTGGGAAACACTGATGTAGGACCCTTCCAAACAGCCCTAGATCCTAGAATATCAAGGCAGAAAATCCCACAATATCTGCTTTGAACTGGGTTATCTGAGTCCACACTCAGATAATGTGGGATTTCCTGCCTTTATATTCTAATATATATGGCTGTGTGGAAGGGCCTGTAGAGACATGATAGAGCACTTTAGATAGCTCCTTTTATCTGCAATAAAACAGAGTGGATTCACTGCGCTCCTAACATGGAAGTAACTTGGCACAAGTGCTCACCATTACCATTGATGAATTGCCATTTGAGTTGCCCCTTTGAGTCCGGACACGTAGAAACAACTAAGCACATGCTTCTTCAATGCATGTTCTACAGAGACCTTAGAACTTAGTTCAGCGAAAAAATATTATTTCACCCTGTTGCTTTTGGACTCTAGCACTATAATAACTTACAGTGTTGCTAAGTTTTGTGCTGCAGCACTTAAAATTAGACAGATGATGATTGACCCTGCAAGGCAACACCCTACTGGGAATGCAGTTAGAGCAGTGGTACTCAACCTTTCTAATGCCGTGACCCCTAAATACAGTTCCTCATTTTGTGGTGACCCCAACCCATAAAATTATTTTCATTGCTACTTTATAACTGTAATTTTGCTACTGTAATGAATCGTAATGTAAATATCTGGTATGCCATATGTATTTTCATTGCTACAAATTGAAAATAATTAAAGCATAGTGATTAATCACAAAAACAATACATTTTGGGGAGTATGGACAATGGATGATGGGATCTGCAGTACCTTCAGCTCTGACTTCCACAGACCACTGAGACCCCCACAAATTACACACCTGAATCAAACTTGCCAGAGTGAACCCCCATGACCAACAGAAAATACTGGAGGGTTTTGGGAGGAATTGACAGTGATTTAGGGGAGAAGTAGTTCTCCTACATCCAAAGAGCACTGCGAACCCAAACAACTATGGATCTGGACCAAACTTGGCACGAATATTCAATATGCCCAAATATGAACACTGGTGGGAAAAACAGACCCTGACATTTGAGAGTTGCAGTTGCTTGGAGTTGCAGTTGCTTGGGCGACCAAGGTTCCCAGGAAGGGCCTGGGCCCTGCAGGGAGCCTTTTGCCTGGCTTGCGGCTCTGCTGAACCCAGTGGGAGGTGCGAGCCGGGCAACTCACTCCCAGGCAGGGCCCGGGCCCTGTGAGGAGCCTTCAGACCAGCTCACAGCTCTGCTGAGCCCGGCTGCAGGCACGAGCCAGGCGACCCAGGCTCCCTGGCAGGGCTTGGGCCCTGCCGGGGAGGCATTTTGAGGAGGGGGTTGGGCCAAAGGAGGCAGCCTCGCGACCCCTCAAAAATGGCCAAGTGACCCCTCTGGGAATCGCGACCCCCAGGTTGAGAATCACTGAGTTAGAGCAAGATGTTACAGCTGAAATGCTACTACACTTGTGATGTGCCCCTCCCATCCCCTTTAGTACCCCCTATCAGTCTTCCCTCTCCCCCTTTGTTCCATACCTGTGTTTTAAAACTGTGATTTTAAACTGTTTTKAAATCTGTTTTTAAATAACTGCTTCACTGGTGAGCTGTGTTTCCCCTCCCAGGACATTTGTGCCCCACTTTYTGCTGGTCAGTGACCGTAATAAAGTTTTGTTTTGTATTGTATTGTATTGTGTTGTATTTGACTAACAAGCTTATTTTTTTCTTCTCCCTGATGCAACACATGCATCCAGAGACTTGATTTGCAGCCTATTCTTCTATATTAATTGCTGACAACTGAATTTTCTCTTTGTCATGTTTCCTTCTTCTAGCATTCCTTCAGGTTTTCTCAAGAGAAAGAAACCAATGTACCATGTAGTTTTTATTTATCAGTAATAGCCAACTAAACAGCAAGGGTGGGGGAAGCGTAGCTTACCTCTTCTCCATATTCAATCCACTTGCCCTTTTCATCTAACCAATACCAAGCAAACTCTACTCCCATTTTGAGGTCAAAGTCCATGGTCACTGGTGTACAGGAGTTTCTGATAGCTCTGATCATCTTCTGAAGAATTTTCACACTTCAGAAATCACATGGCTTAGAGGAGGAAGGATGAATCCAAACACTGGTTGCTCTTCCAAATCCCAGTCTTCTTCTGATTTCCTGTTATATACAATGGTAGTGTAAAATATAAAATTGTACAACAATGTCTTATATAAAATGCCAAAATCAAGGTTTGCTTTTTAGATTAAAAATATCTGCAAACTATGGATGGCTGACTCTGTGGATGCCAGATTTGTGTGTGTGTGGGGGGGGGGGGGGGGGGGGGGGGGAGTGATTGTATAGCCAGTGGTGGAAGATTATGGGAGTTGCAATCCAACCATCAGGTTGGCTTTGAGTCATTGTTTGAATTGTTTGAACATCCAAATACCTGGGAGTTACCCTGGACCATGCTCTGACTTACAAGAAGCACTGCTTGAATATCAAGCAAAAAAGTGGCTGCTAGCTTTCATATCATATGAAAGCTGACTGGCACAACCTGGCCATCACAACCAGATACATTGAAGACATCTGCCCCTGTGCTTTGCTACTCTACTTTCTGAGTACGCATGCCCAGTGTGAAACACATCTCACCACGCTAAAATAATGGATGTGGCTCTTAATGAGGCATGCCACATTATCGCAGGATGTCTATACCCTATACCACTGGAGAAATTACACTCTTAGCCGGTAATGCACCACCTGAAATCCACCGGGAAGTAGTAGCCAGTGAAAGAGCCTAAGGCAGTGACATCTCCAGCCCATCCCCTGTTCGGATATCAGCCAGCATGCCAATGCCTTAAATCAAGAAATAGTTTTCTAAGATCTACAGAGATATTCGCAGGAGTACCTCAGCAAGCGAGAGCCCAAAAGTGGCAGGCTAAAATCCAGAACCTCAACCCATGGCTGATACCAAATGAGAAACTCCCCCTCTGGGCACACAGAAGACTGGGTGACATGAAAGGCACTGAACAGACTGTGCTCTGGCACCATGAGATGCAGAGCCAACCTTAAGAAATGGGGCCACAAAGTGGAGTCCACAACATACGAGTGTAGAGAAGAGCAAACCACAGACCGCTTACTACAATGCAAACTGAGCCCTGCCACATGCACAATGGAGGATCTTTTCACAGTAACACCAGAGGCACTCCAAGTGGCCAGCTACTGGTCAAAGGACATTTACTATAATGCCAAGTTTTTTAAACTCTGTGTCTTAAATACATTATAACTGTACCCTCGGTTCATTTCTGATACAATAAATAAATACATTGTTTGAATAAGACATCTCAATGATCTCAGGTCATGTAAATGCAGGGCCATGCCTTCCTTTACTGAATGAAACAATTTTTAATATGCTCTTCCTTTTTTCCAACTGTCTTCCACTTTTCTGAGCCGTCTTGTCTCTTCCAGTCAATGTTTTATTTTTTAAAATAAAGATATACATTGAAGTTCTCCACTTGAAAAACAAGAACAAAGTTCAACAAACTACAGGAAAATATTACTATATCAGCCACAGGTTAAAGGTCTTTTTTATCTCTGTTGCAAATGCTCTTAGACTTTGCCTCCTAAAGCAGCTTCCAGTTTCCACTCAGTCTTCATACCTAGCAGTTTTTATTTGAAATGAGTCTCATTTGTGAACTAGCTTTTTACCTACTTTCCTCAAGACAAGGAAACACAAGATTTTTTCTCTACCTCTGATGTTTAATATAGGTATCCTTTATCCCTTCCACTTCTGATGTAAGGCCAATAATAGACAATATCATAATGCCACAGACAAAATGGCTCCACACATGGACACAATGATATTAACAGCCACGAGAAACTCCAGGATTTAGAAAAATAAAACAAATCCTTTAAGAACACCCCAGAACACTCCAATAAGGTCTCAACACATTAAATAACTATGGAAATTGTGATTTACTAGAGGAGAAGGAGGAATTGAAATCCAGGTTATGTGACACAGAATGGAACAAAAAGTGTATCTCTATACTACACTATGATATCCATTTCACACCACTGTAAGCCTTACAGTTTTAGACTATTTAATCCTAGGGCATGTAATCAGATACCTTGCAATAAAAAGGAATAAAGATTAAGTCAACATAATTCTATAGGGTAGACGTGCATCTAGGGTCCCCAAGAATTATAGATCAGATGAACTGATGTCGTCAAATTACAAATCCCAGAATGCTTTGTGATTGAACAATGACGATTAGAGTGGATTAACTGTAGAAGAGATAAAAGGACAAAACTATATATTTTGTTGCAGGTCCCACTTAGAAGCATTTGAATAGCATATCTGAACAGAATTTAAAAATGATAGAGAGAGAGGGTGGGAGAATGTGCAACTGTCTCTCAGAATGTTTCAGCACTGCCAGCTCCCACGACCTCTAAACATTGGTAATGCTGGTCATGGATAATGGGAGGTATGAGTTACAAAAACATCAGTGGGCATAGTTGGATAGACCCACGGCTTTGAGTCCTCTACTATGAAAAGTCTGGCTTTAAATCTCTATGTGTTCAATCATGCCCATGACACTGACATACAGCCTTATTCCAAGGGGCAATTGAAGTGTCCCTGAATGCTTCTGCCCCGGTTCACCCATGGAACCTGGGGATCACAACCAGATACAGTGAAGACATCTGCCCTTGRGCTTTGCWACTCTGCTGCTGAGTATGCATGCCCAGTATGGAACACAGCTCACCACGCTAAAACAGTGGATGTGGCTCTTAATGAGACATGCCACATTATCATGGGGTGTCTGKYCCCTACATCACTGGAGAAATTARACTGTTTAGCTGGTATCGCACCACCTGACATCTGCTGGGAAGTYGCAACCAATAGTGAAAGGACCAAGGCAGMGACATCTCCAGCCCACCCCKTGTTTGGGTATCAGCCAATGACTTAAATCAAGAAATAGTTTTCTAAGATCTACAGAGACACTTGCTGGAACACCTCWGCAAGCAAGTGTCCAAAAGTGGCAAGCTCAAACCCAGAACCTCAATCAATGGCTGATACCAAATGAGAYACTCCCCCCCTGGGCACACAGAAGACTGGGCAACTTGGAAGGCACTGAACAGACTGCACTCTGGCACCARYAAATGCAGAGCCAACCTTAAGAAATTGGGCTACAAAGTGGAGTCCACAACATGCGAGTGTGGAGAAGAGCAAACCACTGACCACCTACTACAATGCAGTCTGAYCCCTGCCATATACACAATGGAGGYCCTTCTTATAGCAACACCAGAGGCACTCCAAGTGGCCAGCTACTAGTCAAAGGACATTTAATAGAATACCAAGTCTGCAAACTTTGTGTTTTGTTTGTTTGTCTGTTTTTTTTAATGCAATACAACTGTTTTGGTTCACTCCTGACARAATAAATAAATACCCATGGGGCCTCATCAAATGATGTAGGGTGACTTCCAGTGGGGCTCCATGCGTTAACTGGGGTGGGAGCATAGTGGAACACTGCAACCACCAATACAGAAATCACCTTATGTTCTATAACAGTGGTTCCCAACCTGTAGTACGTGGACCACCAGTGGTCCGCAAGAATGAAAATATGGTCTGAGGCCTCGAAACCACGCAGCAACGAGAGCAACTGGTCTCTCAAAACCCTCTTATAGTGCCGAGGCAACAGGGATGTCGGGAGGGGAGAGGTTGACAATCCAACTATGCAACTACAGGGTAATTCTACTCCTATGTGGAATCTCTTGGTGATATAAACATTTTGGCCAAGCAACACAATTGTACAAAATCGCCATACCCCACAGGTAGACAAAAATTATGGGGAAAACGAGCATAGCTTTCACTGAGTTTCTTACCTTTTACTGTTTGCTAAATATTTTCTGTACGAATTCTCACAAGACAGAAACCTGGAAGATTTTTCTCTTGCGTAAAACAATTCTGCCACACTCAAGTCATCTTCTGTATCCAAAGCTGTTCAGATAAGTAAGATTTGACGAGGAGAATTAAAAGCCATAATAAAAAAGCTACACAAAGAAAACCAAAGTAAGGAAATGTTCCCAAAAAGCAGATGTTCGTTGATGAATCTCAGTTTCAGCTAATGCTTATGGAGAGCTTATTTCACAGTTCAGAGCTATCTAAATCCTATTTTTTTTTCTCTTGTTGAGACTAAACTTCTTCAGGGGATAGAAAACAAACCAACCAGACTTTGAACCCTTCTCTACACTTACCCTCCCTCCCTTCCTGGAAGGAAGGGAGGCTACTTTCAGGCTGGGACTTTCCTGGCTGCATAATTAACTAAGGAGTCAGTTGCAAAAAGGTTAACCGTTTTCACTTTCATTCCTTGCCTAATGCCATAAAGCCTTGTTGTTGTCTGAGGTTGAGCATTTTACATTTGAACAGCCATTTCCTCTTCCAGGAAGTGATAATTCAAAGGTGGACCAAGAAATTCCAATGCCTAAAGCAAAAGAGAAAGTGGTATCCTCACACCCGATCAACACCCGAAGGCAGCAAGATAGTTTTAGCTGGGGCTGGGCCATACTGGAGAGTTGTGTACCTAGGAGTTGTGTGTGTGTGCAGAGTTTCTGATTCACTTTCCAGTTAAATAAGTTTCTGATTCACTTTCCACTGAAGACCATAGCTATCTTCTATAGCTATGGTCTTCAGTGCTCAGAATCTGCCTGTAATTTGCTAAATAATGGGTGGGAATTAAGAGGTCATCCAGACCCTGACTTCCAGTATTGCTAGCCAGCATAATCAATGGTTGTGAATACTGGCAGATAGGTCCAGCAACATCTAGAGTGACCTATGATTCCTACTCCTAGGGTTAATCCAATTTAAGTACCATTTACAGCAGACTTCATTCTCAAATAGTAATCCAATACTCATGTAAATCCAATGCTTGGTTGGAATTAGCTTTTCAGTTTAAGGTATTGAGTTTACCTTTATATTTTAAACCTGTAAGCTGCGGTTTATAACTGGTTTAAATTAAAGGTTAAGTCTTGCAAGGAAACCCATGACTGGGGGTACATCTAGACTTTTGAATGAATGCAGTTTGACACAATTTTAATTGCAATGGTTCAGCAACATGGAATCATATGAGTTATAATTGTATATTTACTCTTCTCTGCCAAATAATGTTGGTGCCTGACTGAACTACAACTCTCACAAATCCATAGCATTGAGCTGTGGTGGTTAAAGTGCTATTTATTTCTGTCATTTCTACCCCGCCCTTCTCACCCCCTAGGGGGGACTCAAGGCGGCTTACATCCGGCACAATTCGATGCCAACAGTTACAATAAAATGCAATAGCAATAACACAATAGATTAAAAACAAACAATTAATACGGTACAATACAACACAATACAATATCAACTAAAACCACTCTATAGCCCGTGTTCATCGAGTTCTAAAATCCGTCAATCCATTTAGCATTGCCATAGTCCTTTCCAACTCTAGTCATCATCACCTTGTTACTATGCCAGATTACCCAAATGCCTGGTCCCATATCCATGTCTTCAGCTTTCTTCTGAAGGAGAGGAGGGATGTTGACGACCTGATTTCCCCGGGGAGTGAATTCCACAGGCGAGGGGTCACCACTGAGAAGGCCCTGTCCCTCGTCCCCACCAGTTTCACTTGTGATAAAGGTGGGGCCGAGAGCAGGGCCTCCCCAGAAGATCTTAAACTCTGTGGTGGGACATAGAAGGAGATACGTTCGGACAAGTACACTGGGCCAGTGCCGTATAGGGTTTTAAAGGTCAAAACCAGCGCTATCAAACTGCGTTAATTCTACAGTGTAGATGCACCTTGAGTTGGGATTCAAATCCTGATCTCCTTAGTTCATAACAGCCATTGCACTCATTAGCTTTCCAATCAGCAACCCTATCAGTGAAAGCCAGCATGATGTACTTACTTACTTAGGCAATCCCTCATTGTCCATGCATGATGGCCTTCCAAGTACAATGTCTTGATGATGGTTATGTGAGTGACTGCGCACCCCTATTCTTGACCTGCATGTTCTTCCACAGTGAGGGCATCAGTTTCCAGGTGGAAGGCGGTCCTGGTCAGGGATGGCTTGATGAATCTTCCTCTTGGCACGTTTCTTCCTTTCGCCCTCCATTCATGCCTCTTCAAATTCCACAACACTACTGGTCACAGTTGACCTCTAGTTAGAGCACTTGAGAGCCAAGGCTTCCCAGTTCTTGGTGTCTATGCCACAGTTTTTAAGGTTACATTTAAGCCCATCTTTCAATCTCTTTTCCTGTCCACCAACATTCCATTTTCTGTTCTTGAGTTGGGAGTATAGTAACTGCTTTGGGAGATGGTGATCAGGCATTCGGACAACATTGTCTGAATGCCAGTGGAGTTGATGGCATAGGCGCATCGCTTCAATGCTGGTGATAGTTGGTTCTTCCAGTACGCTGACATTTGTCTCTTCCCAAGAGATTTGTAGGATTTTTCAGAGGCAACACTGATGGAATTGTTCCAGAAGTTGAGTGTGACGTCTGTAGACAGTCCATGTTTCATAGACGTATAGCAGGGTTAGAAGGACAATAGCTTTATAAACAAGCATCTTGGTATGCCTATGAATGTCCTGATCCTCAAACCCTCTCTGCATCATTTGGAAAAATGCTGCACTCGCAGAGCTCAGACAATGTTATATTTCAATGTCAATGTTGACTTTTGTAGAGAGTTAGCAACCCTATCAGCGAAAGCCAACATGATGTAGTAGTTGGAGCATTGGACAATGATCAGTGTTCAATTCCCCTATACGTCATGGAAATCCACTGGGTTTCTTAGCCCCAGAAAATCCCATGATAGGTCTACTTTCCAAGTGCTATAAATTGAAATGACTTGAAGGCGCAAAACAATAACATGCCACCTTGATGTCAGTTTCTTCTACCTCCCTGCTAGTAAAACCAGTATCACCTACAACCACCTTACTTTTTGTAGCACTACCCAAAGCATTTTTAAAGCAATAGTTGTATGTCCAAATGGATCCTCGCTGGTCTCAGATGTATGTGCTATGGCAAACTCACAGGGTTTTCCTTGGAGTATAATTCAATCAGCAAAGAGCACAATTCCCACCCCTATTTTAATTCCTTTTACAAGCTGCTGAAAACAAAAGGCAAAAATTATCCTCAAATACGCATTTGTTGCCATTTCACATCAATTGTGAGGTTTTTTAAACCAATTTTTGTATATAAGCTTTATTGATAGTTTGGAGATTTTTTTTTCACTTTTCATTCAATTGTTTTTCAATAGTGGTCTGGATACTAAAGTTTCCAAGATACTAATGCGTGTAGATGAATTTTCTGCTCAGTATTGTGATTTTTGGCCCCTGGTGGTGCAGCAGGTTAAACCGCTGAGCTGCTGAACTTGCTGACCAAAAGGTTGGTGGTTTGAATCGGGTGAATGGGGTGAGCTCCCACTGATAGGCCCAGCTTCTGCCAACCTAGCAGTTCGAAAACATACAAATGTGAGTAGATCAATAAGTACCGCTTCTTCTGGAAGGTAATGGCACTCCATGCAGTCACGCTGGCCCCATGACCTTGGAGGCATCTACGGACAACACCAGCTCTTCAGCTTAGAAATGGGGATGCCCACCACCCCCGAGTCAGACACGACTAGATTTAATGTCAAGGGGAAGCCTTTACCTTTACATTATTATCATTTTAAAAAACCTTTTGTAAGAGTTATAGTACAAAACTGCCATTATACAGATACTTTGTATTCATTTTGTAAGTGGGGAAGAAACCTTTTCTTTTCATATATCTTGGAATAAGAAAAAAACACTTGGAAGTGGGAATTAAAAGATCGTAACTGGCGGCAGGATTTACAAGAAAACAGTCCAAGACAACAGAAAAGTCATTTGAATATTTATTTTTTAAAAAATCTTGAGAACTATAGCAGCTAATTCTGCAATAGATCAACACATTTGCCAAGTCTAGAAGATTATCTGATCTAGCTTTACTATAATAAGGCTTCTTTTCTATTCAGGAGGGTATTTGACCCCTATAAATATACATATAACATTTTGCATATTGTGTTCCTGATTCTTATCTCCCATTTTATACAATGTGCTTTATCTCAATAACTATTGTATTGCTCAGATATAATTATAGGTAAGATATTAACATCATGCTAATTGAAAGAAGCACGTGAATCACATCTGAGAGGGGGGAAACCATAAAGAAGTATTGGGTTGCTGTGAGTTTTCCGGGCTGTCTGACCATGTTCCAAAAGCATTGTCTCCTCACATTTCACCCACATCTATGGCAGGCATCCTCAGAGGTTGATGTCTGTTGGAAACTAGTCAAATGGGATTTATATTTCTGTGGAATCAATCATAGAATCATGGAGTTGGAAGAGACCTTGTGGGCCATCCTGCCAAGATGCAGCGAAATCGCATTCAAAGCACCCCCGGCAGATGGCCATCCAGCCTCTGTTTAAAAGCTTCCAAAGGAGCCTCCACCACACTCCAGGGCAGAGAGTTCCACTGCTGAACAGCTATGCCCACAGATATATAGGCTTTGTCCACAGATATATAGGCTTTGAATCTGCAAGGCCATTAAATGCTAATCAAGTTGGCCAATTTCAACATTCATACTTGCTTCATTCAGACAAGAGTTTTTCTCCCATCTTAGACATTCCACAGATATATAAACCTCAGTTGCTTAGCTTCCAACAGACATCCTACAAACTACCTTCTGCCTTATGAATTTCTAGTGAGTCATGACTTCTCATGATATGTCTTCTTGGCTTCTAGGAAGAGTTCAAAGCTTGACTTGCTCTAGGATCCTTTTATTTATCTTTTTAGCAGTCTGTGGCCAATAGCACTTCTGAAATATCTGATATACTTTGTTAATCCAACCATCCTCATCTCTTACCATCATCATACAAAGCAACTTTTTTTTCAATTTCTGTACAATATCATTAAAATCTATGTATAATTATTGAGTCAACACAACCAGTATTTAGGGGCTGGATATGGATTCGAATGTAACAGTATGAAGCTTGGAGCACTGGATCTATTCATGTCCATCCACATAGCAGATGCAGATTGTATCACAATCAGCATGTATTGTAGCCTCATGAAATCAATTCAAGGTGTGGCTGAACACTCAAGCATCTTTGTCCCTTTGACCTCTTGGGAAATTTTGTATTTAATGTTAAAGGCACTGAACAATCTGGAATCAGTAGGTCCCATGCAGTAAAGTGAGACATTAAATGTAAGCTAACGGAGAAAAGCTTTACAAAACTGAAGTTTCAAAGTATATGGTACAGATTGTTTTTGTCTGATCTCCTTGTTGTGCTCCTTAGTAGGTCCTGATCTCTTGTTGCACCACCTTCAAGAGAATTTGAAGCTGCAGTGTAAGATAATCTGCAACAGGGAAAAGATAGGAAGAGTTAAGCACCTGAATATCTCATCTGGCAGTATTTAAATGTAAAACGCTACTGCTTCAATAAAAGGGCAAAAAGTCAATTGATGAAATGGTTCAATGAAGAACATGATTGCTGCTCCTGCCCCAGTAAAGTCAAAGGATTTCCCATTCCATTGCAAACAAGAAGAAATCCTTTAGCTCAAATGACTTTGAATCATCTCACCATGGTTTGCTAAGGTCTCGTGGAGTTTATATGTCCTTGGCCAACCAATCCTTTGAACTTGGTCAAATCAAATTACTTCAGAGATGTGATATGAGCAAAATGAGAAAGATACACACACTTCCCATTCTCTATAATGCCCTGCACATGGATTATGTGCATGCATGTGTAATAAGGAACAGGCTGTGTTAGGTTCATTCTAAGGATCTATAGTTATGGTGATTGGATAAATCAAGACCTCTTTCTGCCATAATTTTAAGGATGCTGTACTATTGGATTAGAGTCAGTCTCTACTCACGAAATGTGGTTCGGCACCCATTTGGCATTGATCTATTGTTGAGCAAGTAATATACTGGAAATCCACTTAAAACCATTGCACATCCAATGCTGATGCTGACTGGGTCAGAATAGAAGGACATTCCCACTGTGAAAAGGCAGATGATAGTAAAGGAAACTGGTATGAAGAGAGGAACCTGAACAAAAAAGATTTTCAAAAACATTGTTATACATGATTAAATGATTCCAATATATAGTCTTTATCTAAGTTTGAAGAATGTTGTTGTTGTTCTTGTTGTTGTTGTTGTTGTTGTTGTTGTTGTATGACCTCTGTATCTGCAGAACTTGTATCTATGGCTTCATTTATACATAATTTTGCAATAATTCCCTGGCCAATATGTGGATGTAGGAGAACAATTCCAAAACTCAAGGTCAATGCCTACCAAACCTTTCCAGTATTTTCTGATGGTCATGGGAGTTCTGTGTGCCAAGTTTGATTCAATTCCATTGTTGGTAGAGTTCAGAAAGCTTGTAGGTTAACTATAAACCCCAGCAACTACAACTCCCAAATGACAAAATCAATCCCCCCAGCCCACCAGTATTAAAATTTGGGCGTATCGGATATTTGTGCCAAATTTCGTTCAGTGAATGAAAATACATTCTGCATATCAGATATTTACATTATGATTCATAACAGTAGCAAAATTACAGTTATGAAGTAGCAACAAAAATAATTTTATGGTTGGGGGTCACCACAACATGAGGAATTGTATTAAGGGGTCTCGGCATTAGGAAGGTTGAGAACCACTGATATAGATAAACCAAAATTAAACTTTCCTGCATGAAAAGGTAGGAATATCTTGTCTTTAGCCACAAGAGGGCAATAGGTGAAAACAAATAATGAACTCTCTCACTTCCAGTAGTTTGCTACGGCTCTATGACTGCTCTCTTCTGAAGACATTAACTGTAGAAGTGAGTTTTCTGAGCTATCTCCCTAACTCTTCCAAACCAAGGTATCTGCCAAATTTCATTTAGACTACATCTTCCTTCAGCCCCAGAAAACTGGATGTTAGCTGGATGTTTTGAGTAGAGTTGTAGTGCAACATGTCTGGTGGGTGGCAGGTTGAGAGAGATTACTTTCATATTTGTTTTGAACTTTTGGTGAATTTTGGGAAATCAAAAAGTTGGGATTTTAAAATCAGCTAATTTTATTTAATGCTCTTACTACTAGTAGTTAAGCCTGAGAAAGACTTCATTGTTTTATAGGAAGGGAGGAAACACGTTTAGGGGAACCACCAAACATCACGGAACAAAGAGAGTGGCTTTTCAGGAAATCCTAGATGGTCTAGACCAGTGATTCTCAACCTGTGGGTCCCCAGGTGTTTTGGCCTACAACTCCCAGAAATCCCAGCCAGTTTACCAGCTGTTGGGATTTCTGGGAGTTGAAGGCCAAAACATCTGGGGAGCCACAGGTTGAGAACCACTGGTCTAGACTCAGAGTAAGACCCTAAGAGAGCCTTATGTTTGCCATCTGAAACCTACAAAGATGGCTTTACAAGAAATTGTAATACAGTAAAATAAAAAAATAGGTCAGGAAAGCATTTACCTTGAATGGGCTCAGTATCTCAGGATGACGGCAACGATGAACTATAAGCCCAAGGGTGGCTAATCCTATGAAAAGCCATCGGGAGAAGCTGAAGAAGTTCAGTAGGTGGTAAAGATCTCCCACACAAATCATAACCGTGACCAAAGGGAACTGGGAAGTTATAAAGATAACATATGTAGTAAACTTCAGTCTTAGATGTTGAAATATAATAGAGCTCAGTACTTAAAGCAGGAATGGGCAAACTTCAGCCATCCAGGTGTTGTGGACTTCAACTCCCACAATTCCTAACAGCTTACTGGCTGTTGGGAATTGTGGGAGTTCAAAATACCTAAGGGCCGAAGTTTGCCCATGCCTGACTTAAAGAGTTTTTTAATGTATTTATTTACAGGTATTCCACCCTTCTCACACCGCAGGGGACTCAGGGCGGATCAAAGTGCACATATACATGGCAAACATTCAATGCCATAGACTCACAACATATATAGACAGACACACAGAGGCTATTTAACTTTCCAGCTTCATGAGGGTATGCTTTGAGTTCCAATCACCATGGGAGCTGTCACTTCACTGTCCACTTGTGACACTGATGGAGTACTTCCTCATTCTTTTGCATGTTGCTGGAGATTTTTATGGTGTTGCAAATTAGTTAAATAATCCTCCCTACATAAGCGGTACCTAAATTTCCTACTTGACAGATGCAACTGTCTTTTGGGCTGCAAAGGTCAACAGCAAGCTTGACAAATGGTCAGGAGCTTACTCTGACCTGGACTGACTTCAAACTTATGACCTTTCAGTCAGTAGTGATTTTAATGTAGCTGACTTCCAACCAGCTGCACCACAACCCGGTCCTACCAACCCGGTTTTAAATGTTTTCGAGCAGCAGTGATAGGGTCAGGTAGTTTTAGGTAAAGGAAAGTCGCCTATTCCAGCAATTCCTAAAATTTGGATCTCCAGATGTCTTGGACTTCAGCTCCCAGAATTTTTGATTGTTGGCTTGGAGATGAAGTTGCAAACACTTAGAGGACCAAAGTTTGAGAGCCACTATCTTACTCCTCACATCCTCGAGAAGGAATCTGATATTCTAATCGGGGTTTGCCAACTCTACCTCTTATCTCTTTATTATCTCAAGTTTACCAAAAATGAAACTAGTTTAGCTCAGTGTGTGTGGGGGTGGGGGTGTGTGCTTTGAATGCAATCTGTCGGGGGTGCTTTGAATGTGATTTTCCTGCTTCCTGGCAAGGGGTTGATGGCCCACGAGGTCTCTTCCAACTCTATAATTCTATGATTCTATGACATATAGTTCCTCCAGATGGCCAGTAATCCCAGTAAAAATAGGGCTACTATGTTGCAATGATACCTAGTTCATAGCAGTTGTTCCCATTCCACATTATGATTGATTGTATGTGTATGCCATCTTCTGCCCAGAGTGGGACCCAAGAAAAATTTCAAAACAATTAAAATATTCAGAAAATTCAGCCATGCCATAAATATAAGTCTTTCATGTCCTGCTGGAAGGGTAGAGAACGGTGCCATGGGCAGATGTACAGAAGGAATGAAGACAATGGATAGTGCTACGGATATTAAGTTATCCTGGGACTTTAAAAACAAGAAAACATAATACCTCCTGTCCTGGGTTTCATAGGCTCCAGCTGGAGCCGATCAAATTCATGATGGATAAACTGGAACAAGGAGATACAACCCCAATCCTTTCCTATCTTTAGTGGATTTCTTACAATAAAGCTTTTGTTTGTTTCTTTAGCCATTGATGTCTTTACGTGTCAATCAGTATCCCTAGCTGCTCTCTCTCTCCATTGTAAGTGACTATAGCAGGAATGTGCTGAAACCTATAACAAAGAGTGGCTCATGCCTTTAGGGGGGTTTTGTGATAGAGGAGGGCTCCTGTGACTTCAAGTTCTGTATGCAATCTTCAAACTCTATTTTGAGGTAGACCAAAGAATAAAAACCAAAATCCTTATCCGGGCATTTGATAAGTTTTTTTCATCTGGCAAAAATGTTTGAAAACCCAATTACTATGTATGGTTGTCAAGGCTGTGTAGTGAAGTAAACCAAAAAAAGGGGGGACAACATATTTGAAAAGCTATAAGAACACTATTTACTACTAAAAAATTCATATCATTGAGTTTTATACCAAATGAGAGAGAAAACATGATGCAGTGGTTTGAGCATTGGATAATTCTGGAGCAGGCATGGGCAAACTTCAGCCCTCCAGGTGTTTTGGTCTGCAACTCCCACAATTCCTAACAGTCTAAACAACTGGAGGGCCGAAGTTTGCCCATGCCTACTCTGGAGGGATTCTGGTTGGGATAAAAAACAACTGCTAATTTGATGTACCGCTAATGTTCTTTCTGCTACTAGTTATGATGTTTTAGATTGTATTGTTAGCATTGAATCCTTGCTGTTAGCCGATCTGAGTCCCTCTGCGGAGGTAAAGATCAGGATACAAAAGTTTTAAATAATAAATAAATAAAATTATGTCTGAGAAGCACTTCATTATCTTAAAAGAGGGCAGGGTTGACACAATTTAAGGAACCACTAAAAGCCATGGAAGAAGAAGAATGTATTTTTAAAGAAATCCTAGGTGGTCTAGAAAATTAAGACCCCAAGAGAGGGCTCAGCCACAGAGTGATAGCGAACCTCACAAATCCGATGTGAAAAGAAAAAGAAAAAAAATGTTCATTACAAAAGACAATACTATGAATAAGTGAGAATCAAACAGCTGAAATGTTTGACAAAACATGATTACAAAACATAGGTACCAGGCACAGCTGGTAAATCACCAGCAGTGATAAGATCTACCAACTGAAAGGTTGCCAGTTCAAAGCCCCGGGTCAGCATGAGCAGCCAGCTCACTGTTTACCTAAGCAGTTCGAAAACAACTTAGAGCTGTAAGTAGAGAAATTGCGTACCGTTAAAAAGAGGGGATTTTAGGTAAAGGTAAAGGTTTTCCCCTGACATTAAGTCCAGTTATCTCCAACTCTGGGAGTTGGTGCTCATCTCCATTTCTAAGCTGAAGAGCTGGCGTTAAAGTCAATAGTGGTCAATAGTGTTCTTTACCTTTATCTGTAGACACTTCCACGGTCATATGGCCATCATGACTGCATGGAGTGCCGTTACCTTCCCACCAAAGCAGTACCTATTGATTTACTCACATTAGCATGTTTTCAAACTGCTAGGTTGGCAGAAGCTGGGGCTAACAGTGAGAGCTCACTTCACTCCCTGGATTCGAACTTGTGATCTTTCAGTCAACAAGTTCACCAACTCAGTGGTTTAACTCACTGCGCCACCGGGGGATCCACTGGAGGTTTTTTACAATACCATAAAAGAAAAAGATCAGAAAATGCCCAGCGACCAAAAGGAAGGAGGAAGTCCTGATAGCTCTTAGTCATATAGAGCTACAGCACCACCATGGCTGGATTCGAGCACAACCTCCAAGGCGTCAAAAAGCTAGATGTTGAAACAACATACCTCCTTTCTGTTTGACCCTGTCCTGTCATCCAAACAGCATTGAATGTTTGCCATGTATGTGTACTGTGATCCCCCTGAGTCCCCTTGGGGAGATAGGGTGGAATATAAATATAGTGTTGTTGTTGTTAGAGTTGTCAACTAATTAATGATTTCTAGATGAATCATCTGGAATTTAATGGATGGACATATGCATTTGCATATCATGATAACCTTAAGTGTGAAGAATGTGCTTAATTGTGGATTTTCTTCCTCAGGATGTGTTCATCTATTGCAGCCAAAAAAACAAAGAGGCAAAGAGTCTCATGGCACTTTAAAGATAAACTAATTTATTTCCGTGTTGGATTTTTCAGAGCTGTTCCAGACAGGGCTAATATTTCAAGATATTGTGGGATTTGTTGATGTAGTTCCTAGAGTTGTTTTTAAATATTCTAATGTGTTTCTTTAGTCCTAGATTACTTTTTTGAATTACCAGTATCAACTGTAACAAATGAAGTTGATGTCTTTTTATTAAACATAAAAGTCTTGTTCTCTTCACCTCTCTTTAAAAAATATAAATAGACTATCTCAGAACTTGTCTACATGGACTGAATAGCCCATACTCATCATGTCATTGCTCCTACCTGTCTTCACAATGTTCTTTTACTTCTGATGTTTATTACAGGGCACACCCAGTTAACAGAGTTTAGCCCCATGTTAGGAAGAGTCAGGGAATGCTCCAGAGTTTACCCCAAACTCCTGAATATATTACAACTTCGAAACAGTGTCAGCAGCAGGACTGGGTGCAATGTGGCCCACTCTACTGTCTACACAGTCTCTTGCCACCATTCCTTTTCCCCTGAACTCATTGGGGGAAAAGAGGATGAATCGGGCCAACATTTCCTCCATCACCATTGCCAGAAGACCACAGAACTCAACGAGAGCTCATGGTTGGCGCAGGTGCCGTGTGCTAACCACACAACTAGTAATTAGTAACACCTATAATCTGAGAATCCCACTTCTTTAAACCAATCTAAATAAACCTATGAACTACAGCCTGCTTCTTCAAATGCTGACCAGCTATAGTCCATGGAAACCTACGTAAAACCAACAGGTCAGTGTTTAGGGTGCCTATAAGCTCTTTCCTTTCATATTTATTCTAGGAAAGCCATGGGCTCTCATTATTTTATGGAATATACTACATCTTTTTCTCTGTTCAGACTTTCAGAAGAAACTGATAAAGGAAAAGTTGAATGCTGTATGAAAAGAAGAAGACCTTACCATCAGCATAACAGCTGGCAGGGGTGTATGCCTTTGAATGTGGATCATGGAGAAGAGGGAAGGCCACTGACCTTCCCTTGAAGCTACAAACAATGTCCTTTATGGAGGAAACAAGGAGTAAAAGTAAGCATTCAAGGAATCATTTATGGAATACATAGACTGCAAGAGTATTGTGTTTGAGCACTTTTATACTATCCCATAACCAACAAAGAACCACTGTAACAATCCATCCTCTTTTATTTCAAAGGTTAAACAGCATTATAACTTTAAAGAGTGTTAGGGAAATTTAGTTGGTCCACGCAGCTGTACGCAGATTGATAACTGGGACAGGATATAATGAACACACAACACCCTGGTCACAACAGCTCCACTGATTTATTGTCAAAGACTTTCATGGCTGGAATCACTGGGTTGTTGTAGGTTTTTGTGGGCTGTATGGCCATATTCTAGAAGCATTTTCTCCTGACGTTTCACCTGCATCTATGGCAAGCATCCTCAGAGGTTGAGAGGTCCTCAGAGGTTGTGACCCATGAGGTCTCTTCCAACTCTTTGATTCTATGATTCTATGATTCTATGACCTCACAAACTCTGAGGATGCTTGCCATAGATTCAGGTGAAACGTCAGGAGAAAATGCTTCTAGAACATGGTCATACAGCCTGAAAAACCTACTTATTATTTATTATTTCGGGTACTTCTACCTCGCCCTTCTCAACCCCCTAAGGGGGACTCAGGGCAGCTACAGCAACTCAGCTCCACTGGTTGCTTGGCTGTTTTTGAACACAATACAAAGTGCTGGTGATCAGTTTTATATGGCTAAGTTCCAGGTTATCTATTATCCCACATGTGCCTAATAGGCATGTGTGATCCATGGCTGTAAATGGTTCTAAAGTTCTTACAAAACTAGGGGGCACTGGTGCTTTGTTTCTAAAGTGTTTCTAAAGTTTTGGTGATGGAAATTTCAGAACTCTAACAAAACTTTCAAATTTTCATTAGAAATGGCAGTTCCTAATTGATTCTGTCATAAAAACATGGCAAAAGTTTTTAGAACCATGGATCGCACATGCCTACTGCCTAACCATGTTTTGAGATCTTCTACAGAAGAGATGCATGTGCCAAATAGCATCAGAGTGTGGTCAAGATGGCAATAGTGGGGTGGTGTGAGTTTTCCGTGCTATATAGCCATGTTCCAGAAGCATTCCCTCCTGATGTTTTGCCCACATCTATGGCAGGCATCCTCAGAGGTTGATCTCACTACCTCTGAGGATACCTGCCATAGATGTGGGCAAAACATCAGGAGAGAATGCTTCTGGAATATGACCATACAGCCCAGAAAACTCACAGTAATCCAGTGATTCCGGTCATGAGGAAGAACATACAAGTTAGGAGAAGCTGCAATAGTTTGCTTCAACCTGAGGCTACTAGAAAGAGTCTACCTCTCTTTTTCCACCTCCTCTCCCTTAGTTAATTGAGAAAAAACTACTTTTGCATTTTGAACTCAGTTTGCAGTATCTGAAAGAAGCTGAGGACAAAGCCAAAAGTGGGAGAAAGAAATTGAAACCTTTTAAAAGAAGCTGAAAAAGTGAAGTGATAGAGGGTTAATTGGGTCTAACCTCGCTACACCAGGACAGCTGGAGAGTTTGGAGACATGCTTCCCAAAGAGGTTAGACTGGCACTCTCCTGACTATCCATTTTGGCAAGCCTTTAATGGTTGACTGATTTGGGAGAAAGAGCCTTTCAGAAAGTATTGCACAATTGTTCTATGTATGCCCTCCGACATTATTTACTGGTTTTAATGGCCTATATGGTTTCTCTATATTCCCCTTTCCCGTTTTCCAAAGGTAGACTGAAAACACCAAACTCTGACCTTGAAAATGTAAAAATTCCTCCATTCATGGTTCCAAAACACGACAAGGAAACCAGGATAGGAATCACAGATATAAGGCTCTGGAAGGCTTGGCGTGCAAAACTCTGGAATGGGGGAAAGGAGGCACATTACACCTATAAACACCAAATCTATTAAGAAATACAACCAACCACCAGTAAAAAAAATACTCTTTTTCAGTAAGCTGATTTGATCTCCAGCTTTCTTTCCTTTTAATTCTACCTGTTATCCATCATGTCAGGGATCAGCTGCATTTAATAAGTTCATTGATCATATGCTGGAGCGCCATATCCTGCAACTGTGCACAGATCAGAGTGTGGAAAAGTTACCTTTAGGACAGCAGCTCCCACAATCCCCCTAATAGGATGACTATGCTGTGATTAGGGGAACTATTGTCCAAAATGTACCTTTTCCAGTTTTCTACATCTCTTTAGGGCACTATTTGGTACAACCAGTGTCTATTTCCCATCATCTAACAAAATGAATTTGTCTTCCATGAACTGTAAAATGATGCCCCCATCCCACCCCCAGGACTGGGTGGAATTTGGTTGGATATTAGCAACAATGCTGGCTTTTAACTCACCACAGCTACCGCCTGGGAGGCCAAAACATCTGCTGCTGTCAGTACAGTGTAATAGGAAACATTGGTAAGCATATATCCCACAATCACAGTGATCACAGAAACAATCACAGCCAGAGGAAGATTTCTACAAAAAGAAAAAAAAATGGGGGGAAAGAGAGGAGACAGTGAGTATAACTGTCCTCATCCTGAATTACATGCAAGCTTCAAACATTTCATGCATATTAAACATTGTTTTCTCTTTAATGTAAAGGATCCAGTAGAAAAAAAACATGAGAGGTAGAATATCAGAGTTAAGTACACGTTTAGTTATGATACAGTGTTGATCCGAATGTACCCAAAAATGCAATACTTGGGGAAGGTATTGTTTTACTATAACTTCCAGAATTTCCTAGTCCAACTCCTGAGTGTTGAACAGGAAAAGTAACATCTCCAAGTTCTGAAATGAAATAAAAAATGAAGAGTAGAAAGGGGACCAGAATGAGAAGGGGTTTCTACAAGACAGAAGTAGCCATTCTCATGTTTCCACTAAACATCCCTGTAAGAGGGGTAAGAATGAGACATTGAGAACGCTCATATCATCCAATCCCCCCACATACCATTGTCCCTTTAGCGCAGTGATTCTCAACCTTCCTAATGCCGCAACCCCATAACACAGTTCTTCATGTTGTGGTGACTCCCAACCCATAAAATTATTTTCATTGCTACTTCATAACTGTAATTTTGCTACTGTTAGGAATTATAATGTAAATATCTGAAATGGAGGATGCATTTTCATTCACTGGACCAAATTTGGCACAAATGCACAATATGCCCAAATTTGAATACTGGTGGGATTGGGGTGGGGGAGGTGATTTTGTCATTTGGCAGTTGTAGTAGCTGGGATTTATAATTAACTTACAATCAAAGAGCATTCTGAACCCCTCCAACAATGGAATTCAACCAAACTTGGCAAACAGAACTCCCATGACCAACAGAAAATACTGGAAGGGTTTGGTGGGCATTGACCTTGAGTTTTGGAATTGTTCCTCTACATCCAGAGAGCACTGTGGACTCAAACAATGATGGATCAGGACCAACCTTGGCACAGATATTCAATATGCCCAAATGTAAACACAGAAGGAGTTTGAGGGAAAATAGATCTTGACATCTGGGAGTTGTAGCTGCTGGGATTTATAGTTCACCTACAATCAAAAAGCATTCTGAACCCCACCGACAATAGAATTGGGCCAAACTTCCCACACAGAACCTCCATGACCAACAGAAAATACTGTGTTTTCTGATGTCTTTGGTGACCTCTCTGGCACCCCCTCGCAACCCCCCCAGGGGTCCTGACCATGAGGTTGAGAAACTTGAATCTACATAATTTTTTCTCCCTGACTGTCTCTGAATTTGTCTATCATAAAACCTTCCTTTCCCAGACTCACCGTTCTGGCTTCACTAGTTCTTCTCTCACAAAACATGTCTGAAACCTGCATCATGGAAGGAAAAAAGGGGGAGAGGTTGCAAATTTATTTCAATAACAATGAGAAGTCTTTAGAGGGTATTACCTGTCCTGTATACAAGCCAGTCCTGTATACAGGCAATCCCTGAGTTAGAAACATCCAACTTGCAAATGACTCATAGTTAAGAACGGGCATGAGAAAAGAGGAAGTGAGAGAAATCTACCCCTAGGGAGGGAAATTCACTCTTGAAAGACTGGTCATGGGGAAAAGATGTCTCCACTGAAGCTTTAGCACAAATCCTTGTTTCTAAAGCAAGCCAAATTCTTCAAAATCCAATTATCACAGAAAGTGAGGTGAAATCTTCTGAACACGGGCACAGACAGCAAAACGAACTCCACATTCACATTCTCTCAATCTAAAAGGAAAGCAATGGCAAACCTCCTCTGAATAAATACTGTCAAGGAAACCCCATGATATAATGGCCATATGTCAGAGTTGACTTGAAGGCGCATAACAAAAACAACAACAAAAGAGGGTATTGTGAAAACATATTTGAACTCTGCATACCATCCTGAATAGGCAAACATTCCTGCATAAAAAGCCAGTGGTAGTTTGTCCAGAACCAGCATCTGAGTGTTGAAAGCATCCTGGAAATTTTCTGTGTGACCTAAAGAATATCATGCAGTTAGAAGTCACAGGAACTTTTTAAAGTTGACAACAAAAAGCCTAGGACTACCTTAAGATAATATTTATACTCCAAACTATCACATATTTTGGATGCATTTGCTAAAATGGCTGTAAGGCACATGGGCTCATGTCCAGTAAAATAAGTTCAGGTCCTAGACTTTTGGTTACTGTTTGTGTGACAAAAGACTAACATGGCTACCTCACTGAAAAACTCTCAACATAGTTAGGATAATATGTAAATAATGTTTTCTTTGACTATATATATACGAGAGGACTATAGTCCACATTTTGCAGGGCATCTTTGAAAGGACAGGAATGAAGTGACCGCATGATTGGGTTGTGACCTGATCCATAATGAGCAATGAAAAGTTGGGCAGGGAGACATACAATGAGTCCAAGAGAAAGTTGCAATTTTCAACAGGTCTAATTAAGGCATTTTTATGTTGGAATAATATATTTAATATCATTATATATTGTTAACCCTTCTGTGCTCATGCATGCACATGTGCCGAGGTGCAGATATATGGAGGTCTTTTTTCAGGCATTTCTAAGCACAGTGTATGAATTCCTAGGTTTCTTTCCTTTCAAATAGTACTAATAGTAGTAAATTATTTTTCATTAACCCCTTCTGCCCTTTTGCTGCCTGGCCGTGGCCACCCTTTTGAATACACTCTGATGTTGCTTGGACCCAAGTCCCAATATTTATGTGTGAAAAGTGGTATGTAATGATGACAAGCACAACACCAAGAAGATGGAATACCTTGGGCTAGAAGCATCATGCCTGGCACAATGATGAGAGCAAGAGCTGCCAACTTAATGATGGACAAAATAGTCTGAATCCTGGCACTCCAGCTGACACTCCAGGAGTTCAGAATTAGGACAATATCTGGTTGAAAAAAAGGAAAAGGCATTGGAGCGGCATGAGGGCATTAGTCAATTTATACATGTATACATACATACATATGTATGCCCACTAGGCATGGGCAATCCATGGTTCTAAATGGTTCTAAAGTGCTTACAAAACTAGAGGGTGCTGGTGCTTTGCTTCTACAGTGTTGCTAAAGTTCTGGTGGTGAAAATTTCAGAACTCTAACAAAACTTTCAAAATTTCATTATTATTTCCTTATTGGCGATTTTTATGACAGAACCAAATAGGAACTGCCATTTATAATGAAATTTTGAAAGTTTTGTTAGAGTTCTGAAATTTTCACCACCGGAACTTTACCAACACTTTAGAAGCAAAGCACTGGCGCCCCCTAGTTTTGTAAGTACTTTAAAACCATTTAGAGCCATGGATTGCCCATGCCTAATTACCCACCAGAAGTTTAAAAGAAATTGCATTTTTAAATTCACAGTTTTGCTACCTTTGTGGAGGTCCTGCACTCCTAACCCTCACAAAAATAAAGGGCTTACTGTATTATTTAATAATCTGAGTCTATTACAGGAAGCTATATGACTGTATTTCAATAATTAAAACCAAATTCCAATTGTTCATCCTGACTATGCATATAAAATTAATAGGACTTATGCATGCATTAACTTATCAATCAACCATTTTGATAGCCCACCTTTTCCCCAAGAGTGGGATACACGGCAGTTTACAGAATAAAAAGAAATACAAGTAAACCATATACAGCAAAAGACGTACAAAAAGTTAAAATAATACTAAATTACCCATGGAAATAAAACTATACAAAACATTGATTTAAAATGCAGATTAAGAGCAGTAGAGCACTTAAACAAAAAGTCATTATGTAAAATAATCTATTCTAATATACTTATGCTAATATACTATGACTCAGGGCAGATTACAGTACACATATACAGCAAACATTCAATGCTATTATATAAGTAACAAGACAGACAGTACATAAACAGAAGTAAAGGTTTCCTATCTTTTTCGATCTCCGATATCTGGAGGCTATGCTCAACTCTGGCCATTGGTGGTGGTGTGTGTGTGTTGGGGGGAGGGGTGCTGTCGCTCCATCTTCCCTGCCAAGGAGCTTTGTTGTCTTTAGATGCTCTCCCGATCAAATCACCTGCCTTTTATTACCTCCCCGCCAAAGCGGTACATATTTAGATACTCATATTACTGCTTTCGAGCTGCTAGGTGAGCAGAAGCTAGGCTGACAGATGGGAGCTCACCCCAACCCGGGCTTGAACTGTCAGTCTTTCAATTGGTAAGATTTTCTGCAGCTGGCAGTTCAACCTGCTGTGCTAAATCCCAGCCCTAGTTGGAATATTCTAGTTGGAATAAAAAAAAGTCTTCATTTGATATCCAAAGGACAGCAAGAAGGGAGCCAACCTAGCATTCAACAATTATTTCAATAGCCCTACTCTAATTGGAAGTAGCCATTAAGATATAACATGGACAGTATTTCCATTTTGGACTTACAGTAGCCGAGAAGAGCAACAAGTTTCACAGCCAGCAGTGGAGCTGGGCAGGGGGCAAAAAATGGCTCCAAGATGTAACGTCCAAATGCCAAGGAAACCACTGCACTATTGGCTGGCCTGAAGAGAAAAAAGGTGGGTTATATTCCTTGATCAGACCTCAAGGCTATGCAAGATGGTATTTATTTGCCAGGTCAATAGTTGTTCAGCCACTGCACTGAGGTGTCTTCTGTGCAATCAGTCTTTGGGCACCTTTTTCCAATATATGAAAACTGTAAGATGTCACTGTAAGAGAAAGCTAGTCTGGGGTATTGCAGGGAATATTGAGAATGTCTGGGTAGAAATGTATGCTTACAGGTCTTGAACAAATGATCTACTGATTTTTTTTTCCCGTGTCAGGAGCAACTTGAGTCGCTTCTGGTGTGAGAGAATTGGCTGTCTTCAAGGACGTTGCCCAGGAGACGTCCAGATGTTTTGATGTTTTACCATCCTTGTGGGAGGATGTCCCCACATGGGGAGCTGGAGCTGACAGCTCATCCATACTCTCCCCGGATTCGAACCTACAACTTGTTGGTCTTCAGTCCTGCTAGCACAAGGGTTTAACCCACTGCACCACAGGGAAATAATCTATTGAAATAATCTTACCTTGATGCAGATGTGACTTGAGAGTGGGGGAGATGGTATGAGCTGGGAGATAAGCTTATAGGTTGATGTAGACCCCCACCCATTGTATTTGACCTGCAGAACATAGGTTTCCTATCCATGTTTTTGTCTAACCTGCTTCATAAGATGCCTAGATCCTTTGAGTGCTACTGTATAATCATTGGAGAAATGTGATAAATTGCTTATCATTTGGAGATATATTCTACAAAGCCAATTAAAGCATACCGTTTAACTGGCCTCTATGTCTGCAGTGTTTGCTTTTTGTTTGTTTGTCAAAACACATTCTAGCCATAAATGGATGAATTTGTGGTTGCAGAATCCATGAATATCGAGGGCTGACAATATTTGTTTCCCACCTTCCTCTCAGAATGGAAACTCATGGAGGCTTAACACTTTAAAAGAGCAACATAGTTCAAAACACTGAAACAGAATTAAAGTAGTGACACTATCTAGTTAAAAAAATACAACACAATTTAAAAGATTAAAAATAGTTACTATTATCATCTTTATTTATACTCTGTCTTAATAATAATAATAATAATAATAATAATAATAATAATAATAATAATATGATGTATTGTCATAGCCCGAAAAAACCCACAAGAACTGAATAATAATATGCTTTATTTATATTCTGCTCTATCTCCCCGAGGAGACTCAGAGCGGATTATAAAATACGGCAAACATTCAGCGCCATTATACAATTAACAACAAAGCCAGACAGTACACAGACAGAGGTAAAGGCTTCCCCCTTTTCAATTCCAGCCATGGAGAGGTGCTCTTGTTCCATTTTCCATGCCGAGGAGCCTGTTGTCCGTGGACACCTTCCTGATTGAATTGCCAGCAGGTCTGCGTGGGTGCCTTTTACCTCCCCACCAAAGCGGTACCTAATGATCTTGATTTGACAAACTGCATCTCCCACTATAGACCAACTCGGACACTGTAGTAATTGAAGGAGGCCCTCCAATTCCACCCCCATACCAAGCATGGCTGGTGGGAATGAGAGAAAAGGCCTTCCCCGTGGCTGCCCCCCACCTCTGGATCTCCCTTCCTAAGGAGTTAAAGATGCCCCCCCCCCCCACTTTCAAGAAACAGCTGAAGACATACCTTTGCTCACTGGCTTACGAGGAGGAGGGGGAGGAGTTGGTAATACTACCATTATACCTCTGATTCATAGTTACCATCTGTGTGCATGCCCTGCTCACCCCACCAGCTCAATAGATATCTTGAGAAATAATTAATCTTTTTGCCTCAAGGAACTGGGAAATTGTTTCTATTTTATGTTTGATGTTTTGTGTTATGTCTGTTATAACAGGCTGTGTTTTTTAATTAAATTTTAGTTGTTAAGTCATAATTTGTGTTTATATGTTGGGTTGTTTAAATTTTGTTAATATGGATGTATTATTGTTGTATTCGGGCATTGAATGTTTGCCTTTTATGTTTGGAATCCGCCCAGAGTCCTTCCAGGGAGACAGAGTGGAATATAAATGAATAAAATATTATTATTATTATTATTATTATTATTATTATTATTATTACTATTATTATTATTATCTACTCACAGTATTGTTTTTGAACTGCTAGGTTGGCAGAAGCTGGGGCTAACGACGGGAGCTTACCCTGACCTGTGGCTTTGAACTGCCAACCTTCAAGTCAGAAAGATTTTTCTACAGCTGGCAGTTTAATCCACTGTGTTATGTGGCCAAATGGGGACTCAAGGTGGCTAACAATCCATACTAGACAAGTTTTAAAAGAGCAATATTAAAGTTTTTTTAAAAAAAAATAGTAACAGTGTGGTAAAACTGAATTAAAATACAGTAAACACACTAAATTGGACTTTAAAACACATATCTCCCCCATCCCACTTAAAACTATTTAAGCCAGTATAGTTTTAAAAAACTATGTAATGCCCCATCCCTTTCTTTCCAAACTTTCTGTATTGAAAGCCTGTCAAAATGGAAAAGGTTTTCCTTCACACTTTAAAAGCTTTGACTTTAACCTCCTATCAATTCCCTTCCCATCAACCTCCCATCAAGTACAGGCAATAATAAGGGATTAAGTCCAATGCATCTGGAGAGCCAAAGGTTCCTTATACCTGCTGCAGTATATGCCTCTATCCCAACTGGGGATTGTCAACACAAGTCAAAATGAAAGCAACGTGTTCACATATTTCTGTTACTTACACAATATTGTAGAAATTCAATCTGGTCATTCACCTAGATTGTCTTTTTTTATCTGTTTCTGAAGTCTGTCGGGGTGAGGTTAAACATTTAACAAATATTTAACTATATATCATATATACAGGTACACCAAATGGTTTAGGGGTATTATTCCTTTCTCACCTCCACGTTTATAGCAGGTTGCAGATGGAAATATTTACCTTATAGCAAAGTACTCAGCCCATAGAAACAGAAAACCTGGCAGAGGGCCCAGGGTCTCCAAGATATAGATGTAATGGCCTCCAGACTTGGTGATTCGTGTGCCAAGTTCTGCATAACTCAAAGCACCTGGAAGTATTCAGGTAGAAAAATGTGTTAGCAAATGACATAGATGAACTTCTCTGTTTATCAGGTTTGAAAAGGTTTTAACATCTTTCAAAACTGCTGAAAGATCAGCAGAAAATGGGCTTCAGCAAAATCCTCACTAGCCTTTACTGGAAGTCATGTCTATGTAGTTCATGAGATCCTTCCCACACTGAGAACTGGCACTGATACTTTAAAAAGACTTTCTGTAACCTTAAGATAATCACAGATAGTTGTCGACATTCACTGGAGTTAGGGGTGCAGGGTCCCCACCAAAGTGGAGAAAATTGGAATAGGACTCATACTATTTTTTAACCTGAGAGAACACTGCTCAAGTGGTCTCTAGATACGTGGTTCCCAACCAGTGGTCTGTGGACCACCAGTGGTCCACAAGAACTAAAATATGGTCCACGCCCTTACCGTTACTACTATGAATAATAACACAGCCACACCTCTGTGTGTGTGTGTGTGTATGTGTGTGTGTGTGTGTGTATATACACACATATACATACATACACTAGCATCTATCTATCTATCTATCTATCCATCTTGGTCAACTTTAGATCTGGTTTGGTTATCTGGGGTGCTGATTCAGAAAATTGCATTGGATAGACCACATCAGCTCTAGATTATTAAATATGGTTTTCTGTGGGTGAGCAGATGGCGACTACTGGATGGCATATGTTCTGTATCAGAAACTAGAGCTGATGTGGTCTATCCAATGCAATTTTCTGAATCAGCACTCCAAATAACCAAACCGAATCTAAAGTTGACCAAAAACTGATTCGTAACCCTTTTGGTACTAATGTTGGAGAGTGGTCCCTGGTCAAAGTGCTCCCTGGTCAACCACTATTCTAGATCATATAGCATGGACCTCTGGTGGAGATTATCCAAAAAGTTACACTGGGGGACCTAAACATTCCTAGAGAGAACATTTTAACTCAAATCCAAGAATAATCTCTACTGTTCCATTATTCAGGTGGAGGCCAAAAGGAGGCGCTAGACAGAGAAGAATAGTCCATTTTATGGGGGGAGAGGGGTTGAAGGAGTTAAACTACTGTATTTCCCCCTATTTTCCTGTTATTCCCCTCACCAGTGTCACCATTATGGAAACAACTTTCGTTTATGACATGGAGAGGGGGAATAACTGATGAAAACTGGAGAAATTGTTTTCCTAACTTCACCCCCCCCTCCATAAAATGAACTATCCTTCTCTATCTAGTGCCCCCTTTTGTCCTCTGCTCTGATAATGGAACAGTACCGAATAACCAAAACCACAGACATCAAACAGTATATGTGGAGGGCTGACTGTAGGATCTTTGTGAAAAATGAAATGATATGATGCCTGTTATTTAATCTGAACTTCCTGTATGGTGCAACTCACAATGGGGCAGTTCATAGTGGGTTCATTGAGAACAGGGGAAATTGCACTCCAGACGCTCCAAAATTGTCCAAACATAACTCAGATGAAGGGCTGCAGCTGAGTTGCAGGATACACATCTGGTACGCAGGACATCCCAGGTTCACCCTGAATATATTCCTGTAAGGCTAGGAAAGGCTCCCGAAATCCCAGAGGAGAAATGCCAGCCAGTGTAGACAAGGGGTATGTGCCAATCAACCCAAAGAGTTACGATTCTAAATGTAAGAGCAGCCTTTGCATTGATCCAAGAAAATAATTCACATTGATGGTGATGCACTCTGACAGTCTTGAAGCCATGCCTGGAGGCTCTAAGAAATCCACAATGGCTCCATATGTGCATGCATGAAGATGCCATATGGTCAACAGCTTCCTTAGAATTGAACATGAGTTATTTTTAACCAAAACTTCTGGCCTGCAGGTTTCATACATTAGGCACTACAAGCAATTCAAATGGAATCACTGCACAGAATGTATTACGGTAGAGTACTTCCATTGAACATTTCCTCATTGCTTTCAGCCTCCTTTTAGGCAAAGAAAGGCGATTCTATTTTGGCTCTATTGCTTTGTGTCTGGACATATACATTATGGATTGGGCTGATATGGAAAGGAAGAATAATAAGAACAAACAGAAGCCTTAGAATTGCCCATTCATAGTTGTTGTTGTTGTTGTTATTATATTGATCTGTATTCCTCCTTTCGATATTGAGATTCAAGGTGATTAACAACATGTTTAAAACAGTACATATGAAAACTAAACAAAAAGTTCAATAAAAGTATCAACAGAAAGTCATTTAAAAACAAAGAATGTGTGGTTTAAAACATTAAAAATTAAAATGTATGAGATGATTACATGTTGCTCTTTTTGTTGGTACTGTGTTCCTTCAAGTCATTTTTAGCCTATGGAAATCCTATCATGGTTTTTCTTGGCATTACTTGTTCAGAAAAGGTTTGCCATTGCCTTCATTTAAAGCTGAAAAAGAATGATTGATTCATCTTCGGGTCACCCTAAGTGAGAAACCATTTTTTTAACATCTAAGAAGCAACTTGAGAAACTGCAAGTCGCTTCTGTTGTGAGAGAATTGGCCGTTTGCAGCAAGCCCATAGCCAGGATTTTGATTCAGGGGGAGTGAAAGAGGGTCTACCCTAGCAAACCTTTTGTATTGTTACCCCAATACCCCCATGCATATGGGATATATTGAGCATGGTGATCAGATCATGATATGAATAAACATAACAGTTTAAATAATGTACCAGTAAGGCCTTTTCACAGACCACCATGAGAATTTGGGGGGGGGGGGGCTGAAGCCCCAGCCCCCCCCCCCGGCTACATGCCTGGTCTGCAGAGATGTTGCCCAGGGGACACCTGGATGTGTTACCATCCTGTGGGAGGCTTCTCTCATGTCCCCACATGAGACATCTCACAGATTCAAACCACTGACCTTCAGGTCAGCAGTTCAGCAGGCACAAGGGTTTAATCCATTGCTCCACCACGGCATCTAGAAACAATCTGAAGGCACGACAACACTCTTTTGTCCACTGTGGTTCAAGGAAAGCGGGGGGGGGGGGGCAAAATTTCACCCTACTCTTGACTCAGTGGAGGCATCATGGGAGAAAATTACAGTTCAATCAACTCACCTATCTGATTCAGAGGTTAGAATGACTGTTCTGTGGACTGCAAGATCCAGTACTCATGCTAGCTATATTCAGCTATAGGGGAATAGTGGAAATTATAGTCTGAATAAGACTGTCAATTTGGACAGGGATTATTTATTTATTTATTTACTTTGCTTATATACCGCTGTTCTCAGCCCAGGGGCGACTCACAGCGGTGGATTACATAGGGATTATGTAACTTTGATCCTTAACCAATCTTGGGGTAGTATGAGGTACTTAGTCAGAAAAAAGCAAATGCACAGATATAGGACGAGTGATAGCTGGTTTGACAACAGTACAGGTGGTCCTCAAGTTACGAAGATTGGTTCAAAATATTTGTTCTTAAGTTGTATTTTTTTTTTGTAAGTAGGAGCAGGTACATTTTTAAGGTGTAGCTCCATAACTTTTCCAAGCTTTGCCTGATTACCTATCAAAGGGTTAACAATACTTCTCTGACCATGAGTAAGAACATATCCTCGATGGTCCAATTATTAGTTCCGAACTTGAGTTGACCCATTTAACACATCCGTTTTATGTAATTGTTAACTAACAATTCTGCAACTGATTTAACGGGTCTATTCTACAAGGGACAAACAACGAGCTATAAGAAAAGTCGAGCCCCTTAGCTATTGCTGGAATGCAACTCTCATGAGCCTTAGTTAGGCTAGACCTTGATGAAGACTTCTGGGAGTTGTAGGCAGTGGTTGCACTGATTTAGGCCCTTAAATTTACATATCTACAGGGCACTGTTTAAATCTCCACTGTATACATTTCAGTTAAGGGTTATAGTATCTCTTCTCCCAATCTAACACCACATATTTTGGACCAATTCTAAACAGCCTCAGCTAACATGGCAAAATACAAGTGTTGATGAGAATTGCTGTTCAAGGCATTTGAAGGAAATTAGTTGGGCTTCTCAGCAAAAAAGCTCTAGCAATGCCTCTAATATAAACCCTGTCTTTCTATAGGATCTTGCATAATAGTTACAGTGGAACCAATAATGCTATATTAGCACAATTTGTATGGTCCCCAGGAGAAGGAAAGTGTCAATAAATCGGTTTCCTGGCTAAGAAGATGGAGAGAAAAGAAACTCACCACGCACCAAACATAGAGAGAATCCCACAAGCAAACCAGACGATCAAGGAGAGGCCCACGTTGCCAGTATTTTTCAAAACGCCTTTGGGAGAGATGAATATGCCACTCCCTATCATGCTGCCAATGAGAAGTGAGAAAGCTCTCAAGAGAGTGATTTTCTTCCTCAGAAAGACAGCTTCTTCTTTCTTCTTAGGTTTTGCCATGTTTATCGCAATTCTGGGGTGTAGGAGGAGTATTCAGGTGACCTGAGTTGTCCAAGAAGTCTTTCCCTGGTTCTCCAATCAACCTAGGTCAAAAATGTGAGAGGGTGTTTTTAGAAGTGATCTTAAAGAAAAAAAAACTTTATATTATGAAGTCAATACAGCAGTGTTTTTCAACCTGGGGGAGGGTCACCAGTGGGTGTCAGGGGTTGCAAAAGACCATCTGAAAACACGGTATTTTTTGTTAGTTATGGGGGTTCTGTGTGAGAAGTTTGGCCCAAATTTGTCGTTGGTGGAGTTCAGAATGCTCTTTGATTGTAGGTGAACTATCCCAGCAACTACAACTCCCAAATGTCTATTTTCCCCAAACTCCAGCAGTGTTCACATTTGGACACATTGAGTATTTGTGCCAAGTTTGGTCCAGATCCATCCTTGTTTGAGTCTACAGTGCTCTCTGGATGTAGGTGAACTACAACTCCAAAACTCAAGGTCAATGCCCACCAAACCCTTTCCAGTATTTTCTGTTGGTCATGGGAGTTCTGTGTGCCAAGTTTGGTTCAATTCCATTGTTGGTGGAATTCAGAATGCTGTTTGATTGTAGGTAAACTATAAATCCCAGCAACAACAACTCCCAAATGACAAAATCAATCTCCCCCAACCCCACCAGTATTCAAATTTGGGCATATCAGGTATTTGTGCCAAATTTGGTCCAGTGAATGAAAATACATCCTGCATATCAGATATTTACATTATGATTAATAACAGTAGCAAAATTACAGTTATGAAGTAGCAACAAAAATAATTTTATTGTTGTGGGTCACCACAACATGAGGAATTGTATTAAGGGGTCGTGGCATTACAAAGGCTGAGAACCACTGCAGTACAAGGTTTTCAGACCCTTTGCCTCCCAAGCCAATGTAGTACTCGGGACAACATTTAAAAATTAAGTTCTTTACTTGAACTACAAAATGTTATTTCAGAAAATGCAGATTTAAAGTAACCCCAGTAGTTGATTATTCAAATAACCTTTTAGCTGGAATATATTTATGAATTATATTAACATAATTAGGGAATGTATTCAAATTTAATGGGCAGAATACCCATTAGTTCTGCGCATAGCATTCAATGCCCATGCAGGCTAAGAGATTCTAAGAGCTGTAGTTCAAATAGGTATGATTTCCAAGTTTTTGATATTTTTTCCTCCAGGTGCTTCCTAGTATTTTTCCCCATTCCTTTTATAAATCTGTTTAAAAACATGCCCAGGAATGTTAAATTATTGCACATCAGCATTACATACATTTTTATTGTGCTTTGTAAAATGTCCATGGACCAGATGGCAAAGGGTGCTATGTACATAAAGCATTTCTGTCTAGCCTTTTATTGGTTAAAGTATTGTAACTCACCACTTTTGAGATCTTTAACAACATTTGAATACAACATGTCGGAAGTACAACAACAATTGATTAATGAGTATTATTATTAGTAGGGAAAGACAGCTGCCCATACATCCATTTATCACAGTCAAGTGGATGTCATAATTAATAAGAAGTATTGCTTCCACTTTCTGTTTAGAACTCCAGAAAACAACAGTGGAAGGTCATTTATCATTTTTAAAGCGTTGATTTTCTTTTTTCCTTTCATTTATAATGATCTAACCTGTAAGATTTGACATGAGGAGTGTAATCAATAAATTGAGTGCCATTTTGGAGATATGATCCAGCACTGAATTAGGGGTCTGTGAACTCTGTAGAAACCAGCTCTTGGGTGTGTTGTTGTCTTTGAATTTTGATCACTTTCCAAAAAGGGAGTAATGGTTACAGTCTAACTCTCTATTCTCCCTTAACGAAAGTGCCACTAATCTCGTCTGATGGAAGCAACTCCTCCACCTTCATTGAAAAGGCAATCTTCTTCATACAAAGAAATTATAAACATGACTGTTAACTCTTAAGAACAGACAAGCATCTCTGAGTATTAACTGGGAAGGAATCCCACTGGAGCACTGCAGTACAGTGTTCCCTCGCTACTTCGCAGTTTGCTTTTAGCGGACTCGCTGTTTCGTGGGTTTTTGAAAATATTAATAAAAAAACCCAAAATATAAAATATTTACGTCTAGTGGAGGCCAGGGACCCCGGAAGTGCAGCAGTCTGAGGCATAATGGTGAAGGCCTGCCTCCCCGGCCTCCACAGACCTTGGAAGTGGAGGCCAGGGAGGCCAGGGAAGCAGGCAGGCACCCTTGGGATGGGCCAGGAGGTGGGTAAGGAAGCGCGGGTAAGAAAATAATATATAAAATATATAAAATAATGTATAAATATTGAAATTAATATGGCATCCCTACTTTGCGGATTTTCACTTATTGCGGGTGGTCCTGGAACGGAACCCCCATAATAAGGGAGGGAACACTGTACACCCAAATACTTGGGAGTTACCTTGGACTGTGCTCTGACTTACAAGAAGCACTGCTTGAATATCAAACAAAAAGTGGGCACTAGAAATAATATCATAAGAAAGCTGACTGGCACAACCTGGGGATCACAACCAGACACAGTGAAGACATCTGTCATTGCACTTTGCTAACCTGCTGCTGAGTATGCTGCAGAGTAATGAATAAAGTATTATTATTATTATTATTATTATTATTATTATTATTATTATTATTTTGCATGCCCAGTGCAAAATACATCTCACCATGTTAAAACAGTGGATGTGTCTCTTAATGAGACATGCTGCATTATCATGCTCAACACTGCTGGAGAAATTAGACTGTTTAGCCGGTATTGCACCACCTGACATCTCGGAAGTAGCAGCCAATAATGAAAGGACCAAGCAGTGACATCTCCGGCCCATCTCTGTTCAGATATCAGCCAGCAAGCCAAACCCTTAAATCAAGAAATTATTTATTTATTAAGAGCATTTCTATCCATCCTTCTCGCCTCCAAAGAGGGACTCAAGACGGCTACCAGCAGACACCATTCGGTGCCCAACAATACACAGCATAAAATACATTTAACCTACATTAAAAACAGGGTTTTAAGATCTACAGAGATACTTGCAGGAACATCTCAGCAAGCAAGAGTGCAAAAGTGGCAGGTTCAAACCCAGAACCTCAACCATGGCTGATACTAAATGAGAGACGCCCCTGGGCACACAGAGACTGGGCAACTTGGAAAGACGCTGAACAGACTGTTCTGGCACCATGAGTTGCAGAGCCAATCTTAAGAAATGGGGCATAAAGTGGAGTCCACAACATGTGAGTATGGAGAAAAGCAAACCACAGATCACCTACTACTACAATGCAGCCTGAGCCCTGCCACGTACACAATGGAGGATCTTCTCACAGTGACACCACAGGCACTCCAAGCAGCCAGCTTCTGGTCAAAGGAAATCTAGTATAATGCCAAGTTTTAAACTTTGTTTGTGTTTTTTAAAATATGTTATAACTTTACCCTCAATTTGCTTCTGACATGATAAAGAAAGAAATAAACTGTGAAAATGGCATTACAATCTTTATTAAAACATTAATTCTAATAATTTGGTTTGTTCATTCTATTTTCTTATTTTATGTAACCTATATTCATCCTTTCTCACAATATATGGTTCCAGTTGACTCCTAATATAGATCTAAACAAAACCATCATAATATTTTACACAATATATTTTTAACAATTAAATAATTTAAATTATTTCCAAGCTCTGTGAAAACTGTAGTCATGTCCATCAAATTTGTCAGCTTTGGGCAGGAATTAGACAAATTCAGACCAAACAATGGTAATTAAACACAATGACAAGAAAGTAACTCCAGTATTAAAGCAGCATTCCAGTTGCTGGGAAACTTGAGCATGACAGTACTACCATTATGTTTCTGTCCTGCTTTGTAGCTTCCACTGGGATAGCAAACCAGTTGTTGCAAAGAGAACAGCAAGCAACAGAAGTCATTGGGCTGAGCTCTTCATTTGCTCTCATGTACTTATTTAAATTATAATATTTCTAAATGTGCATTAGTTTGTGCCGATTCAGTTTGCAAATCCGTAGCCTTTCTGTTTGTTTCTTTTAGGTTTTGCTTCTCTCTTTCTTTCTCTCTTTCAAGATCAGTTCAAGTTTGGATTAAAATGGGTGAGTGTGATGTTAATAAAGCTAAACCACACTGATAACTGCACACTGGAGCTGGGATATAACCCTTGTGTGGATTCAGCTATGATATTAAGAAGAAAGATTGGCATCTACTTTCAACATACCATGGTACAGTGGTAAGGTAAACCATCTTGGCTTTTGAGCTGAAATCGTTTACATAATGGATTAAAAATGCAAGTATGATAATCCTTGCAGCTGGTCTTAATAATATTCTGCATGTGTTTGGTATAAAGGAAATATTTACAAAGCTGGTTTTTGTTCACATGCTGTGTCGCTTTGTTGACTTGCATCTCTTTCATTCCCTTCACATTGTATTTTTACTTTCAAAAACCAGAGACATTTCAATTAGACCCCGAAAAGAATTGCTACATAATTTTCTACTAATGTCATCCCGATTTCTGTGACTGTGTAACAGATTTAAAGTCCATTCTTCTTACAGCAACTGATCCATCTTACAGCGAGCAGATCTTGAAGGTGTACAAAGCAAAACCAGAAAAAATAAGAAACTGGTATAGCAAACATTTGGTTAAATCCAGTTGGCATTAATAAGACATATTGCACATTTGCTTGGGTAGATTGCTGACCAAATTAGACTCAATTTACAGTACCTTGATTTTAAATGTTTTGAGCAGAATCACAAGCTATTTATTTATTTATTGTCTTAGAAGTAGTACAGTTATTATGTATATTGAAAGACACAAACAAAGCTTAAAAACTGGCATTATGCTAGATTTCTTTTGATCAGAAGCTGGCCACTTGGAGTGCCTCTGGTGTCGCTATGAGAAGATATCCATTGTGCATGTGGCAGGGCTCAGGTTGCATTGTAGTAGGTGGTCTGTGGTTTGCTCTTCTCCACACTCACATGTCATGGACTCCACTTTGTACCCCATTTTTTAGGTTTTTTTTTTTTTTTTTTTTTTTTAATAAGTTTTTATTAGTTTATCACAATTATTACATACTATTGCATTTTCTACATCAACCTCTTTAACATGTTATTTTGTTGTTTTGCTTTGACATTCCTCCCCTTTTTTTTTCTCTTTTTTTTTTTTTTTTCCCCACCTCCGTGCTCCCCTCCACCCGTTTCAAGCCACATTTCTTACATTTCATCAGTCCAAAATTTCATTTCTTCTTGTGACGGTAATTTTCCTTCCTTATTTTTTAATCCATTTATCACAAATTTCCCCCATATAGCATCAAAATCACTTTGTTTCCATATACCTTTTTTAACCTTTAATATACATGTCAGTTTATCGTTTAAAGCTAATTTCCATGCTTCCTTATACCACTCCTCTATTTGTATATTCATTTCTTTTTTCCAATTCCTTGCTATGAGCAGTCTTGCTATAGTTAGTAAGTTTGTTATCGCTTCTTTATCCTCCTTTTTCAATTGCTTATTGTTATATAATGATAGTAAGGCTATACTAGGACTTTTTATCTATTTTTATATTCATTATTATTTCTATTTCTCTAAATACTTTCTCCCAAAAATTATTTACATATTTACATTGCCACCACATATGTATATATGTTCCTTGTTCTTGACACCCTCTCCAACAATTATTGAGTTATTTTTATTCATATATGCTATTCTTACCGGTGTTAAGTACCACTTCCATATTAACTTATAGTAATTTTCTTTAACTCGTATTGATAAATTTTTTAGATGTCTTTGTCCCCATAACTGTTGCCACTCTGTTTCACTTATTTTTATCCCTAAATCCTCTTTCCAAATCTCCTTAAGGGTGTACTTTTTTATTTTTCCATCCTTCATTTCAATTAGTATCTTATAGATTTTGCTAATTATACCTCTCAAGTTTTCATATTCTTCTACTGCCCTTCCCTTCTGTATTATTTGTTCGAATTGATTAAGTTGGCCTCCATTTCTATTATTCTTTTTCCAATTTATTAACCATTGTTCTAATTGTATACAGTGAAACCATGATAATTTTATTTCTTTAAACTCTTCCAACATCCTTTCCCTCTTCATTTCCACTTTCATCCAATCCCCTATTCTATCTAAATTTATTTCCCTTACCTTTTTATCCATTACTTTTTTTAATTTTTTGGGAATTTCTTTTCCATCACTATTGGGGTAATAATTGATCCTTCCTTTATTAACCTCCCCTTATACTTATTCCATACTTTCAGTATGTTGCTCAACATTGGGTTTCTAATTTCCTTCAATTCTGTTCTAGTAAGCTGTTTAAAAAATATATTCCAGGTTTCATCTTCCACTTTTCCTGAATCATTACTAAGCCAATCTATTCCCTTTTTTTTAACCATTCCTTCTATAACCAGATTTAATCTACTTGCATCATAATATTTTTTTATATTAGGTAATGCTAGTCCACCCTCCTTTTGCGATCTATACCATATTTGTTTATTTAGTCTATTTTTCTTACTTCCATTGCAGTACTTATTAATCATTTGTTGCCATCTAGTTAGTTCTTCCTCTGTGATTTGAAGTGGTAGCATCCTAAATATAAAATTTATTTTTGGAAGTATTTTCATTTTTACTAATGCTATTCTTCCAAACCAGGATAAATGTATACCTTCGTACTCTATTAACTTTTTCTGAACTTCTTTTCTTAAAGTTACTACATTTTCTTCCTCTATCTCTTTTAAATCTTTAGTTATTATTACTCCCAAATATTTTAATTTATTCTTAATTCTTATTCCCGTTTTTCTTTGTTCTATGATTTTTTTTCTTCTTCTCTTGTATAATTGAGTAGCATCATTTCTGACTTGTTCCAATTAACTTGTAAACCCGTTGCTTTCCCAAATGTCTCCAAATGTTCTTTTATTCTATCTATTTTCTCCACTATATTTTCTATAAATAACAATGTATCGTCAGCAAATAAGCTCACCTTCTGTTTCTCCTTTTTTCCTAATCCCTCTAAGTTTTTATCTTTCCTTATATTATTAGCAAAAAGTTCTATCACCATAGCAAATAATATCGGGGACAAAGGGCACCCTTGTCTGGTTCCTCTAGTCACTTTTATTTCATTTGTCACTCCATCATTTATAGTTACCACTGCTGAGTTCCCTGAGTAAAATTGTTTTAGTACTCCTTTTATTCTATTTCCCATTCCAAATTTATTCAATATTTCCCTTAATGTCTCCCATTCCGCACAATCGAACTCTTTAAAAATATCTAATGATAAAAAATACAAAATACAAAAAAATGGCCCAATGAATTTTATTTAGTACTCTCCCTGTCAAATTTGACATTTGTCTTCCTTTTATAAACCCACACTGGTCTTCTTTTATATACTTATACATACATTTATTCCCCATTTCTTAAGATTGGCTCTGCATCTCATGGTGCTAGAGCTCAGTCTGTTAGCACCTTCCAAGTCGCCCAATCACAAGGTACAGTACAAATATAGACAGATATAGATCTATAGCAAAACGCCTCAGAGTGGGCCTCCCCTAAGTTAGAGGGCAGCAATGTTTAATCTGATTCAATAGCAGCCAATTTGCCACCATCTTACAAATTGCTACTGCTACATCTTATGGAATCTTGAGATTTGCAATTTAGGAAGAAGAATTATTCACACTCCAGTCTTGCCAATATTCATTCAAAACGTAGGAGCATGTGACAGGTTTTGGATCAGTGGTTCTCAACCTGTGGGTCTCCATGTGTTTTGGCCTACAACTTCCAGAAATCCCAGACAGTTTAACAATTGTTAGGATTTGTGGGAGTTGAAGGCCAAAACATCTGGGAACCCATAGATTGAGAATCACTGTCTTTGATCATCCATGCTATCCTTGGCAGTTTAGGTTCTGTGGCAAGACTGAGAGCCCCCCACAGGTCCATTCAGATCTTGTTATTCATTTGGATGTCAATCATTGCTATCTGATAACTGCAAATGTAATAGCAGAAGAAAATGTTGATGCGACCTGGGGCCACAAATGGATTTCAACATGAAGTCATGGCTCTAGCCACACAAAACTAGATTACAACAAATTGGTTAGTATTCAATATACTAAGGACTTCTTTCTCTCAGTTTTCTTCTAATTTATATGATATCTAAATTGCTGTTTTAAGGCAAGTCTAACATGGTGGCTACATCCAAAGTCGGTCCAGAGCATCATAGAATCAAAGAGTTGGAAGAGACCTCATGGGCCATCCAGTCCAACCCACTGCCAAGAAGCAGGAATATTGCATTCAAATCACCCCTGACAGATGGCCATCCAGCCTCTGTTTAAAAGCTTCCAAAGAAGGAGCCTCCACCACACTCAGGGGCAGAGAGTTCCACTGCTGAACGGCTCTCACAGTCAGGAAGTTCTTCCTCATGTTCAGATGGAATCTCCTTTCTTGTAGTTTGAAGCCATTGTTCCGCGTCCTAGTCTCCAGGGAAGCAGAAAACAAGCTTGCTCCCTCCTCCCTGTGGCTTCCTCTCACATATTTATACATGGCTATCATATCTCCTCTTAGTCTTCTCTTCTTCAGGCTAAACATGCCCAGCTCCTTAAGCCGCTCCTCATAGGGCTTGTTCTCTAGACCCTTGATCATTTTAGTACTAAATCCCACTGTCAATACTTTTCCAAAGCCACAGGATACCCCAGAGTATAGCCTACAGTGAGAGGAATTCAGTATAACCCTTTAAAAAACCCACAACTACAATAACTGGAAACCAGCAAATGTCTGGAGACAACCAGTAGCAGATTTGGGATGAGTTTGGGTTTCCTTGCCCATGTTGACTCTTCCCTAGTCCTTTCTGCCATACAAAAGAAGTCTCACGCTGTTCATTTTCCAAAGCCTTCCCCTAAATCTCCCAGGATTTCCATGACCAACTACTTATTTCAGTCCTTGCCAAGTGTGGCAGCAGCCTGTAAACATGAAAAAAGACTTACCCCAAAGTTAAAGATGTCCAAAGAAATTAGTTGATAAAGTATTACTGATTCCAAAAGAAAGATATCATTATCTTCTACTTAGAGCAATGTGTGTTGGTGGAAATAGCCAAAATATTGAATTTCAGTCCATTCTTCTTCAGACTTTGTGAGGAGGAAAACCTGAACTTTCCTAGAAAAACAAGCAGAGAAGGAATGCAGCAGCTTTGAGCACTAGAAATAAGAAGGATCAGGGAGCTATTGAAAAATAAGAGGGGAAATTAGCAGCTAACTTTACACATTTCTGTAAATAACTGAAATGGTTTTTTGTCCAAGTCACTATGACCCTAAGATTTTCTCAGAAGTGGATAAAAGGTTCCTCATTTAAGAAGATTTGGGTCACATCTACACTGACCATTTAATGCAGTTTCAAACTGGTATTGAAGAGAATGGTTTTGCTGTGCAGATGATTACATAGAACCAGTTTGAGATCCAGATGGTGATTATACAAACCACAGAGCACTGGTGTGTAGTAATTGCTTTCTTTCACACGTTTTTGTGGGAGTTTGTTGTCTGACAGATGCAGTTTGATGCTAGTTTTGAACTGCATTAAATGGTTGGTGTAAATGGAGTCTATGAATTCCTTTACTGTTCTAATGTAGCACAAATCCTATGTAAAATCATACTACGTATTTTTGACATTAATATTGAAATCTGAAATATATATAGAAAGTATTTATTTTGAAATTTGAAATATATACAGAAATTCTTTATTATAGAGGATAGTCCTCAAGGTGAAGGACATAAATAAAGCCCAGACTTGTTTTAAAAATGAAGAAATAAAAGAAAGGAAGTCCAGAAAGCTTGAAATGTCCACCAACATTTACCTATTACCAACAGTGCTACGGATTATGAGAAGGTGTGAATAGAGAAACGTGCCAAGAGGAAGGTGCATTATGCAACCCTTGTTAGGATCACTTTTCATCTGGAAATGTATGTCCTTTCAGAAACTAGAAATTCTATAAGAGAGTATGACACCGAAGGTTGGCAGTAGTAACTTTCTACCTCCATTTCCATTTTACAGTTAGTGTAACATATTCATAACAAGTCACCTTGATAACATTCCATGGAACTCATTATCCATGATCTACCCTTCACCAATGGAATCTTGGGCAACCATCTAAGTAAGGTTCATCACATTTCTGCAGAGTAGGTAAAGTTGGAAGCTGTTTCCATACTAAAGCTAATACTCTGATTCTCAGCTAACTGGTGAAAAGAAGCAAATACACACCTACACTTTCATGATATTGTTGTTGTTATGGCTTGAACGCTGGACTTATGAGGCTGGAGACAAGAGTTTGATTTGCCGCTCAGCCATGGAAACCCAGTGAGTGAGCTTGGACAAGTCACATACTCTTCACTCCAGAAAACGATGTTAGAGTCACCATAAGTTGAAACTTATTTAGATCATAAAGTTGTAAGAGACCACGAGAGCTAATTAATCCAACCCCTGCCATGCAGGAAAACATAATTAAAGCATCCCAGATAGATAGATGGTTATCTAGCCTCTGCTTGAAGGAACTCAATAACAACAAATTCCAACTTTCTCCCAAAAATGGACCTCAAGGCAGCTAATAATACTAATAACTGGGCTCAAGGCAGCTAATAATATTACTAATAAAAACAATACATTAAAACTACACAAAATTTGGATTAACGTATGAGCATAAAAGCTGTTTTAGAAGCAATTAAGCTATTTATAATGATAGTACAGCACATCATTAAAAGTCTATCCAATTCATTTCCTAAAAACCTGGTGGCACAAATATACTTTCAATTGCTGATGGATGGAGAGCAAGATCTGAGCTCAAAAGGGTTTCAAAGACTGGATGCAGCCACCAAGAGCTACCCTCTCCCTTGTTTCCTCCAAACAAGCTTGAGAAGGTGATGGGACAGAGAGGGGCCTCTCTACACACAATCTTAGATCTCTAGAAAATCTTATGAAAATACAGACCTTCAAAAGCCTGGATCCAAGACACACAGGGCTTTATAGGTCATCAACAGCACTGTGCCCAGAAATAGACTGGCACATAGTGTAGCTATGGCAACAAGGGAGTTGCATGCTTCCTGTAGCCAATCCTAGTTTATTTATTTCCAGCATTTGTACCCCGTCCTTCTCAACCCCCAAAGGGGGACTCAGGGTGGCTTACATCAGCAACAATTCGATGCCAACACATACAGAATACTTACACAAAACATTACAACATTATACATTAAATAAAACAATTACGTTAAAATCCATTTAAAAACATTATTAACAACCATCTAGCCAAATCCAATCCAATTCAGCATCTCAAGACTTTGTCAGAGCCTGTCCATTGGCTGTTCCCGTAAACATCGCAATTGCTATCAAGCCTGCTTCCCAAACGCCTGGCCCCAGAACCATGATTTAAGCTTCTTCCTGAAGGATAGAACGGATGGAGCTGACCTAAGCTCACTGGAGAGGATGTTCTAAAGGCAGGGGGCCATCACCGAAAAAGACCTGTCTCTTGTCCCCGCCAAACACGTTTGTGAAGAAGGCGAGATCAAGAGCAGGGCCTCCCCAGACAATCTTAAAGTCTGAGGCGGGACGTAGAGGGAGATACGTTTAGACAAGTAAGCTGGGCCAGAATCATATAGGGCTTTATAGTTAGCAATCAGGCTCCAACCCTTTGAACCCAATTGGGGTTTCTGAGTGCATTACAGTAATCCAAATAAGATGTGCCCAAGACTTGCGTTACTGAAGCCATATCTGACTTCTCCAGGAATGGACACATTTGGTGCACTAGCTTTAACTATTTCAATGCACTCCGGGTCCCAACAAAAATTAGACCTAGTATTGCCATTCCTCTCCCAAACAAAGATCTCTCTTCAACACAGGCATGTAGCCGGGGGGGGGGGGGGGGGGCTGGGGGGGCTTCAGCCCCCCCCCCAAATTCTCATGGTGGTCTGCGAAAAGGCCTTACTGGTACATTATTTAAACTGTTATGTTTATTCATATCATGATCTGATCACCATGCTCAATATATCCCATATGCATGGGGGTATTGGGGTAACAATACAAAAGGTTTGCTAGGGTAGACCCTCTTTCACTCAGACTCAGCCCCCCTCCCACCCACCCCTGAATCAAAATCCTGGCTACGGGCCTGCTCAACATAAATCTTTTCTTGCCCGAAGTTCCATGAGATGAGAGCAAAAGGAGCATGCAGAAATATAATGAAAATATCTCATCCAAATCACATTCGCTCTAAAGAGTTTCCACTGGTACTGGTGAGCTGGGCAATTGTGGGTTTAAGAGATGGGTGGACAATGTGCAGACCTGCAGCTGTTGCTGAATGGCTTAGCTGGCATTCCAATGGTGAGAGATAATGGGATTTGTAGTTCAGCAACTTCTGGAACTATGCCAACTCCTTGCTACAACTTCCATCTGACCCATATCTAGTGGTGAATGATGATTCAAGAAACTCTGGGACCTAAAAGTCTGCTGTTTCAATCTCTAGTTTCTATCCCCATATGCCAGAGATGTTAGTCAAAATTAAGCATCCTGTTGGCTTGGTGCAGGTAACTTCACAATGAGAGAATCAATGTTTCTGGTGCTCTCAAACTGATGTTCCCAGACATAGAATGTTCTTTTCTATTCCGGAAACAAGGATGGAGACCAAATGAGACACTTTGACTCTCTCATCCTGCAACTGTTTTTTTAGCTGTGTCGAAGAAAACAAAAATAAAGCTTAGCAACCCCTGCAGAGTTACAATATTTTAACAAACAACAGATTCCTCTAAGATTCTTGTGCCTTTAACTGCTTCAACCCCAATGATCAACACTTTTTATTCTATAAGGCGTGAAATGTCATAGCCTCTCTGAAGTAATTTGTTTGTATTCCCCATTGTGAATGATATACTGGATTTAGGTTTTAAAAAAACTCAAGAAATTCCATTGGTTGGTCATACATGGTTGTTAAAGGGTACGGTTAGAAAATATCTATGGAAGGCAAATGGGGATTGTACATTCTCCAAATGCTTTGAACTACAATTCTCATAAACTTCAGACAGTAGTGCGGAATTATGGTGCTGTAGTCAAATATGACTAGAAGGATTCTGGTTACTTATTACATGTAATATCACATCTGGTTGGGTGCTTAGACCAGGAGGAGGATGTAATGCTGTCAAAATACGTCAGGACATGAATTGTTGTGTTGCGTTGTTATCTAAGTATCCCATGGCATCCCATTATGGCACACATACTATCTAAAACAATAAGGCAATGTGTCTATGTCTATCTCACAGCAGCCATAATTACAATAAATAGCCTTGCAGCTTCAAAGCTTTGGCTGCTTTCTGCCTGGGGGAATCCTTTGTAGAATTCCTTTCAAAATTGGGTCCTTCTGTTCAATACAGACAAGAGAAGTGGCTAATTTGGCTGCTTCGTAGTGAGCTAAAGTGGCCACTGATGCCCATGAGGACTAGTTGGGTAAGTTTGCCAATGGAAGGGAAGCCAAAGTCAACACTGGACAAGACTACTTAATTCTGGTTCTGGCTTCTTTCTTTCCCCAGTCAGTGATACTGCAGTTCAACTCCACAGCATCTAACAGAACAGAAGAATTGGAGCTTTTGTTTGGTAAGTGCCTTGTATAGGGATGATGGTAAAACCCATGCTAAATAATAATTGTTGTTACAAATCTGAAAAAAAGTATCTCACTATCCCCAAAGCCAAGCTTATCTAAATATTTTCAAATAATACAGGTCTTGAAATTGTTTCATTCTTTCTGCTAGATCAGCAACACTTGCACATTTCACTGTCACACTTCTGTTATCCTGTATTTTTAAACTGTATACTAATACTTTTATAGTATACAGTATACCCTCCTCAAATCCAGGGAGGAGGGTGAGGTCCCGCTGTTAGCCCCAGCTTCTGCCAACCTAGCAGTTCAAAAACATGCAAATGTGAGTAGAGTAATAGGTACTGCTCCGGTGGGGAAGTAACGGCGCTCCATGCAGTCATGGCAGCCACATAGCCTTGGAGGTGTGGAAAGCCAACGCCGGCTCTTCAGTTTAGAAATGGAGATGAACACCAACCCCCAGAGTCGGACATGACTGGACTTAATGTCAGGGTAAAACCTTTACCTTTACCTAGTAGTATACCAAACTCTTCTAAGAAAGTGGCGAATCACCATTAAATGAACTTGACACATTCTTTCTTGATGGTATCACTCTTTTGTCACTTGCATTGGGATGTTCTGCATTATTTTTCCTTTTTTGTACAACTTCATAAATGCCACTTAGGGTGCATCTGCATTGTAGAATAAATGCAGCTTAACACCACTTTAACTGCCATGACTTGGTGCTATGGAATACTGGAATATGTAGTTTGGTAAGGCACCAACTCTCTTTTATTGTCGAAGGCTTTAATGGCTGGAATCACTGGGTAGTTGTAGATTTTTTTGGGCTATTTGGCCATGGTCTAGAGGCATTCTCTCTGATGTTTCACCTGCATCTATGGCAAGCATCCTCAGAGGATGCTTGCCATAGATGCAGGCGAAATGTCAGGAGAGAATGCCTCTAGACCATGGCCATATAGCTCGAAAAAAACCCACAACAACCCAACTCTCCTTTGCTAAATACCTTGTAAAATTACACTTCCCATGATTCCCCAGGGCATTGAACCATTGCAGTTAAATTCTGGCCAAATTATATTAATTTGAAAGTGCAGATGCATTCTTAATAGTCATTCATATTTCTCAGAGTTATGAAGCAAATCTTCAAAAAAGAATACATTGACTAAAGCAAAGACTTAAATTCAAAACAGGGTTTTCTTCAACTTCTTATACTAAACAATCAATAGTTGAACACCATGTTTTGAAGTAGAGAGCACCAGGACATGCTGATCTCATGGATGTTTATTCAAAAGTAAATACCACTGAGCTGAGAGAAGTTCATGGTCCAAATGTGGGATGGCTCGCTCTGTCAATTGTTGAATGAAGCCCCTCCTTTGCTCAGGGCCCTTCCAGACAGCCCTATATCCCAGAATATCAAGGCAGAAAATTCCACATTATTTGAGGGTGGACTCAAGATAGCCCAGTTCAAAGCAAATATTGTGGGATTTTCTGCCTTGATGTTCTGGGACTCAGGGCTGTGGGGAAGGGACCTCAGATCATGGCTTGCCCCAACCCTAAATAACTGGGCACAACAGTGCAGCTTTAACATCACTAATGAAAATGCCATTTTAAGATGAGTTCCCTTTGCTTTATGGATCACTCGAGCCCTAAATAACTGTACATAGCATTGAACTTTAACCTCACTCATAAAAATAGACTACAACAGACTACCATTTAGCTAGGATTGCCTTACTTGCTTACTTAGGTGATCCCTCGTTGTCCGAGTAGGATTGTCTTCCAAGATTGGTGTACTCGCGGTGGGTACGTAGGTGGCTGTGGAGCCCTATTCTTGATCTGCATCTTCTCCCAAAATGAGGACATTGGTTTCCAGGTAGAAGGCGGTCCCGGTTGGGGTTGGCTTGATGCGCCTTCCTCTTGGCATGTTTCTCTCTTTCACCATTTGTGCCTCTTCAAATTCTACAACACTGCTGGTCACAGCTGACTTCCAGCTGGAACATTCAAGGGCCAGGGCTTCCCAGTTCTCAAGATTGCCAACCAACCAGGAATAGCAATGCCCTTCTATGCCCTTAACAACAACATTAACTACTGCATGAACACAAACATAATCAATTGCAATTTAAAAAGTAGGATCAGAAGCTGGCAGAGAAGGAAGGAAGGAAGGAAGGAAGGAAGGAAGGAAGGAAGGAAGGAAGGAAGGAAGGAAGGAAGGAAGGAGGAAGGAAGGAAGGAAGGAAGGAAGGGGGTTTATATTGAGCAATCTGTCAAATGTAACTTGGTAACAAACATTATGTACATTCAGGGAGTTTCTTCAGGAATCTTGAAGAATTCTTCAAGGTTTTCGAAACCACTCACCTTCTGTTGCAGAGATCCCGTGTACAAGGAGTCACTCACTTGGCACAATATCTTAATTCTCCTTCGAATCAAGCCTCCTCCTCTGAATGGATTCTCTACTGGGTGCCTCTCTACAGCTGGTCTCTTAGCACAGCTGTTGTCCATTTATTTTCCAAAAAAATATTAACCTAAAAGCATAAGTTGTAGCTAAGAGAACATATTTTATTTTTTAACCCCATGCAGCTTTATGATCCTTATTTTCTGCTTCCCAAGTTATTATTTTTAGGTTGAGCTACACACAACATGCTGTTTTTCCTCCAAACAGGAAAACAATGTAGAAATAACAAAATAACTGGACAGAAATAGTTTTGAAGTGTTTATTATAAGAAACTTGATATTACATTACACAAACTTAACCAAGAGTTTTCCAGGCTGTGTGGCCATGTTCCAGAAGCATTCTCTCCTGAGTTTCACCTGCATCTATGGCAGGCATCCTCAGAGGTTGTGAGGTTTGTTAGGAACTAGGAAAATGGGGTTTATGTATCTGTGGAATGTCTGAAGTGGGAGAAAGAACAAAATCTGGCTACCAGTATTAAAATGAACACAATCTGGCTGTCAGTATTTAACAAATTCCAAAATCATAGCAGTAAATAAAGAACAACACTCAAAAATAGGGGAATTCTAGACAAGGACCAATCAGGGCCAGCTAATTACCTCCCAACAAAGGATTCCCCCAGGTCAGGCATGTAGATGGGGAGGAGCTTCAGCCCCCCCCCCCCCAATTCTCATGGTGGCCCGTGAGAAGACCTTACTGGTACATCATTTAAACTGTTATGTTTATTCATATCATGATCTTATCACCATGCTCAATATATCCCATATGCATGGAGGTATTGGGATAACAATACAAACGGGTAGACCCTCTTTCACTCAGACTCAGCCCCCCCCCCCAAATCAAACTCTGCTCCCCCCGAATCAAAATCCTGGCTGTGGGCCTAACCCAGGTAATAAGAAGCCACACCTTGAAAACTGCAAGGCCATTAAATGCTAATCAAAGTGGCCAATTGAAACATCCGCACCTACCTCCAACAGACAAGAGTTCTTTCTCCCACCCTGGACATTCCACAGATATATAAACCCCATTTTCCTAGTTCCAACAGACCTCACAACTGAGGATGCCTGCCATAGAGGCAGGTGAAACGTCCGGAGAGAATGCTTCTGGAACATGGCCATACAGCCTGGAAAACTCACAACAACCCAGGGATTCCAGCCATGAAAGCATTCGACAATACTTAACCAAGTGTTTTTCTGACTGAACCAGTCAAGGTTATTTACAAAAAAAAAATCTATCGGATGAGGGGTAGTTTACAGCCTTCTATCATATTCTCCCCAAAAGCATAATACACCTCACATAAGAAAAGAAAACACTAATTCAAGAGTGCAAGTTTTGTTATAGAATTAGAATTAGAGGCAGAAGATATGCCTCTAATGGTTAAATTGAGTTTTTTAAAAGTAGACTTTGGACTTTATTTCAGGAGGCAGGTAAACTAGTCATGGCCCCTTCCCATTCATAAAAACACTTACTTTTTTGTGTCTACCATTTGCTTCCGATGTAGACTTGTGGTGTAGAGAAAGTTCTACTCTTTGCAGCATTCTAGGAACATTAACGAGTAAAGCTGTCTGAAAGGATAGATAAATACAGATTTCTTGTTTGATTGATAGATGATGAAATTGAAGTAAAGCACCATGAAATTGCTCAGCAAAATGCAACAGGGTGTACTGAAAAGTGCCAAGGACGTTGGCTCCGGAATGCTTACTTGTTAATCCCTTATTCTATTTTTGCCAATATGCTGTTGGATCAGATTGCTACATCAGGATCCCCCTTCTTTTCCTCAGTTAAAATCTATAATTTTCTAGAGAAATTATCTACACAAATCAGAGGTAATATTCAAGTTGACTAATTATTGATCATCAGGCTGAAAAGAAAAATAGACCTTGTTCAATCCCTTGCTGGGGAATTCATTGAAATCTTTTAAATCTATCCAGTTCTGATTCGTACTTTCCAGCACACATGCTTATGTCCCACCTTTCTTCCAATGGGCTAAAGGTGATGTGTATGGATCAAAGCAGTGTACCTGTTTTCATTCCTCCATGCTTTATCTTCACAACAACACTGTAAAGTAGGCTAGACATGTGCATCTACAGCACTGGTTCTCACCCTTCCTAATGCCGCAATCCCTAATACCAGTGACCCCCAACCATAAAATTAGTTTTGTTGCTACTTCACAACTGTAATTTTGCTACTGTTATGAATTGTAATGTAAATATCTGATATGCTTGATTTATTTTTAATCACTGGACAAAATTTGGCACAAATACCCGATACGTCCAAATTTCAATACTGGTGGGGAGATTGATTTTGTCATTAGTTGCTGGGATTTATAGTTCACCTTCAATCAAAGAGCATTCTAAATTCCACCAATAACTGAAGTGAAACAAACTTGACACACAGAACTCTCATAACCAACAGAAAATACTGGAAGGGTTTGGTGGGCATTGAGTTTTGGAGTTGTAGTTCACCTACGTTCAGAGAGCACTGTGGACTCAAACAATGGTGGATCTGGACCAAGCTTGGCATGAATACACAATATTCCAAAATGTGAATACTGGTGGAGTTTGGGGAAAATATACCTTGATATTTGGAAGTTGTAGTTGTTGGAATGTATAGAATTGGACAAAACTTCTCACACTGAACCCCCATGACCAACAGAAAATACTGTGTTTTCTGATGGTCTTTGGCAACCCCTCTGATACCTCCCTCACAACCTCTCCGTGATTCCCAACTTCCAGGTTGGGAAACACTGATCTACACTGTAGAATTAATACAGTTTGATATCACTTTAAGTACAGTGGTTCACAGTGGTTCACTGCTTGGTATTCGTGGCTTGGCAGAGAAGGGATTCCAGAGCATTGATCTAGGGCAATTAAAGTGGTGCCAAACTGCATTAATTCTACAGTGTAGATGGACCCACAAAGCGAGTAACTGGCCCAAGACTATATACTGAGTTTCATTGGAGACTTGAGCCTAGATCTCCTGCGTCTCTAACTGCATCACAATATGGGCTCTCACTGGCTCCTGAAGGCACCACAGCATTGTCAGATCATTTGCCAATGAACTAAATTAAGACATAAAAAACCATATAATTACAGCTCAGAGTAAGCAAACCTTTCTTTTAGGACACTTACATAGGAAGTCAGCCAGCTCCCATAGGTGAATGCCCAGTATGCCAGCCAAGTTTGTAACAAGGAAAAAAGAAAAGGAATGTTTGACCTATGGGAAAGAGTTGTTGTTTTAGCATGGCCAATAGTAGGTCAGAGTTGACTGTATCCTCATGCATGTTAGAGGGCAAATTCAGCACTCCCCAAGCACGAGGAGCTAAAAAAAACACAAACCAAGAGCTCCTTTGAAGTCCAGTTCCTTTGGTGGAGGCACCTGGTTAAAAGGAGGGGGCTACAGGATGTTAATATCGTTGCGTTGGAAGAGACCTTGTGGGCCATCCAGTCCAACGCCCTGCTGAGAAGCAGAAAAATTGCATTCAAAGCACCCTCAAGAGATGGCCATCCGGCTTCTTCTTAAAAGCCTCCAAAGAAGGAACCTTCACCAAACTCTGGGGTGAATGTTTGACCTATGACTGCTGAACAGCTCTCACAGTCAGGAAGTTCTTCCTAATGTTCAGGTGGAATCTCCTTTCCTATAATTTGAAGCCATTGTTCTATGTCTTAGTCTCCAGAGCAACAGAAAACAAGCTTGCTCCCTCCTCCCTATGACTTCCCCTCACATCTATGGAGATTCTCTTGAAGAAGCTTCAGAGTCTGGAAAAGTTCCCTTTAAGACTATATCTCTAAGACATGGCCATTGTTTGGCCATTGTTTGGCAAGTTGATTAATTCAACCACTTCAGTGGTCATTAGCAGAGTTGTTGCCAAGACACCCAACTAGGCAATCCTCTTGATGCCTCTCCAGAACCCAGAAAGGTCTTTTCAGTTAAACGTTGTTTGAAGTATTAAAGAGTTGGCTGGAAAACTAGATCAAGGTCGGAGGGCAATCTTCTCAACTTGTCCTACCCTAAAGAAAGCTATTGATAAGGATCTGTGAATCAACACCCAAAGGACGAAAGCAGCCACGGGAGCAGCTGATGGCAAAACCGTTTATTTGAATGGTCATTTAATGAATGACACTATTTTATTACAAATGATATTTTTACAATATTATTGCCTTCTTGTCATTTTAAACTATTCACTTTAACTACCAGTAGTTTGTTTGAGGTTGACATAGTTTTTGGATTGTTTCGTTTCCAAGAGATGTAATTGTTATTGTGTGCTTTTATGCCATTTCCAACTTATCTTGACCCTAAAGTGAACCTCTCACAAAATTTTCTTGGCAAAATTGGTATGTGGGGGTGTGTGTGCTATTGCCAACTTCTTCAGAGGCTGAGAAAGTTGCCCAGAATCACTGAATAGGTTTCCATGGTGGAGCAGAGAAGGTACAGGGTCAAGTGGGTATGAGCCCTGATGCCACAACAAGAAGGAGAATAAATAAGAAAATGCATAGACTGTGTGCACACACCCTGAAAAGTCTTTGCAAGTGACAGCAATAAATACATTTGTGTAAACTGCAACAAGCTGCTGCTTTACCAGTTGGGCAGGAAATTTACACCTAGCGTTTTTTGTCTTGCCCACCAAAACTGGAGAATTGGCACCCTGATTTCCCACCTAGAAATGACCCTTGAAAACTGGAGGCTTAGGGCCAAGCCCTGAGATTGGCAGCTCTATGACATTCAAAGCCCTAAATTATTCGGATTCTCAGTATTAGATGGAGCAACT